ACTAAAAGGATTAGGAACCTCGAATGATTTGTTTATTTATTCATGATTTTGAATTCGATAAGACCGACAGTTTTTTTTATATTTAAATATGAAATCCCGCTGACCGAAATAAAAATGACTTGTTGCTATTTCTTTTATACCTATTTAAAAAAAAATATAGGTATATTTATATATATTTTCGAAATATATTTTAATGTATTTTGTTGTTCTTAATCTCTTAATACCTAGATCAATGGTTCTTTATGGGGTATCCGGTTAACTATCAAAAATATACGATACATTCTACAATTGAATTATGAAAAACAAGTCCAGCGTTCCCATTAATTATTTTTTGAGCTCCATATCAATTAGTATTAATTACAAATAAATTAGTATATAAGTGTATAAATAAATTAAATAAATAAACGTTACACTATTATACGATGTTTATACAAAATTTACCTTAATTGTAGTTATCTAAGAAACGAAAGAACCATTACCAAAACTATTTCTCGTGACAAAAGAAACTACCGGTATGGGCTCCAAAATTTCCGCATACACAAAAATTATATAGGCATAAACTATTTTAATAAAATGTCGCCGTATACCTATTTATCTTTGTGAAAAAAAATATGAAACGCATGTTATTTATATTATTATACGTTTATATCAAATTATAGACGACTTTTCCCATCATCCATCCCATTGTGTACGTACGTACCAATTCTGATGGGTCTTTATGACATGGTGTTAAACAATTCGAGAAACGTGTAAAAATTATAGTATTTGAAATAATAAATAACCCGAAAAAGCCGCATTGAATCGGAGAGCATTTATGTTGCAGGTAGCAAGAACGTATTTGACGAGTCATTGGCGTAACATAAATTTAATACCTGTAGGTAAATAATCAATCTAAGTATTTGTACCCTACAGTCTGTTCGCTATACTTACGCGGGTTTCAGATTAACAAAATTATGCAAATTAGCCATTGACAACCAGTTACAATAAGCATCTTCCTAAGAAATTAGGTAAAATTGCCCTAATGGTCAGATTTAAATTAAAATAACATTAAGGTAGGTATTAAATTTGTTATAAATATTGCAGTTGAATTGATTCTTTGCAAGTGTTGACATTGTATGTATATTGTAAATTTAGTGGAAATTTTAAAAATGCCTAGACGTGTGTTAGATGTAGTTAGTCTAATTTGTAGTGTACATAAGTATTTTACGGATGAAAAAGAAAATGGCGGTCCTTTAAAATCGGTAATGTCTGTACAACAACGCATATGCGTGAAACCAAATCAAGAGGAGTATTACAAAATCACAATAGTGAACTGTCGAAAGAAGATCACCGCAAAACTCGCCCATCATTGAAAACGAAAGATATTCCAGATGGAAAGAAATTCGAAATTCGTGATACCATTTATCGAATGAGGGCCAACAAGGAACATGTGACCTTAAATACAATTCTCTCGGAATTAATAGATAGAAAATTTGACGACATTGGCAGAACAAGTCTATGACAAGTGATACATAACTTGGGTTCCAAATTTCAAAAAGAGGATAACAGAAAGGCCCTTTGTGAAAGAAGTTCTGTCGTGCATAAGAGAATTAACTTTCTAAGAAAATATTCTAAATTTAAAGAAAAAGAGGCGAATTTTTATATATTTAGACGAAACATGGATATTTTCTAGAGGTGCAACCAAGAGAATATGGCAAGATGATAACGTAAAGTCCATCAAACATACCGACGGAGAAGGGAAGCGACACATAATTTTACATGCAGGAGGGAAATCGGGTTTTATAGAAGGTGCTGATTTAATATTTTCATCTAAATCAAAATCCAGTAACTGTCACGATAATATGAACACAGAAATGTTTGTAAAATGCTTGCATGAAAAACTTCTCCCAGGTTTAAGTGAGCCCAGCGTAATTATTTTAGACAATGCACCTTACCATTCTGAAGTATTAAACAAAAGTCCAACGAATTCTTGAACTGTTGATAAAATTAAAGAATGGTTGACAAAGGAACATATACCATTTCCTCAATATATATTAAAATCAGAATTATTACGCTTGGCAAATATACACGCAAAACCAAAAACCTTTGTTGTGGATCAGATTATTGAAAGTTACGGTCATCAAGTTTTACATCTGCCACCGTATCATTGCCAATTTAATCCCATTGAATATATATGGGGAATAGCAAAACAATATTATGACAACCATATTGGGCATAATGGTTATAGTGACGACGCAGTTCGGGAAACTTGGCGAAAAGCACTTTCAATTGCAACTCCAGAAGTGTGGCGGAACTGTATATCCAAGTGCGAGAAACTAATAGAAGATTGGTGGACTCGCTAAAATAAAATAAACGAAATAAGTCCAATCATAATAACAATTAATGGTGATGACAGTGATGATGATGACAATTATGATATTTTGGATGATAATGACCGATTTTCATTTTTTGTTGGCAAGTTCAATTTTTTTATTTTTCATTTGAAATTCTCTACATGGAACAAATTTTTATGTTAGAAAATATTTTATTTGTGCTAAATAACCTTATTATACATAGACCATATTTTCTCTGTGAAGTGTAATATAAAATTATTATTAGGTTTACAATAGCCACATTAGACTAGATTATCATTTAATTAAAAAGTTGTACATTATTTTTCATTTCATTTAACCAGTTGATATTTCCCCAAAGAACAGGTCAAACTTTCGGGTACTTACCTGGAAATACTCATAAAATTTTTAATCCGAAACCCGCGTAAGTATAGCGAACAGACTGTACCCAATGTTCGTGCAAAAGGACGCACTCTGTCAAGCATGATGGTCAAGTACTGTAAATATTATTAGAGGATTTTCATGAATTGACAGACCCCTTAGTCTATGTGCCCAATTATATATACAATTAGTAATGAGCAGTTTCATCTTATTTATATACAGTTGACGAAACTGAAATGTGAACGCCAGAATTTAATGGTGTATTGTTGAATAAATTTTCAAAAACGCCGCATTTAAGTGAGGTTCAAAAATCTTTAAGTGACTTTCTTGTTAATCCTGCTAAAAATTTTTTGGAGTTGGATATTTAGGTATCTATTTTTTTCACAGATTTGTCTGTAGATTTGTGATAAAGTGATAATTGGTGTGAGTTTTCAAATTTTTATATTCGCCTTACAATCCTTTTTTTGGACGAACGTCTATGCATTGGCGTGATATTTTAAACAATTAATGTCTCGAGAAAGGTAAACCAAATTGATATAAGTTAGTGGTGTTAGCTCTCAAACAACAATAATTATTATACTCTATAGACACGACATAAAAAAAATTAAAATTAAAATTTTTACTTTGTAATGACAGGAAAGTAGCTGGTTCTTGAATCCTTGTAGAAAAAATCTGATGTGTCCAACACATGACTTTCCTATCTAGTTATTATAGGCTTTTTCCGGTTATTTTGTACAACCTATTGCAGCACCTCTATAAAGGTTTAGAGGATGAGGATAAACTAAATATATACATTTTTCACATACATCTACCTCGAAACATTTTTCTATAGATATTCATGTATAAACAAAAATTATAGAGATCGATATCGCAAACAACTTTTAGCTCAACAATTTTCATAAGAATTAGAATTTTGCAAATTTTGTCAAATTTCTCGAATACGGACCATTTCAGGAAATTTTGACATAAAGCAAAAATTATAGATAATAATATTAGAAGTAACTTTCATTTGAACAATTTTCTTCTCCAAACATAAATAACAGATATATTCCATAAAATATAAAAACGGCCTCCCATAAAGTACCCCCCAGATGTTCCGACTTTGTCCAAAATCTAATCATTTCACGTCAGGCCGAAATAAAACTTAAGTTTAAAATTTAATGTTTTTCTTTATCCGTTTTTGAGTTTTCTTCAAAATTCGAAATTTACATATTTTCTCAAATATCTCGAATACGGTCCATTTTAGAGAAATTATGTATACGATAAAAATTATAGAGAATTATATTACAAACAACTTTTATTTGAACATTTTTTATAAAAAATTATTTTTTTACATTTTGTCAAATTTTAGGAAAATTTTGTATAGAACAAAAAATATTGATAATAATATTGTAAGTAACTTTTATTTGAAGAATTTTCTTCTCCAAACGTAAATAACAGATATATTGCATAAAATATAAAAATATCTGTAAACAGGAAAGTAAAAATTGAGTATGACCCTCGTAATATTTAAATACCACATTGTATGTTTCCAATTACAGAAGTAAAGTTGTTGATGTTTTCAATAAACGAATTATTTTTTATTACAGTTTTTTTGAATTGAATGTTTTTTGCACCTTTAAATAAAAATTCTACTTAAAATGTCCTTTTCGTATATGTAGCGCCATCTTTTATTGAGAGGCAAGTTTATTACAGCATTATTACAGATCGCGGACTTTGCGAAGAAAATAAGTATTTTTTCCTTTTTTCTACCGAATTCAGTACATATTCAAAAGAGGGAGGAAACTAGAAAAAAGATTTATTAAAAATTATCTTTTTTTTCTTCTTTGGTTTAGATTAAAATAAATATAGTAAATATATAATGTGTATAATCGACATGAACTATACTCGGACAAAATATTGAAGAAGGTGATTCCTCCCTGTTTACGTACAACAATCATACTATACCAAAGCATAATGAATGGAATCACACGCTTAAAACTGCAGAAGTTATCGGTATCACGTGCCAACTAGTCATAAATGCATGTTTATTGCCAAAATGTATTACGCCAGTGGCGTATAAAAACTATTGGCAAATTAAATGAGGTAATAGTAAATAATATTGGATGAAAGTAGGTTGGTTTTCTATTTTTGTAGTAATAATAATTTATGTTTATAATGTTTACAATCTTCGTTGTAATCTAGACTCTGAGCGAATGGCTGCCGACCAGTATTTGACCACGTTCTACATTTATCTTACAAAAAAATTAATTAATTGCAAAAGGAAAAAGAAATAATTCTCCCAAACTTTATATCATTAAATATATTTTTAAAGAGTATATATTTTAATAATAAAATAATGTATAACAGGTATAAAACTTAATTAAAAATATCAATATACATTATAAATAATTATTTGGATATTATAATAATAAGTTAAATCTCATTTTTTTAATTCTACTGCTAAGATGATTATTAAAGCTATAGCTATTACTACTGCAATACCGACAAGAATGCACAATTTCTTTCTGTAACTTCTCTGGTAACTGGCGGCCTTAACCAGCTGCTCAGTACCTTCTTCTACATTACCAGCTGCTCTGTCAATACTGTTTTCAATGGTATCTGAAATTAAAATCATTTATTTTTAAACTGAGTACCCAATATTTCATCCCTTACCAATGTTTTCTCCTTGCTCGTGTACTAACGATCCGAGATCTCTCATAATTTGATTGAGATCCAGAATGTCTGATTCGATCTGTCTCACCCTGGTTTCCCTTTCCTGGAGTAGGTCCTGCTCAAATGCCAGTTCCCTAGTCTTTTGAACCTGCATTTGCTTCTCATAATCATCGCTGTTACCCTGTTCACTTTCATCAACACTGACAGATGGGACTAAAAGGTGAGATTTCTGCTTCTCAGCCACTGCCTAAAATTGTTTTATAGTATGAGACACACAGTGTCCGAAAATTGTGTGTACATGAAGCTAAGACATATTTATGGGCTGAAATTATCATCCCCACATCTCCTAATGAGAAAAATTGTTCCTGATACTTTTATTTGGACATAAAACACTTAGTATTTGTACTAAGTTTGATCTTTTAAAATGGCTGAATTCTGGATATTAAAAAAAAGGTTTTATTTAACTATGTTTATCTCTAGGGGGCCAAACGAAGTCTAAATATTAAATTACCTACTGCACTCCTTTTTCATCTTATTACAGCACTGCATTGTTAAGTAATGCAAAATATAGTAGTGTACATTGTGTTGTCTAATTTAGATATTTTATGGGGCTTCAACTTTTCTGTTTATTTAAATTTAAAAGTCATTTCATCTGTATGATAAGAATTTATATTTTACTTGTATAAAAAAAAATGTTAACTCAATTTTTCAATAATCTATACACTTTGAGTAAACACCTTTTTGCACCAAAGGCTTCAATTGGGAAATCATGTACCTATAGTAAATAAGAGTAGAATTGTCTGTCATAAATCTAAGTCCTCTAGAGGGATAACAAATTCATATAATTTGATTTGATATAATGGCTCATCCTGTATAAAAGATGTACTACATAGACCAAGAAATAGAGTAGATTTACCTGTGAAAAATTAGAATAAAGTTAAAAATTGATATGTTAGCCCAATACAATTCATGATTGATTTTTTGAAAATGCTGCTCTGAATTAAAAAATTCTTGTCCACTTTTCATCTAGAGCATACCAATTTGTAGCTTTCTTCACAGGTAAACCCTGTACAGTACTGAGTGCTTCATTGTTGTGAAAAAATCAAAAACACCAACTATGATTAACATGCAAAATAAAAATTAAACACATCTTTATTTCAGTTTTTATATCACAGATATTGCTCATTTAATACTAAAAATGCAAAATTCAAACCACCAGCTCATAGAAATATCCACTGGTTCTAATTTCAATTACCTTCTGCAATGTATGATATCTGCCAACGGCATCTTTAAAATTTCCTTCCAACTTCTCAACTTGCAACTGCCTTTGCTTGTCTTTCTTCGCAACGAGTTGCTTTAATTTGTGAATGTCTTTGCTGGTAACTGAAGCTATTTGATTAGTGCTTAGTTGTGTAACGTGACTACAAATTTAAAATCAAGTTCCTCTATTAGTTATTAAACATAATTTAAAAACTTACACTTTATTTCGTACTCCGTGACTGTCTTTTTTTGTGCCAATTAATTTTAGAGCGTTCTCCAATGTTTTAATACTGGAATTAATTGTGTAGATATTTGTCACGACATTATCAGTATAGCTATTGAATTGTGTGGCAATTCTATCACTGAAACCAACGTCTGTAGGCGATGAGATGGTTCCGTAGGTTTGAGGTTGACGGTTCATACTTAAATATGTTGATATGAATCACATGAATTCCAACAAAAAAATGTTCAGCACCTAAACATCGCAAGTACAAAATATTGGAAAATAAATAGCTATGCTATTAATTTCAGCTTATCTGTTTTTATTTTTGTAAAAGTATAAACGTCAGGTGTCAGATTTCATTTCTTCTTTTTGTTCCTAATGCAGTGTACATTGATTTAGTGAGCAACTAGTTCGCAACTTATTTTTATTAGCAATGAACTTCATTGTTTATTGCATTCCAAACAAAATAGTTGCACATAGGTAATGAGTAATGACTATGAAAACCTCCTAGTCTTCATAGTAATGACTACTGTGTCGGTTCGTGGGTAATTAATGACAGGTTATGATATGGCAACCCTGTGGGCCTTTTGGCTTCGACAAGATCAATGACATAATATAGTTATATAGATTGCTCATTTCATTCTTTTAAGGTACTTTCACTTATAAGGTTACTCAACCACTTATTATTTCACTCATTTCCATTATATACAGGATGTCCCTGAAAGGTGTGTACAAAACATCAGCGCAAATTCATTAGGCAAAAACATGAGGATTTAGCCCAATTTACCTTAGTTAAAAAAATAATAGTTTCATATTAACTGTTAGTCAAAGTTATAGTGTTTTTATACTGTTTTTAAATATTTATCTCAATAATAAATATTCGTTGAATATATTACCTCATTATACAATTTTAATATTATTTATTTTATATCGTATCTAGTATTTTCACAACCATCAGACCCATCATTAGAAATTATTAAAAATCAAAATACGTGCCTTTTATTTCAAAATTTCTAATAGTCGGAAATCTTTCAATAACAATATATTATTTATAGATAAATATAGATATAATATGTATAATGTAACATCATTTCCTATCACAAAATTATAATACATAAATCACAAAAAAATATAAGAACTCAACAATAATCAATTAGATAAAACATAATAAAGATTTCCCTGTAAGAAAACAGAAAAAAATATTACTCAATAATTTATCTTATAAAAAATAGAAATTATTTTCGTATTTATCTCATTAAGTTTGACCCTGGAACACTAAATGGCATCTCATAACATTTCAAGACTTCATCTTCTTCTTCATTACCAACTTCTTCCGCCGCGCTTCATCCTCTTTCCTCTCCTCCTCCAGATCTTCCATTATTCCTAAATTAAAATGCCATTTAACAACGATTCTCCTAATATAACAAATAAGAAGTATTTACCTATCTTAGTACTGATAACCTCTTCTTTCATCTGCTGAGCAAATGTCGATTCCATGTTGGCGTCATCCTCATCTAAATCTCTGTATCTCGATTTATCATAACCGAATATTTCGGAAATATATTTGGAATAATCATCCCCTACGTCATCGTCATCAATAAAATCGTCCATTTCCGAATCGTACTCTGAATCGTCATCGTCCAATATTCGTCCTCCTAAAAATCCACAGAAAAGACTCAGAAACTATTCATAAAATCATTAAAGATTTCAAAAAGGCATTTAAACACTCAGAAATATATTAAAACATTCAGAAAGTTATTTAAAACATTTACAAACTTACTAAAATAATTCAGTAATTAAAACGTTCATAAGATTACTAAAATCACTCAGAAAACTATTAAAAATATTCAGAAAGTGGTTTAAACATTCAGAAAATGGTTCAAAACTCTCCTTTATAAGAACAATGAGAATTGTATTTAAAAATTCAGTAAGTTATTAAAAACATTCATTATCCTATTATAACATTCAGAAACTTATTAAAAACAGAAATATATTAATAATCAGAATAAATTAATTCAAAAAGTTATCATTATCCTAAAAACCCAACAGAAAAACCATCAAAAAGATGTAAAAACTGCCAGAAAGTTGTTAAGCACTCTCAAAAAAATTGTTTAAGGTTGATAATAAGCATTTTGAGAAAATCTTTAAAACGCTCAACAAACAAAACTTACTCTTGACCGGCATCCCTTTTCTGGAACTGCCCATTCCCAGCCTTTCATCTCTTCTTTGGATATCAGGAGGTGGGAACTGTTTAGGAGGCAACTTAACCGGAGGTTTCCTTCTGACGTCCTCTGGAGGAAATTTCTTGGCTTGAGGTTCCATGGAGGGTTTCTTCTGAGGCACCTTCATCGACGATGTACTCTGATGTTGGGATTTATTGTTGTTATGGGGAGAATCACGATCTTTCGCGTCCATTGAAGATGACTTCCTGTATTGTTGAGGTTGTTGTTGTGAAACAGTAGGCAGTGGTTTTTTATCAGTGATTGGTTTGATAGGTGGTTTTTGATTGTTTTCAATTCGTTTTTTGGAATTAAGCTCACTTGTGGAAGGTTTTTTGTTTTCTAGTTCTGGTCGATACCTCATATCACCTAAACAATAGTTAAATACAATAAAATTCGTTAAACAAGTTGTCTAAAACCGTCGAAAAGTTGTCAATATCCATCACAAACCCTTATAAAGTATCATAAATATCGGAATTTCTCATTAAATTATGAAAACAATTAAAAAAATGTCCGAAATCCTCAGAAAGTTACCAAAAATAAACAGAAAATGTTATCAAAATCTCAAAAAAAGTTTATATTTAATCGTCTACAATCATACTTACCAGGTAAATATTTTCCAGGTATATAGTCCTTATCATCGGGAATTTCGACTTTGACTTTAGGGGAAATTTTTGTAGAATTCTTACCACCACTAGTCTTTTCTCTATCCTTATCTTTCCCGTTACTTAACTTACTAGATGACTTTTCCCCATCTACTTTCGAATTACTATTGATCGATTTAGAGCTATCACTAATTTTAGGAATCTTCATCGTCGATTTTTCAGGTTTTTCCTTTTCCTTATCCTTATCTTTTTCTTCCGTTTTAGCACCCACTTTTGGTATTTTACCGTTAGACAGTATGTGCCTTCTGCGCTCTTCTCTTCTCATTTGAGATTCACGTTCTCTTTCCATCTCCCTCCGCTGCTTCTTCGTCAACAGCCGTTCATCCTCCTTCTCCTTTTTTTCGATTTTGATTGGTTCGAATTGTTTCTTTTCCGCGATCTTTAGAAGATCTATAATAAATCGAATACGCTTAAATATGTGCCTACATATCTATCAATTAAATCAAACTCGAGCCCCATTATGAATTAGTTCAAAAATGTTCACAAAGTTACTAAATATGTTCAGACAGTTATAAAAAAAATCAGAACTTTATTAAAAATATTCAGTATATTATTAAAGGATCAAAGTTATTTAAAATGTTAATAAGTAGTTTGGAAATTCAAAAAATGGTTCTAAACATTCAGAGTTATTAAAAACATTCAGAAGATTATTACAAAATTCAGAAAGTTATTTAAATATTCAGTAACTTATCTGAAGGATTCAGAGTTATTAGAAATGTTCAGAAAGGTATTAAAAACGCTCAGAAAGTTATTAAAAAAACATTCAGAAAGTTACTAAATAATTCATACAAAATGTTTATACCAGCAAAATTCATCGGAGGCGGTGCCGCCACCCTCGGTTTCGGCTTTGGAGGCGGCATTTTCTCCTTATCAGATCGGTCATCTTTACTTTTTTCATCACTTGTTCTTTCCGGCGCGCCATAAGATACACCTTCTTCATCTTCTTCCTTTTCCTAAAAAAAAGACTGTATTCTTGAAACTGGGTTCCTAACAAATATCTACAAACTTTATGTTTTCTTTTCCTCTTATGTGGCAACATGGCTTCCTCCTTCTCCCGTTCCAAGGCCGCTCGCACCCTATCCTTAGTGCTGCCCAAATTCGTGCTGACCTTCTTCTTGGACATGTCAAATTTGGGCTCCTCCGGCATCTTGTTGTATTTCTCCATCATTTTATTGTAAAATTGGGACGCCTCTTGCGACACGTACCCATAATCGTCTTCATCAGGCTGCATGGGACCGGCCAAAGTAACGGCAGTGTTGTCATTATCGATGGCGTCTTCAATGACTGATTGGTTTGCAGATTTTGTTCTTTTCAACATGACGTTTACCCGTTTGGTGGCTTTTTTGTCCTAAAATATGATATTTGGGAAATGTTAAAAACTATTTGGCAAAAATATCCAATATGATTGCCTAAAGGCATACCAACTTTTTTTGTTAATTATTTTATTAGAAGACATTAAAAGACATGGGTATATACTAATTAGTACTTATATTAATTATCTAAACATTAAATATGTGTGACAAAAAATAGTAGTTCTGTGTTGTGTATTAATAATCCTTTCCTGATTAATATAAATTGGTAAAAAAATAAAATCTATATTGATAATCCAGTAAATAGTGATCAAAAAATATTAGTAATTTTAGAAACATGTTCTGTTGGCCTTTTTTTTAATAATTCTAAATAATTTTGTTATACATGCTATAAAGGGATATTAGTCAAAATATACATATTTTAAGGTAGTGTAAGGACCCGAATTTTTTTCGTTATACCTTGTGGCTGCTTGCAAACAACACTTTATTAATTCTGCCGCCTTGTCACTTAGTTTAAAGTTCATTTCAACAAAATTTAACGAATTCAACAAAAATGACCAATGTCAATAAATGATCCGTTTTTAAGTATTTTGTTTATGAATTACCTGGAGTGAAACAAGACAATGTACTTTAAATCCTTTAATATTAAGTGTAAAAATCTGATGTGTCCAACACAAAATTTTATGCTTTTATAAGATCAAAGTTAGAATATGCTTCAGTTGTGTGGAGCCCCTTTTATCAGTATCATATAGATCGAATAGAAGCAATTCAAAGACGATTTTTAAAACTGCTAAGCCTGAAAACTGATTGCATTTATCCTCTAATAGGTACACCTCACTCTGAATTACTACAAAAGCATAACTTTTTCAGTCTCGATAGAAGGCGTGATTATTATAGTGTAGTAGTAACTTATAAAATTATTAAAAGTATTATTGACTGCCCAACCTTATTAGAAAAGTTTAATATTTGCATTCCCAGAATTTCTTCCAGACACCCGAATACTTTTTATATAAATACATCTCGCACAAATGTTCTGGGAAATTCTCCGCTCCATACCATGTGTACAGTAACAAATTCTATAGTCAATGAACTTGATATATTTAGTTGCAATTTGTCAGATATAAAATCTCACTTTTTATCTTAGTTAATTTGTTACCTATTACGAAATACAAGTTCTTTTTATGTGCTTAACATTCAAATAAAAAATGTGATCTATTAATAATTATATTCTGCCAATTCCTGCTCTGTAATTGGGTTTATGACCTGTAGAGTATTGTATTATAAATAAATAAATAAACACATGACTTTCCTATCTAGTTATTACAGGCTTTTTCCAGTTATTTTGTACAACCTATTGAAGCACCTCTATAAATGTTTAAAGGATAAACTAAATATATACATTTTCCACATACATCTACCTCGAAACATTTTTCTATAGATATTCATTGAAAACGAAAATACTAAAAAAATTAAATTTAGCACTTTTCTACAATTTTTCCATTACGGTACATTTTAGAAAAATTATGTATAAACAAAAATTATAGAGATCGATATCGCAAACAACTTTTATTTCAAAATTTTCATAAAAATCAGAATTTTGCACATTTTGTCAAATTTCTCGAATACGGACCATTTCAGGAAATTTTTACATAAAACAAAAATTACAGATAATAATATTAGAAGTAACTTTTATTTGAACAATTTTTTTCTTCAAACATTAATAACAGATATATTCCATAAAATATAAAAACGGCCTCCCATAAAGTACCCCCCCAGATGTTCCGCCTTTGTCCAAAATCTAATCATTTCACGTCAGGCCGAAATAAAACTTAAGTTTAAAATTTAATGTTTTTTTCTTTATCCGTTTTTGAGTTTTCTTCAAATTTCGAAATTTACACATTTTCTCAAATATCTCGAATACGGTCCATTTTAGAGAAATTATGTATACGATAAAAATTATAGAGAATTATATTACAAACAACTTTTGTTTGAACAAATTTTATAAAAAAATATTTTTTTACATTTTGTCAAATTTCTCGAATACGGACCATTTTAGGAAAATTTTGTATAGAACAAAAATTATAGATAATAATATAAGAAGTAACTTTTATTTAAAGAATTTTCTTCCCCAAACGTAAATAACAGATATATTTCATAAAATATAAAAATGACCACCTATAAAGTACCCCCCCAGATGTTCCGACTCTGCCCAAAATCTAATCAGCTCATTGGACGCTGGAACAAAGCTTAAGTTTAAAATTTGGTGTTTTTCTGTGTATTGGTTCATGAAAAAAATCATGATTCCTATACTTTCCTTATATCTGTATACAGATAGGAAAGTAAAAATGATAAAAACTATACAGGTTTCACTATTAAATAAATGCAAATGAATTAAGACAGAAGAATAATATATTTTCACACTGACCACACTTGAAGTAAAAAAAAGAAACATGAAAGTCATTATATCATAAATTAATCACTGTATTCTGTTTTACTGAAATATGTTATTAAAAATTGTATGTAATAATACCAAATCAAACATCTTATAAATGTTAATTTATGTACCTTAGAAAAAAATAAGTTTATGTCCAGTCTTATAGATTTAAAGAAAATGAGACTCAAAGTTGTACCTCTTTGGAAAATGAAAATACTGTTTTTTCTTCTAAACAAACTACATCAAAAACTAGTACCTACTTATAGAGATATGACTTTCTACCACTAGAATAGGTCAAATTTAGGTATTTTAGTGAATGCACTCCACTTAATCAAAACTGAAAAAGGATTATTAACCTTTAAGGTACAGATTTGTATATTGTGTGTCCTCAGGCAACTATTTTAAGTGCCAAAACATCACGTAGGTTGGAATGCCTTGGAATATCTTGGAAATTATAAAAATCGGACACAATAAAAAAATTAAAGTTGTTATAGGAAGTAATAAGTTTTATTAGTTGCTACAGATAATTTTATCAAGAAATTTACCTGCGACCGTAACGCAAGTAATTCATCGCGTTTCTGTCTTGCTTCCAATGCCTTTTTCTTCTCTTCAGCCTCCTTCTTAGCTAAAAACTTTTTAATGTTATCAGAAAGTTGGCTCGTCTTTTTTTCCTTCTTTGGTGGCTCGAACTTCGTACTATAGTATTTGACCTGAACATAAACGAGCAGGTATATCGAAAAATTCAGGAAAATATGTTTTTTGAACATAAAATAATAATTAGGTTGTTGGTTAATTAAAAATTCATCTTACCCTTTGATCCTTTGATTTGTCGATCTTTTTCGCCGTGTGAAGCAATTCGCCGAAATCCATGATTTTATTTTTACAAATATAAATAAAATCTTTAAATTTCCTAAAAAAAATTGATTTAATTATTCACGTATCAGTGTCTCACATCGTACATGTCATCCTCCATATTTATTACTGAAATAAACATGAAGTTATGGTCAAATTAAGTTAAACTTCAAAAATTATGTTGCCTCTGACTATACACGATGTCTAGCCCAGTGGTCTTCACCTATGTTGGATGCCCTCTGTAATAAAAAATGTATGGGATGGGTAGATAGAAAATGTACAAATTAAATTTATCAAATTGTATTTTTGTATAAGAGTTCGCCTTAAAAATCCTGATGGTAAACTAATTTTAGACTCACAAAGGACTGAAACATAAATAGTATCCAACTGAAAGTTTATAGATTATCATGTTATATCGCTTGATTTTAATTATTTTTATATTAACAAAGGTTTTTGAATTAAAATCTGTTTGAATTGACCCTTAGCAGTTTATTTATTCATAATTGCAGGTATTGTAAAGAGAATACCATGGAGGAAGGAGAATACATCCTATGTCACATCCCTTTTAGACATGCCCAACCTTTCCATAGTTCTTTTATTTCGAATGCCCATGTTAAAAAATATTTGACCTTTTAAAAATTCTGCTACTTTCTGACCTGCATTTTTAGGCTATTTAATAGGTACTTTTCTAAAATCTATAATTACCCTTTGTCAAGAAAAGTGTTTGCAATCAAAACAATGTAGATTTACTTATTTAGTTTGTTAATGACAAAAACTGTTTTATGATTCCTTATACAAGACAGGTAGATACTAACAGTAATAATTTACACTACTACTTATATTTAAATATGTATATATCACAAATTATAAGTTTAGAGGTAAAGTAGGCCAAAAAGCAGGTTTATGTTCTTCCAAAGTTCTCTCATAATTCAACTGTATTCCAGTTTCCATACAGATTAGTTTTTCAGCTCTATCACCATATATTTTCCTCATTTCTTCCATTCTGTTTTTAAATTCAGGTTTAGGTAGATTAGGTATTACTTCTTTAATAATTTTATCCTTTTTCTTATTGCTACATTCTGCTACGGGTTCCTCGTTGGCGCTTTCTTCTAGATTTAAGCTATCGACTATAGTTTGGGCATATACGTTCCTCAAATGCTGTTTTAACATTCTATTTTCCAGTTCTAAACTAACAGCTCTGGATTTCCAGTAGGCTATTTGTTCCTGCTTATGCCAGTCTACGATCTCTACCGGTAAATGCGAGGAAAATTGTGTAGTTTTCCAGTCCATATCGTTAATTTCGACGACTTCTACAGCCGAACATAAATCTTCAGTACTTCTTCGATATCTGACCCGTTTTAAGGCTTCGTAGTATTTAATTTTGTTATGCTTTCTTCGTATTTTTCTTTTCGCTGCTTTTTGTCTTCGTTTAGTTTTTGCTCTAGAGGCTTTTTTCTTGTTCGCTTTGTTTATTGAGCTCGACTTGCGTTGAATTTTCGTTACCACATTTTCCATTTTGATTTTTGATTTGACGTCTGTTTGACGGTGATAGGTGACAGGTTACAATATTTGACTTTGACGTATTCGTTTCTATAAATGAACACATACTTATACTATTTAAGTATGTGCAAATGAACTAATTCAAGGTTCCCTGGATAGTAGTTTAAATGACCCTCTTATTTTTACTACCACCATTTCCACCGTTGTGTTAGGACCAATGAACTGGTCCAGTCCAGTGAGAGTAAAAGGCCCGTATTTATAAACAGAACTTACGTGAGTCGGACTTGTGCTGCGTTTGAGAATCCACATCGGATGCATTTTTTACATCTCGAGCGTTTTTTTATCCACATCGGACACATCTGTCCCATTACATTTACGTATACTGAACCACGTGATCAAAGATTTTTTACATCTCAGATGCATCCGATGTGGATTCTCAAACGCAGCATTGGGTAAGTCGTCCTTGAACTAAAATCTAAGTTCGGTTACAACGTCTCTAAATTTCTAGGTGGTTCCGGTGTTACACTGGCATTTAGAGATGGATATTAGCAAATTTGTAACTGTTAAATACATTTACGGATTTGTTACTACCCATCTCTAAATTCACGCGATAAAACCGAACTTCGATTTTCGTTCAAGGACGACTTACCCAAGTCCGACTCAGTTTTGTTTATAAATACGGGCCTAAAGTTCTGTGTTCTGTGGTCCATGCTGTGGTCCAGTCACAGATTGGTCCAGTGTCTGGCATTTCTGACAGCATCTGCGAACGAGAAATAAAAATAAATGGTTTTAGGTTTTGGGTTTATATTCTATTATTCAATATTATTTGATGTCGTGAGTAAAATTTCAACGTGCCTTAATTAATTAAGAAAAATTTATGAAGGAAATGATTATCAACTAATATACATTAATTATTAATGTATTTAAAAAATCAAGACAACAGTGACACACATTTAAGTAAAACTTTATGCTGGCTACTTCGACATGGTGCTGTGAAAGAAGGTCTTATAATAAAATCAGACGGTTATATACCTGTTAAAGATTTACTAAATCACGAAGCTTTGAAAGGAAAATACAGTTTAACAGATGTTAAGAGAGTAGTGGAAAATAACAGTAAACAAAGGTTCAACCAAAGGTATGAAAGTGATGCTTTAGAAATTTGTGCTAATCAAGGGCATTCTCTAAGGGTGAGTACTTAGTTGTTTAATGTTTTATTGATTGATTCAACTGTTTATAATTCAGGGAATAGACAATTTAGAATTAAAACCAATTACTGAAACGGAAAGCATTACTGTAATCCATGGTACATACTTGAAAAATTGGAACAGTATTAGAAATACAGGCATAAATCGCATGAAAAGGAACCACATACATTTTGCAACTGGTTTACCAAATGATAATAAAGTTATTAGTGGAATAAGGCAAGACGCCGAGATTGTGATCTACATAAACCTGCAATTAGCCCTTCTAGATGGTTTAAAATTTTACAAATCAACTAATGGAGTTGTTTTGAGTCCTGGAAATGAAAATGGGACTATTCTACCCAAATATTTCCTTAAAGTTTTAGAAAAATCTGGAAAAAAATTAGTCTAAAAATAAAATTTCATTATAAAAATAATTTCAAAATGCAGAATTCTGAAATGAATAACAAAAGGAAGGAAGAGATTTTTAAATGTGATATTTGCAGTGTAGAATTGCCTAGCAAAGTTTGTATGAAGGAACATGAATCGGGTCAAAAGCATATGAAGCTTTTAAATGCTAAAAATGAAAGGATGAGAGTGGAATTAAAATGTGGCATTTTTGTAAAAGGTAAGTGCCTTTTGATTTTGATAGCCAGATGCCCTCATCTGGCCATCAATATAGTTAGTTTTGTTCCTGGTTGTATAGTTGTACAGTTTGAAGTTGCTAAATATTTGTATGAAATTAGGTGTATAAAAAGCTTTCTTCTACTCAATAAGTCTATCATTTCTTATATCATGTGCTTAATGTAATAAAAAAGATTAATAATAATAATAATAATAATAATAATAAATCTTTATTGATCCTTTTTGATCACTATACAATGATATGTCAAGATACATGTAGTGGACAAAACACAATTTAAAATCTACATTTAAATATACATACACATAATATATATTACATTACCTAGTAATAATCCTTAATATTATAAAAACATTTTGTTACTAAAATTTTTTTTAATGTTTGTTTAAAGCTGTTAATGGATTTTATGTTTTTAATATCAGCTGGCAATTTATTAAATAATTGAATTCCTGCATACTCAGGACTATGTTCATAAAGAGCAGATACATGCCTAATTGTATGCAACAAATTGCCATTATGAGTGGGATAGTTGTGACAATCATTGTTCCTGAAAAGTTTAGCTTAATTTTTTTGTATATAAGATTGTCTTATAAATATATATTGAGGGTAGAGTGAGTATGTAATGTTTAATAAAATGATCCCTGCACATTTGTCTTGATTCCAGATTGAAGATAAGTCTAATTGCTCTTTTTTGTGCAATAAATACTCTTGTAGCAGCTGGAGAATTTCCCCACAGTGTAATATATTGTATGATATGTGTGAATATACAATTGCATAATATACCTGTAGAAGTTGGTTAAATGTAAATATCTTTTAATTGAAGTAGAGCATAACAACCACTATTAACCTTTTTACAGATGTAATTAATATTTGATTTCCAGCTCATATCACTATCTAGCAGTACCCCCAGAAATTTTGCTTTCTGCAACAAGTAGACATAATTGCAATTTACCTTTACACATATATTGTCATAAATTCTATTCCTTGAAAAAACTAAAGAGCAACTGTTTTATCAGAATTTAAGATTAAGGAATTTTTATTACACTAAGTTGAAAAATCTGAAGCTACTAAGTGAAGCTTCTTCTGCAGCTCATCTGGAGAATTTTAATTGCATCCTTAAAGTCTCTTTCCAAGCTTCTTGGATGTAGTATACCGAAACATGTTATGCACACTAAGTTTTTAAAGTCTTGTTTATTGTAACATTTAAAAAAGGGCATTTTATGTACCTATGTTACGCCACTGCACTATTAATTTTAAATGTTTTACTTTATTAATTATCAGATTAGGTTTAAAATAGTTTTTGTTTATTTTGTATTAAAATTATCAGTACCAGTTTTTCACTTAAAATTTAAGGATAAAAACACAGTTTTAATAAATCCCGAATTTTTACAATTTTCCAACGTTTCATAAAGAGCAGTTTTCTTAAAATATCACAGTTGAAATCACCATCTTTTTAGCCAAATTTTGATATTTGATTCAACATTTTTATTATAGTTTATACCTCTAAAATTTCTTACTTTTTGATAGCGTTTTAAAAGCGGTATTTATATTGTATAGTTCTTCAAATATTCTTTAGTATGTTAAAAACTAAAATACAATACCACAAAAAGATTTAACAGTCTGGAAGATGTTTTAAATCAGGTTTTGAGAACTTTCCCTTACAGAATTGGATACCCTCAGGATACTTATAACTATGAAACAATTCTAAACTTTTAAACCTATAATTTTTATTTACAGGAAGATACATTAATGACCTATTTTTACATAAAGTAATGTCTTCCAACCCATTGTAAGTGAATATTTACGGAATGAGCAAAGTTACAAAAAGCAGCATTTCATGTTACATACAATATTTTACCTAAATTATTTATAAACTTGTGTTTTACTAAAAAATGACTGTCATCTAGGCAACCAATATTACTTGTATTGTTAGTTACATATGAATAACTTCATTCATTTTATATAAAAATCATATTAATTTATTATCAATGACTTTTAATGTTTTTATAGTGCTTATTAAAGTTATTTAGTTTTCAAGAAAGTGGGTTATTTTGTGGTGTATTGTGTTTTGATTATTTTGTGCTGATTTAGAATGGAAAATAAGGACTAAAACAACATTATTACTAGGTTATAAGTTCACTAACCAAATTCTTTTTTAATATAGTCAAACTTGACTTGTTTGATATAAACTTTATATATTGATTTTAATGCCAAAAAGGTTTATTTGTATTCGTTTTCTTTTTGCAACCGGTGACATAATGAATTGTTCATAACCAGTTTCATGAAGTAGAGTATTTTGACACTTGCTGCAGTTACAAAAAAGATATATCAAAATTAGAAAAATTATTTTAGGTTATCCTTACGATATAGGCCAGGATGTATTGTTGGAATATTTTTCGAATTACGGTTCAATCGTATGGACGCATTTTGGTCATAATTTTTTATTGCTCGACTATTCAGACCCTAAGGCCGCGCTGACCGTCATTAATAAGCAACACAGAATTCATGGACGATTATTGATCGTTCAGTACAGGCAGCTGAGAAATCAAAGTAAGTTTCATTTCTACGTACCACAAACAAAAAAAAAAAAAAAAAAAAAAAAAAAAAAAAAAGATTCAAATTGCTTTTAGGAACAAATTCAGATGTAACTGCGTCACAGCCAATGTCAAACCTTGAAGAATTAAAAACGTCGCGATTTCTGAACCACCAGGTTCAGATACTCACTCAACATTTGCAAGGCGGTATGATCAGCTGGACGCACCATTCCAAATACCAAACCATTTGTAGGGATATCAGTTGCGCGCTGAAACCGATTTTTCCGAAATGCGCGACTTGGCCGTTCGGTTCGACACTCACCGGTTTGTTTTTTTGGAATAGCGACGTTGATATTTATATATCTGGAGTGAGGAGACCGAATGACGATGATATAGGGTATTTGTATAGGTTGCGAAGTATATTGGGCTCTTCACAGTATTTCTCCAATTTAATAGTTATAGGTAAGTTCTAGAACATATCATGTCATTTGTATTTATTATCTGCTATGATGATATCTTTCTAAAGCCAAAAGAGCTCAGTCTAATTTTTAATAAAAAAAAATGTTTATAAAATTAATATAAGATCATAGATCTCAGAAAGGCTTTTCAGAATCAATCAGGAAGACGAATATTCTTATTTAAAAGAAATAAGAGTTGGAGTATCTCAAGGAAGTGTTCTTAGACCCATTTTATACTTACTCTACACTAGTAACTTGTCAACTCTGGAAGATATGTCTGTAGCTACATTTCGATGGCTTAATTCTAACCTCATAACCCACAAAGAGTAAATTTTACAATAGAGGCAAAAAACTCTCAAAAAAAACAAGTATCGTACATATTAGGCCTTGTTAGAAATCGTCGGAATCAACTAGAAATAATTTTATTTTGGACACGAGGTTTTACTGACCGATAGGGTCCATCTTTTTCTATAGAGTAAACATAAAAACGTGAAAATTGTGAGTTAGAATTAAGCCATCGATTTGCTGATGATACTGCTCTCCTTGCAATTAATCAGGATCAAGAAATATCAGTAAGGAAACTCCAAACCAGAGCTGTGATAAGTATTTAGCAAATGTACTTTAAGTAACCAGTATTAAGTAATTTAAATTCCAAATCTACTTACAATATTAAGTATAAGTATTTTTGGGTGTCAAGTCGGGCTCAACTCATACTTTAAAGTCCAAAGCACTATTCGATATCTAAGATTACTATTACTGTTGTTATAACGGCTATCTTAGACTACAAGGTAGAAACATGATGGAATTATTCACGAATAGAGTTCAAAATGTAATCCAAGGACTTAGATAGCTGTGTGATTATACCAGATAATTAAATTTTCTCATTTTTTGTGTGAATTGATATAATACTGATCCCAACAAAAAGAGAGGTGTCATATTATTTCACTTACCTATCTAATTCACAATTATTTTCAGATACTGTCTGTATATGTATACTATACACTATCTTAGGTAGGACTGTATGCTTATTACTCTTATTACGAGTAGTATTATTAGTACCAGGTATCGGTAAACTACAAGTCCGGTATCGGCACACGTTAGACGTCATGTGTCGCAAAGATTTGATTTGTTTGAGCGTGTTTACTGTCACTATACTGTCCGGGTAATATGAAATGCGAGTCCTAGCTTGTTTTGAGTTGCAGTATTTTTAATTAAATACTTAAAGTAAATATGTACTTAAAATAGTTTCAAAAGTACTTTAAGTATTTTCCATTTAAGTACTTACTGTTAAAAATTACTTAAGTATTTTCAGAAAAAACTTTAAGTAGATTCTGATTTTCCAGTACATTTTTCAAGTAATAAGTAATACCACAAAAGCGTTAATTTAAGTACAAGTACTTTTTTCAAATGCAATAAGTACATTTCCAAAAGAATCGTTATACTCGGACAAAATATTGAAGAAGGTGATTCCTCCATGGTTCACGTACAATAATCATACTATACCAGAGCATAATGAATGGAATCACGCGCCTAAAACTGCAGAAGTTATCGGTATCACGTGCCAACTAGTCATAAATGAATGTTTATTGCCAAAATGTATTACGCCAGTGGCGTATAAGAACTATTGGCAAATTAAATGCGGTAATAGTAAATAATATTAGATGAAAGTAGGTTGGTTATCTATTTTTGTAGTAATAATAATTTAAGTTTATAATTTTGTTTTGTTTATTGTTAAAATATGTAAATATTATGCCAGTGGCGTAGAAACACTATTGGAAAATTAAATGGGGTATTATACTAGATTAAAATATTGAAGAAGGTGCGCCTTAAAACTGCAAAAGGTATCGTTATCATATCAAAATGCACTCTTCCAGTGTCGCAGAAATACTATATGAGCAAATTAAATGGGCATTTGTAAATATTACTAGATGAAAGTAGGTTGGTTATCTATTTTTGTTATAGTAATTCATCTATGTTTATAATTATCTGACCTCTCAATTAAAATTGATTTCCTACACCGTTTGACAAAACGAAATTTTAGGCCCCATTAAATTTTTCGTAAAGTTTCACGGCTCATTAATGGAATTTCTTCGGTTTTTCTTAATTTCGTAAGAACAACTTTAAGTGTTGGAGCTTTGTTTAAAAAAAAAAAAAAAAAGAATGTATAATTCTTCGAATTATTTGTTTTTGGGTATCGTCCAATTTCAACAATAAAAAGGTATGCGTTTTAGGTGCTTCTAAGGAGCCTTTTTTTGTCTGCGATTTACAGCTTCATTTGTAGGAAGTGTCTGTTTCAGCCCATCATACACTTTCCATATAATGTTCTTTTCATCCTTTGATAAGGGCTTTCGCCGACGTAATTGGGTTTCACTTAGACCCGCCTCTGAATCCATTACTATTGTAACAATATAATTCTACTATTAAATTGTTTTTATTAAATTTATAAAGATACCAATATTTTACTATTTAATAAACTTTTAAAGTACCTACCTAATATACTACACAATAAATATAACACCTAAAATATGCACTACCACTACCAAATTGTAAGGCACAAACATGAACTCCCACTCGTATATCAAAAAAGAGCACTTATACAAAAAAGTGTTTATAAAATATAAAATAATTATCGTAAATAGTTAAACCGATACAAATCTAACTTCGTCGAAAGTTAGTTTTCAACTGTTTTTGTGCCTGTGCTGACAATATTCAATCTGTAGCCCGTCTCTCGTTTATTTACTTGAAACACATTCATTTGTCATCGCCTCCAAATATTAGGTTATCATCTTACAAAATTTTACTCTCTCTTGCAGAGTTAAAACCGATTTCAACTGATTTAGGGGTTTTGACTCTTTACCTGATCCACACATGGACGGACTTTTTTGTCTGTCTAACTAAATGAATGTAACGATCAACGAAATTGCCAAGAACGGAGATAACACGTTTTCAAAAGCGGTGTTTTTAAAACCATTAAACACAGATAACGAAGTCATTAGGGAATAAATATATTCATTTCTTGAAAACTATCAAAAACGTATATTTAACGCATCATTTTTGTTTAAATAAAGATGTTGATAAGTTTACTAACAAATACCTAATAAATAATTATTTGGTATTTGATACGCCGCCTATGCTGACTCTGTTACTTTCCGTCAGAATTTTCAATCATAGACAACAGTGTTGATCATGCATATGACTCACCTTCTCCAATATTTTGTTCTAGTATAGTTCATAAATACTTTAAGCAAAATACTTAAAGTAAAAAAATACTGATTATTTATTTCAAGTAGGTTTTTGTACTGAATACCTCAGCTCTGCTCCAATTGCTAACAATTCTCTAGTTAACCATCAATCAATGGAGAATTAAGCTCAACTTCAAAAAAAAAATGAAAAACCTAAGGATTCACGAATTAAAACACCCATTTCCTTTCCTATTTTTCATGTACTGACAGATAAAATATGTATAGGCCTATTTTTTTCTTATTTTAGCACATGCCAAAATACCAATACTTAAATGCATTCATACATCGACGAACACGAATTGTGATATCAATATAAGAAACGCGCTAGGCGTTTGTAACAGCAAATTAATTAGTTATTACATCGAAATCGATAAAAAAATCAAAGAAATGATGTTGGTGATCAAATATTGGGCCAAAATACACAGAATAACTGGACAGAATCACCTGTTCACCAACTATTCTTTGTGTCTTATGATAATTTTTTACTTGCAAAGGTAAGTGAATCTTTTAAGGTTTTTAATAGTATTTTTTCAAATAAATATTCATTTTATGATTTTTTTTTCTATCCCAGTTTTACAGGCATGTTTTTCTCTTTCCGTTTTTTTTTTTTGACTAGGTAACACTTTGTTTTCACAATAGAACTCTTTACACCCTTAGCCTTTTTAGATATTCCGACATTTTTAAAAATTTCATTATTAGCTTCTCCAAATCCCTCCTCTTCCCTATAAAGGTAGCATTTGTTACCATCACTTTTTAACTTTTTCAGGACGGTACCGATAATAACGATCCGTGTTGACTAGGCGGCTGTAGCCAGCACGGCCTTAACGCTTTCATCTTGAGAAAAATGTATGCAAATCCGGTTGTTATCCGTTCTGAAAAGGTTAATAATGTGTACCCCAATTTCATGGTTTTTCAATATTTAACCATTCGATTTGTTTCAGTAATCCGTATCATTTACCGTCAATAAAGTACCTGCAAGGAAACGTTCCTTCATACGAACCCGTTCACGAAAGATGGAACGGAGATTTCGAAAGAAAGAATGTTTACTGCCCCCACATTCGAAACACTTCACTACTGGACTTACTCGACAATTTCTTTTCGTATTACGCGGATTTTGATTACGCTAAGTACGTGATTTGTCCTTATGTAGGACGACCATTCGAAAGAAAATTTTTCCAGCATGCTGAAGACTTACCGACCATTTTTTCTGGTTATAAACAGTATCTGAGTGTTGAGAAGAACATACCGTTCAAGATTGGAGCCGATATTTGCGTCCAGGATCCTTTTGAACACTCCAGGAACACCACACCAAATGTTTCTGAAAATACGTTGAATATTTTCATCAAATTTTGTAGACACGCACAAAAATTGTGCAAAGAGGGAGAGAGTGGTCTGCTACATAAGATGTTCACCGAATCACCACCAAATTGCGATGTTACTCTATTAGCGCAAGCTAATTTCACCCAATTTGGGGTGACGATGGGCTGCAATCTCAAATACCTGAAAGAGAAATTGAACGCGGAAAAATCATCGATTACTATCAAAGATCTGTGGTATGAATCAGTCAAGAATTTCACCTTAATCGTCTTAAAAGACTTCCTAAGTCTGCAAGTGGACGAAAACGAAGCAAGCAGTAGCAAACAGATCAAACTTGAGGGTCAAACTGACATTCATTCGTATCTAAACCCATTAATAGCGTCTTATAAATGTTACGGGAGATTAAACGTATGGCATTCTCGCAAAGTGGCCCTCAAATCAACCGATAAAGATTTAAAAACGTTGATTGAGAAGGAAACAGAAGTTACTAAGCAATTGGTGGAATTGTACAAAAACATTCAAACCACCGCGAATATCGTAGAGTTTGAAATAGTTTTAGAAAAAAGGTTAGAGCCGGCTCAGGTGGTTTTCAGTTTGACTAAAATCGCGTCTTATAAGAAAACGTTCAAGAATTTCGGTGAATTTTTGGCCAAGAAATTTGGCAGTTGGTTTGAATTGTACGAAAGAGATTTAAACGCGAGTTGCTAGTAATTTATATGTAAATGTTCATTATTTATAAGTCAGATTTTACTTTTAACAAAGATGCTCAACAAATGATATAATTAAACATTAGTTCGTTTTTGATGGACGACAGTTTACGTAATTAATGTGATAGTTGACGTCGTTAGACATTTTTTTTAAAAGTATGTGTTTGTTATAGGGAAAATTTTGTAAATAATAGCCTATTGGTACTTTGTTATAAATGTGTATATGTATAGCTAATTCTTATATTTCTATATTAAGAACAGTGCAAAAATTAACAGGAAAATTTCAAAATTCTATTTGCAGAAATGGACAAAAATAGCCGAACGTTTGGCAAAAACTAAAAATTTGTTCACCTGAATATTTTTTATTTTTTTTTTTTTTAGTTATTGTGTAAATCATTAGAGTGATTTTTTTTTCGACCATTTCTTTTTTTTTTTTAGTTATTGTGTAAATCATTAGAGTGATTTTTTTTCGACCATTTCTTTTTTTTTAGTTATTGTGTAAATCATTAGAGTGATTTTTTTTTCGACCATTTCTTTTTTTTTTTGGCTCCCGTCCTGAAATTTTGTAGAAAATGCTCCAAAAAAAATTCCCTGAAAGTTTGAGCCCTTAATATTAATATTAAGTACTCGACCAAGGCGTGGAAAGATTTTCCATTTAAAATACACGTAAAATTAGGGTTTTTTCTTCAGATTTCTATAGCTTAGCGGCATTTTATGGTATTATTTCGACCATAGACATGTATTTCTCCAAATTGAACTCTACAAAAGTCAGTAAATCGAATTTTTTCATGAAATTCGACCCTATGTCATAATTAAGAAGAATTACAGAAAAAATGTAATTGACAAAGTTGTAGGATATTTAATTTACTACAAAAAATGTCTTGAGAACCAAATCGCTAAGATCAATATTTGTCGAGATGTTAAGCCTTGAATTAATTTTACTGAAAAATATTTGCCGATTATTGACTGAAACTTTTTGAAGTCATGTTTTATTTGTATTATCACACTTTTTGTTCAATATATTGTTTTAAAGTTAGAATACTAGAAAATGATTAATATCTTATATTGTTAAAGCTCATATTTGAAGAATCTTTAGTAAATAAAGTATTTACTGGTTCCTGCATAAAACATACAATTACTTTTATACCAGGTGTTCAAATTAAAATGTTACAGTTAAATACCGCCGAAAATATGCATTTTAGAAAAAAAAGTTTTATAGTTTTTTGGGGGAAACATTTTGGCTAAATTCATTTTTTTATTCATAGCTGACCATAATATGGCCATATCAAGGTAGGCTTTTTTAAATTAGAACCCCATCTTTTTTTTGCATATTCTTAAAGTACATAAAAAAAATAAGAAACTTTTGAGGGAAATATTTTTTTTATTGGACTTTTACTTTTTGAGTAACAGCTACTTGAAAATTTTGCTGGACGAAAACAAATTGGCCATATTATGGTTAGCTTTAAAAAACGATTTTAGCCAAAGTTTTTTCCCCACAAAACTATAAAACTTTCGTCTGAAACGTTTTTTTTTATATATAAAAGGTGGTATTAAACTGTAACACTTTAATTTGAACACCCGGTATAATTTATACCTTTAAAACTAAACATATTTGCAGGTTTTCTTGCCCTTACAACCCCTACAACTAACACAGGAAAATAATGAAACATATATTTCAAAATATTGTTTAAAATTATATAGATTTTCTTTTTATGATAACATTTATATTTTGTTTGTGATATATCACATATCGGAAAGTTACAAAGTTAAAATCATTTTAAAATATTTTCCTTAAACGATTTTGTAAAAAAAATGCGAAAATATCCAAATAAACAGTTTTAGAAATATGGCTAGACGCCGCCTCCAAGGAATAAACTGCTCTTTAGTTGTAGAATAAAATAAAAGACAATATTATAAAATTTATTTTATTTTTACAGTTTGTACTATTAACTTATTACCTTTTCTACGATGTACGACTATCAAATAATACGTTTATTAAATAAAAATTTTGACTTTTCAAGAACATAAAATCTATCCTACGTTGTTTCTTTATGCTCGCAGTACATAATATTTAACTTGAAGCACTTTAAAAGTTTACCGAATCGTTTTTGTGCTCTCCCACATAAAGGAAATAACATTTGAATTAAGATACTAACTCAAAGAATTTTAATATAAACCCAAAATCCGAAGAATGATCGCCAAACCCGGAATTTCTAGGTCAAAATGATGAGTTTCTATTTACTTAATTAGTGAATACAACGTTGACAGTTAGTTACTTTAAAAAAGTCAAACATCAAATTATTGATAATATAATCAAGAATAAAAAACTTTGAAATCTCTTATCATAGTCGTAGAAAATCTGTAGTAATCTACTTGCTTAACTGACTATCTCGCGCTGCTAAAATAACGTACTATCATTAACTTAAGAAACGTTTATCAGTGTACACCATAAACAATTGAATTTATTCCTCAAAGACGAATTATGTTTAAAGGTTACAGCTGGTGTTGTGATCTGGATCCTGCGCTGGATATCCACACAGGCATTGCTTGCCGCCCAGACCGTTCGGTAGACATATATGGTCCTTCGGACACTGGTTCTTGAAGAATTCGCATACGTTCGCTAAGGCCGGACAGTGGTTGGGTACCGCTACTAGTTCGAACAGTCTGTTTCCGGTGCCACCCAGCGGTACTGATAATGGCGGGAGTTTTTTCAGGCTGTATTTTTCCACCCTTTCGATTTTTTTTCTGAAAACGGTAATTTTTAATCACTAGTTTCAATCTGTCAACAAAAGGTCTACAGACATTTATAGAAAGTAATTGCACGGTAAAGTATATTCAAGCTAGACTTTCTAGAATGCAATGTGTCTCACCATAGAAAGATTATTGACAGTCGCTGTTGTTCTCATTGCAATTTCTCAAAAACAACGAAGAGAAAATAGCAATAACTAGTATGGGTTGAGGAATGGATAGCTAGAAAAGTACTACTCTTGGTGCCAGTGATAAACTATTAAAAGAATAATTGAAACAAATGAGAATTCAAATAAGTATCAAAACGGTATTTGTCTCGAACGACAATTTAATTGATGCGGTTTGCTCCACAATCCTTTTATATGGGGTCAAAAGGATTCGGTAGCATCAGATGGAGATACTGAATATTCCAGGAATCAAAATGTTCTGTGGGTGCTGTAAAGGAGTAGAAACTAATTTTATGCACTGTTACGTAACCGAAATTTTAATCCGAATGAATATAAAATTAACAATTTCCGTATAAACGACTTCACCAAATCATAATTTGTTTTCGGTACTTACGTAATCCAATCCGACCAATAGATCTCCCTATCGGTAGTCGTAATTCCAAAAGGATACGTCAAATTCGCCGCGACGGTTTGTTTAAATTTCGAATCGATATGGACGCATTCGATCTTTTTAGTACCGGCATCGGCGAAGCACAAATGTTCAGTCTCGAAGTCGATCGTCAAAGCGTTGGGCAAAGAAACGTCTGGAGCTCGCAGAAATATCTTCCTATCGGTTCCGTCGGCGTTGGCCCATTCTATTTTCGGATGTTTTCGATCCCAATCGGTCCAAAAGATTTTGCCGCGTTGCGGATGAACAGCTATGCCTCGTGGATTCACTAAATCTGTGTTGAATAAGGTTCTGCGTAATTTGGATTCGATGTTGGCTACTTCGATTGTATCTAGAGTCGAATCTGTCCAGTAAACGTTACGAGAGATCCAATCTATGGATATACCTTCTGGGGATCCCACACCTAAATAGAAGAACGTTAAGTAAATATAATAAGCCCATTCTGTACTTATTTACCTTGTGTAACGAAATCACCCTTGTCAGTACCATTCAAAAACGAACTCCTAATAGCCCTTCCGCTGATATCACTCCAATAAACTCTTCCTTCCAAGCAATCGACATCCAAACCGACAGCAGTTTGGAACGCTTTAGCTTGAACGGGCTTATTGGCTTGTATCTTCTTTTGATCGAGAGGTATCCTCAAGGTGGCCATACCTTGGTTGAGGAGTAAATAATTACCTTCGTGACGAGATATCTCTTTGCACACGGTACCGTTGCCCACGAAACCGGGATTGCATTGACACAAGAAGTTTCTGTTCGCGTCTAGAAAGTATTTTAATTGTTTGGTACCTAAGACAATTTTGCTGTTTTTTACTTACCAGTGAGACATTTGGCTTGCTGAGAACACATTGTAGGATCAGTGTGACAATTCCTTTCTGCATAACAGAGGAATCCGTCACCAAAGAATCCTTCCTGGCACAAGCATTTATATCCGAGCTCCTCCTCGATGTACTTGCAAGTGGCATGAACGCCACAATTGTTGAGGGTGTCGCAACCAATGACTTTCTCTCTACACTCTGTAATGCCGTCACCGACGAAGCCAGGTTTACATTGACAGTAGTGGGTTTGGTATTCATCGTCGTAGAGACAGTCTGCGTTTTCAACGCACTTACCACCGCCGCACGAGTCCGAGATTATAACGCATTGGTGTTGGGAATCTCGGACATAACCTAAAAAATGTATTCAACATTGTAGAAACTGGTATTTCGAAAAAAACAAAAAATGGTTTTAGCTTCTTAAACAATTCCGTAAGGTGCTCTATAATATCAGACATGAAAAAAGAATGTTGAAGAATGTAAAATAATGTTGAAGAATGTCGAAGGATGGTGAAGAACGTTAAAGAATGTTGAAGAATGTAAGGGAAAGTTGAGGAATGTTGAAGAATTTTGAGAAATGTCGAAGAATGGTGATGAATGTTGAAGAATGATAAAGAAAGATGAAGAATTTTGAGAAATGTCGAAGAATGTTGAAAAATGTTGATGAATGATGAAGAATGTTGAAGAATGATGAAAAATGTTGAAGAATGATGAAAAATGTTGAAGAATGTTAAATAATCTTGAAGAATGTTGAAGAATAGGTACATATATAGGCCACAAAATAGTTCCCTGAGGTAGGTACTATCTGAAAATGGTTGCTGCATTTAACATTGTAGAAACTGATGTTTTCTCACAAAGAAAAGAATGACTATAGGTCCCTAAACAATTTCATGCTCTCTAGAATGTTCCAATATTCCTATATAGGCCACAAAATAATTTCCTGAAGTAGCTAATACCTAAAATTGGTTGCTGCATTTAACATTGTAGAAAATGGTGTTTTTCCATAAAGGAAAGGATAGTTGTAAGTCCCTAGACAATTTCATGAGACTCTAGAATGTTCCAATATTCCTATATAGGCCAGAAAATAGTTCTCTGAGGTACTACACAATATTTACTTCTTGAAAATTAATAGAAGCAATTTGTATATTAAATATAGTACCAAAATAAGCAACAAAACAATTTTCTGATCAATTTTTATAGTGCTATATACATACCGGGTGGCCCAATTAAAACTGTTTACCTCAAATATTTTCATTGGAGGAGGTTTTTCCGGAAAAAACCGATACAGTTCGATTTCGCTTTCGAGACTTCTTTTGATCGTTAATTCAAGAATACTAAATGGGACAGGGCTGGGGTCATTTGAAAAGAATTTTAATTTTCTTTACAAATATGCTAACAAAAAGATGTACATTTTATCGACTTCTATACACAGTTTAACAAAAGTATTATCTTAGTATAGACGCGGTATTATAATGATACCGAAACCTGAAAAATAACTTACCGTCTTTGCAAATACATTCGTATCTTTGCGATTGCGTAATGACGCATTCTTCAGTTGGAGTGCAATCTTGATTGGAGGTGCAGCTTGCTATAAAAAATATTCCTATGTAGTAAAAATATTGTATTCGTAAAAATCGATTGTATCTCCAAAATCCGTTGAAAATTAATATTTAAAAAAATTGTTTCGTAATAAAATCTAATGAATACAACTCTTGATACTTGCTTAACACCAAATATATCTTACCAATAATTGTACAGCCATATCCATCTCCAGTAAAACCGGGATTGCATATGCAGGTCGATTTTCCCAAATTTTCATCGTAAGTACACGTAGCTTGCGCATGACAGTTATCCACTTTTGTACAGGACACTATTTCTACTTCACAATTGTATCCGTTTCCTTCCAAACCTTCGTTACAAACGCATTCATAGTCGTGCAGGTAATCGGAATACATACAAGAAGCATTTGGATGACAGTTGTTCAAAACGTTACAACCTTCTGTAAAAGAAAGTGTAAAAATGTATTAACCAACGAAATATGCCCAAATAAAACATTTCTCGTCCAGGAAACTGCCCACTCGGTCTGTAAATTATAAATTTCCAAAATAATACCTTGTACAATTTTTTCAGACGTGATTGTTGTAGTTGCAAATGCAGCGCTATCGGTCGTCGCGGGTAAACTATCCGGAATACAATATGCGGTACCAGACTGAATTGCGTATCCTACCGGACAGTAACATCCTTCGTTTGTACAGGTTTGTAAAATACTTTGATCTAAAAATAAAAATTAAAAATATTTCATCTCACGTTTACTACAAACGTAGAAATTGTAACATTAAAAACTCCTACATAGAAAAACAATTGACTTAACAATAAGAAATCTATAACAAAGCAATATTTAAATAGACTCACTTGGTGCTTCTGTATTTTCTCCTTCTTCTGTAGTAGTCATTGGCATTGTGGTAGTTTCCATTTGCATACATCTGTAACCATCTCCCGTATATCCTGGTAGACAAGCGCATTTGTAATTACCAGTTTCTGGTTGTATCGCGCAATATCCATACGGTGAGCAGTTATTAGCTATGTGACAGCTGTGATCTAAGATCGCCTGGCAATATTGACCATCTCCTTTGAATCCCGCCAAACATCTGCACGCAGCGATACCATTACTCTCCACGCATTCAGCATTCTCATTGCAACTGACATTTTGACAGGACCTCGCGTTATCGCAAATATGGCCGTTACCCTCAAAACCCGGATTACAAACGCAACTGTAGCTTCCCACCAAATTGAAGCATTGAGCGTTGTAGTCGCATTCGTGCTGACCGTTTAAGCATTCGTTGATGTCCGAACAGATCGTTCTGTTACCGTCGAAAATACTTTGATAGCCGGGGTTGCAGATGCACCGGAAGGATTCGTTTTCGACCACGCATGCGCTGTTGTCGGTGCATTTCGATCGACCTTCTTCGCAAGGGTCGAAATCTGCAAAAGAATATACTAGTTGTAACATTTCAGATCAGTTGTGACGAAGTCACTAAAATTTCCCCTAATTTATTCCCTAAATTAATTTCTAAAACTAATTTCCGTCTATGAACATTTGCGAGACCCCCTGTAACTAATATTTCCATAGAATTAACCGTTTTTAAACCTTTGCAAGAGCCCTCGTAGTTTAAAACTTTTCATTATCACCATAAATTAAATCATGTTTTAAAATCTCAATTCTGGTAGGTTTATCAGTATGCCGATCAATCAACGTTTTTTGCAAAACAACTAATAACAAAGGAGTAGGAACTGGCATCCCCACTCTGGCAAAAAAGTCCGAACTTACCTCCCAACGGAGTAATTTTGTTGCTCAAACCGAATCTGATGATTTGCTCTCGGCTTTCGTAGCTGATAAAATTTTTTCCCACTTTTAATTTCCATGTTTCTCCAACGGTAATGTTAGCGTATTTACAGTAATCGAAAACGAAAGATTGATCCACAGAGTAGGTTAAGACATTTTCTTGGCCATTTGGATTTAGAACGCGGATGACACGTTGCGAGGTCATCTGGATGACACCTGGACCCGTTCTGGAGTAGTTTTCTTGGTATTCGTCTATGGTTACCTAAAATTTAGTTTTAGAATGATTTTAGTTTGAATTGTTTTAATTTTCTCACTCTAGATTCATCTGTCAGTATGGGTATGTCGCCCTGTATATCTGCTTCAAGTCTGAGTTGATCGAAAACATCTAATCCCAAATATTTTTGTTTGATTCTTATCGTTTGGGAGGTATTATGGAAAATTATTGTAGCTGTATGATTAAAGACTCCACCAGTTATCTGATACCTGAAATACAATTCATAAATCACTGCCTAAATATACGAAACTAAAAATATTACCCGTTTGAAGCTGATCTGAGAGGTTTGGCGAACAAATAACCTATTACGCCACCCAATATTTGCATGGATTGTATATCAAATCCAATGGATTGTGGAATTTTGGAGATGGCTGTATAAGCCCTTCCATCAGACATGACGACGTATGATTGAAGATCGAGACCCTCTAACTTTTCTCCATTGATTTTACCGTAAATTTTACCATTAACTCTTAATGGTACATCTAAAATAAAAATATCACATCAAGAACTATGCTACTAGTTGTGGTTAATTGTGACGATTATATTCATTGTAATGGCGCAGTCAGTAGGATCGTTGGCACAGCTTATACAATACAGCTCCACAACTCCGTGTCGGCGTCTTTGATCTGGCGGTCGAGAACCAAGCAAGACGGAATGGTGCTATCTCTGTTAAATTAAAGGGAAAAGTCGGGCCCGGATTAAGCAATTTTTTTATTATTGAAAAAATTGAAAACCTTGACGTAATAAGGTTGGTTACATGCCATGTTAAGTAAGTTTTGGGAAATTAAATTTTTAATTTGTTTTAAATCTGTCAAATATAATTAAAAAAATTATTTAAATATAAATATTACGAAAAATAGCACATCTTTCGGATTAGAGGTAAAATAATTTGTATGTGGCTAGTAAAATCCTCGTTAACAAATGTTTTGAGCTAAAACAGTCACTTCACGACAAATTGTGACTTGGATCCTTTTTACACCAAGGGCTTCAATTGTTAAAGAAATGTGTCACGCTCGTGGATGCAAATCAAGTGGTACCCCGTGTCTCTGGCAAGTGTTACCCTTCGCGCAAAGGGTTTATACCTAGATAAACGAATGATTCGACTGAGGTCTGGGAACTCTATGGTATTTTGGAATTATAAAGAATTTGTGCTTTTATTTTAACAATATTGTTTATATTTAGATGTATTCTTATTAATTGAAATACAGATTTGTAGAAGTAATACTTCAGTTTTTATTAATATAATATATTCAATTTTTATCTGACCATACCGAAGTAGGGAATTTTGAAACTTTATAGTAATGTGAAATTTGAATTACAATATTACACGATATTACATAATTACTACTTATTTTAGGTAGGTACTAAATTTGTACTTGGAGAAAGTAATATCGATTTTTACAAGAAAACTTGAAAAGTAAATTAATTTAGTTCTTATTTCTGATGTAAAACTTAAACCAAGAAAACAAATAAATTGTAGTTTGTTCAACAAGGGTGGATATGATAGCCATATCACACAAAGACGAAGTTTGAGCACGACGTCGTAGGCGGAGTACTCAATCGTCTGATTGTGATATGAACAATCCACTCGATATGGTCAGTATATTTTTTCTACGACCCACTAACGAAAATCTACAAATTTAAAAAATTATTTTAGGTTATTTAGACAAAATAACTAATTTTAAAATAATTTACGAAGTTGACTAATTTATAAAATAAAATAAACATGAAAAATTAATTAGTCCTCGGCCTAGATTCGATCCCGGGCTTTTCGCATGGAAGGCAGATGTTCTGTCCTCATCTTCACCGAAACTTTCAGGACTTTAGTTTTAATACTCGTAATTAAATTAGTATCATGTAGTTTGATTAAAATTTATTTTTTTTTAAATGTGGACATAATAAAAACAAAAATGCTATTATTTATCGAGTCTACACAAAAATTTTAATGTATATTTAATATCAATAACTAAAATATATATTGACAATTAGTTTAACAGAATTATCACTTATTTAAAAATTTTTAAATAATAGGAGTTGGGTGACCAAAATATGAACTGTGATTTGTAGATTTAATTTTGTTAAAGTGTTCTCACTACCTAAAATGGATATGAAATATATTCGTAGTTGAACGCAATAACATAATTTTTCGTTTTGTAGTATGTGCGTAGATTGGCTAATATCCATGCACAGATTACAAAACGAAAAAGTATGCTATTGCCTTCAATTGAACGAATATATTTCATATCCATTCTAGGTAGTGAGAACACTGCAAAAAAAAATAAATTCGCCAATCACCGTTCATATTTTGATCAACCGACTGCTATTATTTTTAAAATTTTAAATAAATGACATTTCTGTCAAACTAATTGTCAGTATATTTTTTAGTTATTGAGATTAAACATACAATAAAATAAGTTATTCTTTTGGAAAACGTTAGCATGGATGACTAAAGGGTATTGGGTTAATTAATTCTAAAAGTGTGGTACAAATGTTATTTTTTGTAGCCAATTCTTCAAAATTATTTTAAAATATCTTTTCAATATTGAATATTAGTTCTACAAATTCATCATTTGACAGTTGCAGATTTCCAAATGTATCTGAATTGGCGTTATCATATGCCTTTTAAAAGCAATAAAAAGAAAAATCGTCTAATTCAACGTGATCTTTGTTATATTTAAGACAGGTATCGCAGGAGTGGATCCGCAAGGCTTTTATTAAAAGGTAACCACACACATACCTGATAAAATTTTTCTGTAGCAATTCGTCTTTACAATAATTTAGGGTGTTAATAATTTCATCATAAAATAAAATACAAGGTGTTCCATTTAAAAACATACATTTTAATTTTCCAGGCAAGAACGTGACACCCTGTGTATCCAAAGATATTTTTAAAATATGTAGGTATTTTTCAAATCCATATAACTTTTATTTAAAACTTTCTTGCGTGTCTACAACAAAATAATGAACAATAACGCACTAATGAGACACCCTGTATAAATTATATTTTTAACAATGAAAATTTCTTATAATGTAGTACTTATCGGTTTGGGTCCTTGGGAAAACTAAAGAATGTCTTCTTGCAGGTATAACCCTTATTAAAACAGCTTTTGACTGCACAAACTCATTCTACTCACAGCTAAAGAGTCACCAAAATAATAACAGTACCTTTAACTCAAACAAAATCAACGAAATTATAGGCTCCACGAAATTATACAATCAACGAAATTATACAATCAACGAAATTATACGCACGACTCAACACCTTGCCTAAGTACGCTTCTGAACGCCAAAACCGTCTTTTCCCTTCGAAGGCGGAGCTTAAGCGATGCGCGACGAAATCGGCGCAAACCGTTGCCGCCAAGAGAGTGTTTTAGCTGTATTGTATAAGCTGTGTCGTTGGTTTCTGTCATAAACGTTTCTGTACATCAGAAAGCCTATTAAAAGGTCTAAGAGAGAGCCACCACAAAAATAGATCAATTCATCGATATCACAGAGGTGCCAAAGATTTACAGCCACTTAAAATTGGATTAGAGTTGGGTTTCAAAATCCAAACATGAAGATGTGGAACAAAATTGGAGATTTATTGGAAATTAGAATTAAATTAAATGCGCAAGTGGTCGAGTTTTCCTAAAAAGAACGACATATGAAACCTAGCTGGTTTGTGAGGGAGGTTTGTGAAGCTAGTCTAAGAAACTTATTCTAGTTGTAGTTAATTGTTGATAAAGTAGTTTACCGGAAAAATTAGGCAATTTGGCAACGTCTAATCTTTTTAAAAATGAGTAAATAACAGTACCAACCTTTTTTAACGCAATGTTTACCATTTCCATAAAATTTCGGGTTGCATTCGCAACAGAAACCTTCATCATAATCCTTGCATTTTGCTTGGATGTGACACAAAGTTTTGGCACCGGCGCAAGAATCGCTTGGTTCCTCTGGTTTATTACCTGAAAATTTGACAAATTATTAAATTCGCTAAAAATGTATATTTTATGAGAAAATTATGACTTACTGAATCCAGCGTCTGGTTCTACGATTTCCAATTGATCGATTCTATAGATGAACTGTCCGTCTAGTCCAATGTTCGACCACCTGAAAAATATATTGATGACGACAAATTATACCAACAAAAAACGACTTTTTAATATAATATAATAAATTTTTTCAAATGATTATTATTATTCATGAACAGAACGAAAAGAAGCGGCCCTAAAACTGATCCTTGAAGACGTCTGAACAAATTGACTAACATAAAGACGACTTTTTAATATAATATAATAATGTTTTCAAATGATTCTTATTATTCATGGGCATAATAAAAAAAAGCGGCCCTAAAACTGATCCTTGAAAACCTCTGAATAAATTGAAACCGTGTTTAGAATATATATTGCTGAATTATTGTTATTATAAACAAAAAAAAGGATTTAATATGAGATATTCAATTCCAAACTGTGTTACCTATTTAAGTTTTTGACTTGCTCAGTACCGGATCCAGGCAGAGCGAAAACTTTCCCTTCCGGAGAGATAATACCTGCTTGCGCACGCGCATCAGGTAATCCAGAGTCGTCTCCAGTTCCTTGTATCCATTGAATACCGTTTTCTGGGTACAAGAATTCGACGTAAGACTGTTCTCCATCTGTTGATATGACCACTTGGTATGTGTTCAGTTTATCTGCACCGTTGTTAAAATAGCCTACGTCTGAAAATTAAAATAAGATTTATTCATCTAGTTTTCAAAATATTGCATTTTTTTAAATTCTACCCTTTAAAAATTAAAAATAATATTTAAATTACCTTTCCAAGTGACTATAAACAATGACGTGGCCTGAAAATCTGCAAAATTCAAAAATGATTCATGGACGTTTTCGGTGGCTCTCTGTATTAGTCCAGGATGTTCAGTTTCGTAATACGAAATTTGACCAGCTGTCCTTGTATCCACGTTGGAGTAAAACGGAGCTATGATTGGATAATCTAGGGGGAATTCTATATTTATAAATTGAGGAATTTCCGTTTGAAACGAAAGAAGACCGTTGGAATTCACCTGAAAAGTAAATTAGTGAAAACAATATTAATCCGATTACTTTTGAAATATTATTTACTGGCTTTTTCTAACTTTTGCCTTATATTTGTAATTGAAGGTGCGCCACTGAAAATTTCTCTAAACGAAACGTATATTCTTACAGTCTTTCTAGACACAATCCAAGGCAGAATAACTGATTAGTACCGACTTCAAAGGGACCGCGCACATGGGCGTACCAATTTTATTATTAAAATTAAGTAAATTAAATTAATAATTATGTATAGTTCTTCCATTAAACTCGTTCCGAACTTTTACCAACAATTTTGTTTGATCTGTCACAGGCGTAAATACCTCATTTTAAAAATTTAATATTTTGATAAATACGAGAAAGTATTCGTTAAAAGGCGATCGAATGATTATAAATTGGACGGCGCTATACCGTTATTTAGATAGATGCACTTAATTGTAGTCCTACTTGAAACTTAAAAAAATCATTATTATAGCGCGCATTTATTATATAAAAAACCGTATTATTTGTATTGTACAGGTCCGGCTCGTCCGTAGCTAATTAAATTGTTCTCTTACAAACTTTATTATTGCATTTACAGTTCATCAAATTTCTAGAGGCTTTCGACGGCTAGACAGAGAAAGCACTACTGACAGGCATCCCGACGGATTTACGCAATGAAAGTACACTCTGCGCATCAAGTATTTCACTATTTCATTCAGACGTAAATGTCAGATGTAAATTTCGCTAAAACATTTCTTTTATTTTCGTTTGTGTTTTTTGCTCATTACAGTTTAACAGAACCTAAGTATGGAGTTTAATAGCAAATTAAGAGGCCGCGTGATTAACAGTCAATCTCGCGAAATAATAGCCAATGTTATAGAGTTTATGAGAAGAGAAGGAAACTTTAATTCACCTTCAATACCATTTAAAAATGTAAATGATCGTGTTGCTGCAGCCACAGGAGTATCTAAAAACACTGTCGTCCGCATTTCTGGAGAGAAAAAAAGAATCGATAACCGTGAGATATCGGAATTTTCATCACCAAGAAAAACCATTAAAAAACCAAAAACAGTTAATGATATACATGAAGCTGCACAAGAATCAAATTTTATTTTTTTATTATTAGATAGCTATTTTTGTTTCTGAGTTGTGTTCATTTACAGGCTCAATTTTTTTCCGTTTCTCCTTTTTGATTTTATATGGGGTTTCAAGTTGTTTTTGACTTATTTCGACGTAAATCACAACAACACACTTTTTTAATAAAGCAAACAAGTGTTAAGAGGTATATGTACGTGTAAACTACAATTACAAAAAATTGATATGAAACCACCAACAAAAATGTAAAGCTAGCTTCCGTACTAGAACATGGTGTCATTCGTCGAGATAATTTATCGTTTTGTTTAATAGATCAAGAAATGTAAATATTCCCCTGTTATTTTTTATAAAATTATAAGAGAAATAAATGTTTTTCTAAATAGTATAGTTTATTATTTTGTAGAAAAACAAAATTTCGAAAATTTTAGTAATGTTTCAGAAACAACCGTTATTAATAATAGGTACCATTTTCCTTAATAAGGTAGAAATAAAATATAAACTATTTCCACGATTTACAAAGGCCTACAAAAAAAGTATAGGTATTTTCCGCTATACTATAAAATTTATATTTTCTGACTCAATTTCAAAAGGTTGAAGTAATTCCAAAACACCTTTCATGGCATAATAATTATTTTCAATTCTACATAATATCTTTAGCTGCTTTTAAAAACGTTCTAAGAAAGTCCAATCAGACCCCATTTAATCCCTAAACTATTCCACACTTTTAAAATTTAATTACCTAAAAATATTAAAAACTATTTAAAATAACTTGTTTAGCAGACTGTACAATAGCTATCTTAGTCACACGTAGCGCGTTCTCTGTCTGGGCGTCGAACACCTCTAGAAATTTGATGAACTGTATTTGTGTTTGATTCTTTTATTGTTAATAAATTTAGGAGTTAAAGAAAATTACTGATTAAGTATATGAAAATACTAATTTGCAGATGACTCTTGCTACTTCGCAGAGAGGGAGGCGCCCTCCCTCACCAGCCACCACTGTTTGTCCCATTACTAAGAGTAATTAACACCGATTTAATCTATTTTTTTTATATAATCTCATGGCAACCCAAGATAATAAATATATATGTAAATAATACATTAATCAAGTAATCTAAATTTATAAATTTCCCTAATCGAAACGTATGTTCATAAAAAGTTTTAACTTTTGTCCCATTACTAAGAATAATTAACACCGATTTAATCTATTTTTTTTTTTTTTTTTCATAGAATCTCAATTCAATTAAATATTTATGTAAATAATATATTAGTTACTCAATATCAAGTAAAATGATATTTCACAATTATTATCTAAATTAGCAAGATCATTCTCATTCATATGTTAAATAGTCTTGTTTTATTAACGTTGTACTAAATTATAACCACCATTTTAATTATCGTTAATTTAATACAAATACGCTGAAATATCATTTTAATCATTAATTGAAAATCTTGAGTATCTGCTTAACGGGTCGTTGAACTTTTAATTTATTAGGATTTTACAAAAGAACATATGGGATGCAGTTAAATTTTTTGTTTCAATTAAAGGGAATTTTGATCTTTTAACCAAATAAGGAAAAAACGCATTAATGGATTCCAAATGCAAAAAGTGAAGACGCTTATTTTTAGTAGGAAGGTATTTGAGGAGCCATTGCCTTGAGTCATTCCCTTTTTAGCATATTTTTTTGAATAAAAGGCTCATAATTCGTAAGAATTTTCATCTCGGGGGGTTTGCATGACCTCCATTCGATGACAGTTGTTGCTAGTTTGGCATTCATTGATGGTCTAAAATGCAAACGTATCATTTTTATTCCAAAGGGGACACATTTTTACAATATAGACATTTGTCAACGTACCCCCTCCCTTCCACTTCTCCAACCTCCTAATTTTAAATAGGGCATATACCACGTGTGGAACATCATTAGAAAGATATTCAGGCATATGATTTTCTATGACTTTTTTTCGATAGTTTTAATTTAATTAAAGTATTATTACCTCTATAAAATTAAACGCAACGCCTATGGTTGTCTAATGCGTTCAGTAATTAAGCCCTTATTTATTGCAAGGATTCAGATTGCGTTGTATATTAGGCAGACAGAGCTGTCGCATCGCTTGCCGCATTAGAAAAAGCGAGACGGCTCCTAAATTGAGGGGGTACGATTTGTGCGAGCTTGTTTATCTAGTAGTTGTTCGACGATAACTCAAATTTCGTTTTTGATTTAAGAATTTTTAATATTTCAGACCCATTAACTCCCCATTTTCAATCAGATTTTTATCAAAATCAATAAGCTACGTCCCCGTATAGATCTTGATTTTCCTCAAATTTTCAAATTGATATCATTTTTCGTTTTTGGTTAGGATTTTTTTTTAAATATTTCAACCCCCCTTAAATCCCCCATTTTTAATGAAATTTTTTCAAAATCAACAGAGTCTGATTTTTCTGAAATTTTCAAGTTGATATCATTTTTTGTTTTTGACTTAAAAACGTGACATCGAATGGACAGACGTTTTCTTAAAATTTGATAAGAATGATTGTGGTACAATTTTTAAATTTGGCCCAATATTAAAATTTTTGTATTCTTGAAAGTAAACCAGTAATACTCTTCACTGAGTACTGTGTAAAGAGTATAGTAAACAAATAAGCAAGTGAAAAACAAAGATTTTTTTGTATCACTATTAGTATACTTTTTAATTTAAATATTTTGCCAAACCAACGGTTTACAAGATTCGAATTGAAAATTATATAGGGCGATTCATAAGAAATTGTTAATATTTTGATATACAGGGGGTTAAAATTATAAAAATAATTCAACAGTGTTATTATACTTCAATTATTTTTCGACGTATAAACAGAAAAGTACAACTAGGTTTTTTGAGGTGAGAAAATTGAGTAAGCAATCATTTTTGGTGTATCGCATAAATGGTGTTAAATAAGCTATTTTGGTTTAACAGAATCCTTATTAATATTTGATCCCCAGTTATTATATAAACAAAAAACTAATATTTTTTGCTATAAAATCTGGAGCTAAAATATTACCAATTTCTTTTTTTAATCACTCAGTATATTAAATAACAATTTTCGTATCTACAGGATGGTTCATGCACTTAGAACAACATTGATTTGTTATAAGAAATATTACCAAAAAATGTAGGCAGGTACTTACATAAATACTATCGTAGCTATTTCCGAAAAACACAATCGGTTCCTTTAGTTTAATCTCCCTACTCGAACCGTCATCCGTTTTGGGCAAAATCACCGCTTCGGGCACATTATGTTCGTACAAGAGTCCTTGCGGTATACCATCGACGTGACCAATCACCCACACCGACAAAAAACACAAAACTTCCTTCAGAGGCGTCCTCATTATCTCTTATCTCTCTCTTAGAGACGCTCCAAATGGGGCCTAAGGCAACCAACTACTGGAACTGTTTTATGTCCGAGGTTTGTTTAATGTTTATCTCTGAAGAAATGGGTGTATCTCTTTAATCTATCTCTTCTGGGGTCACGGGTCAATTTAATAAGCTTGTAGTCAATATGTTTTGTTTATCGCTATCAGGGTATCAATTCGAGAAGAGTACATTAATTCGTTAAACCGGGATATAATTATTGAACGGTTGCTGGAAGATAACTGTAGGATTATTTTAGATGACACAAGTAAAGACAGTTTTCGTATTATCGAAGGTTATTAATAATTTTGTGAGGATTTGAGTAAAAATGTCTGCAAGATGTATTGAACAAAAAATATATAGGCTTTCCTTTAAAAAATAATGATTTTTTAAGTGTGTATCAAAGTATCATCCCTCTGACAATAAATACTGATGATCTACTAATTCATGTTTATCCAAATCGAGAATATGAAATAATCTTATTTATCTAAGGAAATAATTAAAAAATTAATCGACTTACCTTAAGGAAGATTAATTGTAATTTTCAGAGCTTAGATATAATTACATTGTAGTTTCCTTGGACGGACTAAATTATATTTAAAAGTGAACACTCTGTATTATTTGATATTGTTCTACCAGGACTACCTAAGTAAATAATAAAAAAAAATGGAAATAAAAAACCACTGTAATTTCATAAATAACTATATATTACACATTTTACATAATTTATAATTTACTTAATAAACTAAATAGATAGGAATGATATAAAATGACAGACTTTCACCCAATGAATTCTTTAATTAAATCGCCAATTTATTTCTATCCAATTCCATAGGCGTCGACAATTGGGGTGGTAGTAATTAGAACGCTTTATAATAAAATTATTTTAATAAAAAATGTTGTTTATTATGTATGAACTGAATAATAATCCGATTAAAATTTATATTTAAATGTTATTTACGAAATATATCAGTAATTTTTTTCTGTATTCGAAAATAGAATATTTTTGCAAACAAACAAAAACTTCCATTTAAGTAATGACTAAGCAATAATAAAATCAATGATAAATAATTAATGCGAGTTTTAACAACACCCTGTAGCACATATACTTATAAACAAATTAAATAAAGTTTTATGATTTTTTTTATGAATGTATATACACTGTGTTCCATAAAGTTGGAAAGTTTTCTGTAAAATTCGCAATTAAAAAAAAAGTTTTGACCCATTTTTAAAAAAAAAAAATACTGAATTTGACAGATAACTAATGCAGTACCTAGCCGACTTTAATATGGACTATTAAGTTTTTAACAAAGCTGAGTTACTCAATCCTAATTTTAGAAAGTTCCCGTATGGATCCAACTTTATGATACACACTGTATTTGTTCGAAAATAGTTAACATTTTTTATATTTTTTTGACTAGAAACGTTTAAGTCAACTCAAGATTTTATCTTTTAAGATAAAATACCATTCAAAAATAAATTATTATAATTATTTGTATAAAAAACAGATATGAGAGAAACCTCAGTGATAAACCCACTTACATTTAACACGTCAACTGCCGCAATAATTTTTATCCCACATGCTAGATTATAAAATGTGAATAAGTGTGATAATCGATTAGCCAATTTTTTTTAATCGATAATCGATTATTTTAAATAATCGATCATCTTCAATTAAAATAACCAATAAATATATATGTCGGAAGGAGCCTGGAATGATATATTTGACGTTTCACATCACTCTCGAGATATGCTGTCAAAAACGACGTCCAGAACACTTTTAAATGCCAAAGTATGTTTAAAATCATTTGTCGAATGACATATTACCCAATATTTTGACAGTTAAACGATATTTTAATAGTAAAACGATATTTTGACAGTTAAACGATATTTTGATAGTAAAACGATATTTTGACAGTTAAACGATATTTTGACAGTTAAAAGTAATGTCACCTGGTTCTCGCAATATTTTTTATATATTGCAACGCTTTCATTTGTAAATGCTCTGGAGGTCCCAATGAATAGGGCGGTTTGGGATTTGTCCTGACGTAGTAGACTCCTCTTGCACTGAAAATATTGTTTTTTTATACATTCTCAATAAAAATAATGAAAATTCGCACAATGTCAAAAAATATGTAACACTGTAAAACACAAATTTTAACAGGAGCACCTTTTGTTTTTATCAAGTTATCAAATAATATTTAAGGTATCATATCAATCTGGTTTGCGCAGACGTCAAAATAACCAGACCAAACTATGGTTAATCTGGTGTTTAATAATTACTTATCTATTAATATAAAATATAGCCTAAAATAATCAGCCTCTTAGTTTTTTCTTGCGATTAACTCTCTATAATATATTTCTACTTACTTATGAGTGACGTGTTCGCCCATAAGCACGTACTCTTGGTCTTCAGGATTGCACCAACCAATCATGAAACTAAGAAGCGTCGGACAAGGATAAGCCCAAAAACCATTTTTAGTGATTATAGACTCTATGAAATATGGCGTTACTTTCGTATGATCACAGGCTAAAGTATCTAAAAAACAGAATGCATTTACACTAGTAAAAAAATGCTTCAAGTGGTGTTAATATAATATGACCCTTTAATCTAAATGAATGGTGGTGTACCGATGGTATTGATATGAAGGATCTTTCGCTGATTTCTGTCTTTACTTACTAAAAATAGTATCACTGCGACATCCAGGCTGACTGGATCCGCCATTAATATAGAAATCTGCGTGTCCCGTGGGACCCCATTGTCCCAAAACTCCTGCTCCTGTGTGAAGGACGTCAACGAAATGCGCGTCTGTGGAATCGAGATCTCTGGACGAGTTTTGACCCATGTAGAAGAATATAGTTGGATCCAACCCTGAGAATATTCATTCAATGTACAAAAATTATATTTAACATAGAAGATTAAGTTCAAGTAGAAGATTTTGTTGTTTTTTTTTAGAAATTGCAGAATTTTAGGAAAAGTAAAGAAAGAAAATTGGTTAAAATGGAGCAATAACAACTATAGTTAAACAAGAATTAAAGAACATTTTCTAAGAAACCTATTAGCAAATAGATGTTTTCATTGGAAGATATTTCAAGAGCTTTCGCCATCTATCAGTTTACATAACAAGTAATAGAGGATTTTATTTAAAAGAAAACTGTAACGTTTCAGCCATCTGTCTAAGATTAGGGCGTCAACATAAATTTCTTTTTTCTTGTCTTTTTCTGTTGTTGCATGGGTTCAGTTTTTCACTATTTAACCAGTGTCAGCGTTTCGTTTTTAAAAAAGTTATTTTACAAAAATCAGCCATATAAAGCCTAATACGCGCTTCTTGGCAAGCTAGGTAGCCCTCTGATAGTGCTAATGAAAAACTAAGCCTATACAGCTAAAAAAGAAGACAAGGCAAAAGAATATATTGTTACGAAGCACCCATTCTAGCCATGTCCTAGCCTATCCTCGAGAACAAGGACAATTTATTTTGGACTGTGATGCATCCCAACACGGCTTGGGCGCCGTGCTATCCCAAGAACAAGAGGGGGAAGAGAAAGTAATCGTTTTCTGGGTAAAGCAGAGAAAAATTATTGCGTCACCAGGAAAGAACTATTAGCTATTGTCAAATCCCTTGAACACTTCCATACTTACCTTTTTAACAGAAGTTTTATCATTAGAAGTGACCATAGTGCCTTGCAGTGGCTGATGAATTTTAAAAAACCTGAGGGACAAGTTGCTAGATGAATAGAAAGACTGCAACAATATAACTTTAAGATGGTGCATCGAAGGGGACGTCTCCATAGCAACGCAAATATTCTCTCCAGGCGACCCTGTTTAGAACGACAATGCCGGTACTGTAAAAGGCTTGAAGAACGAGAGGAGCTGGTTGAAGAAGTTAGTCTACAGGCGACCACTATCAAGCCATAGGATGACGAAGATGAAATCATCCTTGAAAGCCTAAGAAAGACTCAAAAGAAAGACAATGACTTGAAGGTTGTCCGAGAATGGCTCAGAAATGGAGTCGGACCTATATGGCAAGAGATAACCAAATATAGTGGAACCATTAAAGGGTACTGGACTCAGAGGGATTTTGCCGAAATCACAGGTCAGAAATGTATTGAAGGAGCTTCATAGCAGTCGTTCAGGAGGACACTTTGGCACTAAAAAGGCACTTGCACGAGTTCGGGAAAGATTTTATTGGGTCGATTGCCGACGGGATGTAGAAGATTGGTGTAAGGAATGTGACCTCTTAATGGCAGAAAAGGGCCCAAAACAAGAAGTAGAGGTAAAATGGCACAGTACTGGCGAATAACTAGAGAGGAGGAAGCAATGTTACGCAGTACCCTGCAGTAGCCTACGGCTATCATAGGAAACGTACAGATAGAAAAAGAAGTGGAATGTTACTCATCGCTCTACACTGTGTTGCGGTCGTCATAAGTAAAGGTACAAGTAAAAGAAGATAGAAAATTCCAAAAATGTCCAGAAATGTTATTACCCGTCAAGAATATTCTAGATGACAGTTCGAGAAGGTCAAGCAAGCTATATAAGTCGACGACCTGACGTCAGAGTTTCAGTTTTATAATAGACGTTACATGTTAATGTTATCAGTTGTATCGTTATTGTTAAAGTTGAATTGACTTATTGTAAAGATGAATTGAAATAAATTGTGATACCAAAAACCAGCGTAACAATATGCTGATAATTTACAGTTTCCTTTTTAATAAAATCCTGTTTCTATTACTTGCTAAGTAAATTGACAGATGACGCAAAGCTTTTGCAATGACCTTCTTCTGATGAAATGATCTTTACCACAGAAGCACATATAAAGGTGAAATATACTGGAATGTTGTTACATTCAAAAGTTGAATATGATTTACAATTCCGCCATTTCTATTGACGCAAATATTTTTCCAGGCTCATAAAAATTTTGTTAAACAAGTTTTCAAATACCCTGTATTTTAAGCACATGCTGTTCTTACCATTTGAATAGACCCATTATTTCTACATCTTTTACAATTAGCAAGATAAGATTGAAAAAAAAAATAAGTGTGTTACATTTGAGGAAGTATAGATAAAACTTTATTTTGCATATATTTAATTTTCACCAATTTTCATCACTTGGGTAACAGAGTGTTTACGCGATTATTTACTTAGAAAAAGACTAGATAAATACATGTTTCTAATTAGATATACATATAGGTATATTACATTCGATTTGATTATTACAAAAGCAAATTGGCGGTGAAAGTAAAATACTGCTGTTACTGCTACTACTGACTGCTTTATATTCAATCCAGCGGCGTAGGCGAACTTGACTGAGCACGTGATAGCGCTCAGTAATTTTACAACGATATAAATCCGGTTTTAAATATTGTAAAAATGAAAAAAAGAAAATAATATTGAAGTGCATTGTTAAACAGTATACAGGGTCCTGCAGAAATGTTTTAAATGTATAGCTATTATCAAACGTCTGCTATGAAAGGCTGCACCAATGTTACAGTTTATATAGAACTCTATAGTAGATAAATATGCAGAATAAAAGAAATATGACACAGTCAAGGATATGACTAATAAAAAGAAAAAATACCGATATATTTAGGTGTGATTCAAGGAAATGAAATGCGAAAAAAAAAGAACTTGTAGAGATGTATAGGAAAAGTGGTCCCAAATTAAAAAATAAAAATGACATCTATTAAGAATACCCTTAACAAGAGAGGACCTTCTTTACTTAAGTATCTATTCCGCAAGGTCGGCAAAGTTAATAAAGGGAAAAAACTAGCGCGGTTGTTATCGAATACAGATGCACAAATTTCAAACAATATTAATGATTGGACAAAGAAAATCTGTTGATAATATGCTTGCGCGGAATAGATTGCGCGAGCCGTAACGGTTTGGAATCACGCCGACGATGGAACGTGTCCTTCAGACAATTGGGATAAAAACCCACGCTCTAATGGCGACAAAATTATAAATTTTATGAGCTACGATATGTGTACATAGTGTAAATAATTAATAAATGTAATGTGGTGTTCTTCATGTAAAATAAACAGGGTTAAATGCAGGTGTGCTTGTTTCTTTCTATCATCGATCGTTAACCCAAAGCCAGCAGCTAGTAAATACATGGAATACAGTTCGCTTCAGAATTATAGCAAAATGGAATCTGTAAAGGGTAAGATTCTTACAGGCCTCCTCACAACTTCGTTAAATAAATATAAACAAAGTGTATTACAAGAATAAATCAGCTGACAGCCACAAAGGGTGATCTTCTAACTACTCTAGGTGGCACACAAACAACGACAAATCATATATGAGATAAAGGTTATTCACATAATAAATATCCTTGTTGCCAAGCAGCAGCCCAAACTCTGAGTTGATTTGGCGCTTGAAGCTTTCTCAAATCCTAGTAGAAATTCAGATACTCTCAAAAAAGTCATCACTCGAACATAAATCTGTTGATCTAAGAGGCCGCTAGATAGATATTTTACAATTGGCAAATGTTATTTGGAGAGAATTGTGATTTAGTATGAATTATTCTTGCTTACCTGTGATCCTGCCGAGTTTTCCGTGCTTATCAGGATTCAAGTAATTGGCTACCAGTCCCCCGATATGCGCGCCAATGCTGTATCCTATAACGTGGAGTTCATCAGCTCTTACTCCTCTAGGATGTCGAGATAAGTAATCGACCAGCTGTGCTATGCATTTGGCGCAAAATCTCGGTGCCCAAGCCATTTGCTAAAATAAAAATATAAACCCTCTATAGACTAATACAATTTCAGATAGAAATATCGAAATATGTATTGTTAGAGTCAGCGCCGTAAGCAAGTAGGCATTAGTGCCCGTTAATTCATTATTCTTATTCGGCTCTGAATATTAAAATTATATTTTCGAATAAGCATGGCCTCTTAGACATGTGGAACCTTTCCCAATGAAATTTAATTAAAATTGTACCATAAATAAAAACGGAAAATGTTTCTAATAAAAAATTTCATTTATTGTGAATAAATCAGTATATTTTATATTTATATATTTTTTATATTTGACTAGACTAATAACGAAAGACAATATCAAAGTAATATCACAGTAACTGAACCTAAAATATTATTATTTTAAAAGTTATTAAGTCAAAAATCTAAACGGTAAATTTTTGAAGAAGACTTTAAAAATGTCATATCAACCTTTAATGCCAAAGAAATAAATAGGCATTCCTATGAAATTAAACAGAACAGAGACATTAAAGTAATGGTTAGAGGTCTACCATCTACATCTAAACCAGAAGATATTGTTAAAGACTTGCAAAATCAAGGATTAAAATGTAAAGAAGCTGTCAATATAATAAAGAAGGAAATAGAATTAATATTTTTTTGATGGGCGCGCCTCGTTATTGGCTCTTAAGTTATAAATACCACTAGAAGATTTAATAATTTAGATTGAATTTATTAAAATGTGGGCAACAAAATTATTTGATATTCCGTAACTATATCACGAAGTCTAACTTAACTACTTTTACTCGCGTGTAAATCACCGTTCATTATTATTCCAATTATTTAACGTGTTACTTCATGATTATTAATTACAATAATTTATTTTGCAATATCAGTAATTGAACTATTAAATGCTCATTTAGTATATCTATACCAAAATATAAAAAAAACGTACAAATCCGAATAGTTATTAATAAACAAAACAAAATATTTTTGACCCAAAAAATGATTGGATTGTTTTGAAATAAATACTCGAAAGACACGAAAACGAAACCTACTTGTAAATGCACTTAATAATAAATTTAACCTCAAGCTATCATTACGAAGATTACACATACATATTTTTATTTTGTTGTTGCAGAGCGTTGCTTCATAAAAAAAAGGAAATTACATTTTTAATATACGAGGACTGTCCAGAGGAAACTGAGCCCTATTTAGAAGACGGTATTTAAAAAAATTACGCATGTTCCCAATAGCTAATATGACAAATTTTTGTAAAAAAAAATGGGGGAAATGGACAAAATTATCCAACTAAATTTTATAATTCTTGAAAAACAGCAATGCCATGAAGGTTACTGAAAATACAATTTTAAAGTTTAAAATTTCGAAACCCATTTTTCCCCACTATTAATTATTATGCGCCACTGTATTAATTATTACATTATGTAATTAAAAACGGTCATTTACCTCGTTATCTATTACAGAGTATAATTACATTTAGTAAATCATAATTTAATTTATATAAACAAAGCGTTCTGTAAACCAATTAATTATTATTTTAATAATATTCTATACCGCCGACTAGGAGATTAAATTTCAAATAAAATATAGAAAAAAAAATTGATTTTATGTAACTTAATATTTACAATTAAATTAATAAAAAATACCGTAGTTAGTTTATTCTATGGAACTATCAATTTAGCATTGACAGATATTTCACTACGTGGTATAAGATAAATTCAAGAGTACCTCAAGGCCTAGTTATGTGTCCAATATTGTTTCCATTGTGTATTAACGATTAGTTGCTTCGTTTCTACTCGTATTTTTATAGATTTTTAAATGACGTAAAAGTTTGTTTATTACAGATGACAATCTTCCTCAAAAGTGTTTATTATCGACTTATAGTTCAATCATAGGGTGACGCATAGCATAACTGACCTTGTAAAAAATGGGGAACAATCTTTAAAGTTAATTTATCTGATTTTTCTTACTTTTAAACACGGTTCCTTCACAAGGGTGCCATAATCCACAATGATAACATTATAATTTCCTCGATAAAAGTAGGCATCCCTCATATCAGTGCTGGGAGCGAACATTCTACCCCCGCCGAAGCCGTGGATGACTACTTTGGTGGGATAGGCTCTATTGAACTGGCTGTTGAACAACGAATCATCTCTGGTCGTGTCTATGAGTTCTGGGTTTTGTTGGGTGCGTCTTAAATAAAAAAACGGATTGATAAATCGCTACCTCAGTTTAAAAAACAACTTAAAATTTTTCAAAAATAATACATTTCTACAAATTTAAAAAAAAAATTTAATTATGTCCAGTTCAAAGAATAAACAACATAGAAGTGTATTGTCATGAAAATAAACAACAATACTTTCTTTTAGAACATATAAAATTTTCTCAAAACAGAAAAAACTAAATATTTCAAATATTCATTATTTTAAGATGCTACTTTTTTGAACTGAGGTAGCGAAAGTCTTTGATTTACATATAAATTTAGTCTATTTGGGTCTTAATTCAAATTATGTTAAATAAAAATGGATTAGAGGCCTCTAGAGAAACAAAGGTGGGAAATCTTCCCATTTAAAAACTACTATATATTTATTAAAAGAAAAAGCAGCAAATGTTCATAGATTTAATACAGAATGGCGCGTAATGATTTTTTTTAAATTCCATTTAAAAATTTTCAAAATAAATACTTTTCAAAGATTTACAAAAAATTCAAGGTTTCTCCACCCTAAGTTTTGTTGTTATGGGTATTTTCTGAAAATTTCACAAAAATCGGACCATAAATAAAGGCTCAGAATGAATAATAAATTTTCATTGTATTCAGTTTTCTTTTGAATAGTCAATTTGCAACTTTAAGTCTGTATATCAAAAATAAGACAGAATGGATGCAGAAATTTTAATAGAGTACCATTTCTCCATATGAAAATTGTGAACTGCCATATTTGTCCCCCTTGTTGGCGCCATTGCATTGCACATCCCGAAAAAACCGTACTAAAAAATAATTTTTATTTTTTGTGCCTTATTTAAAAGCAATTCTCTCTATAGTTTTGCTTTGAATATCTTAATTTTTTATATTTTCATATCGTGATACTAAAAATAAATAATTTCTTACTTAAAAAAAAAGATTGATAAATTAAAAAGAAAGTCATTTAAAAATCCAGTTTTGTTTATTTCGTACGAGATGTGTCTACTTAAAAACGATTCATGTTTATTAATCGACCAATAAAACATAAACTGCATAATATACCCAGACAGCACACCAAATCCTTTGGATATCTACTGCACATCCCAATATCCACTGAATGTCCAGTCCATGGTGGATATCTATTTTATATCCATGATATGTAATTTATAGACATACAAATGTCTATAAATAATAGTAATTATATAGTAAATTATTAAAAAATTACGCCATTGTGCTCGCCATTGTGGCTAATAGTACCGTTCAGATATTTAAAATTAATTTTTTTAAGGTGTATTCAATATCCCATGGACATCCACTAAATATATCAAAGTCTAGGCGCGAACGCAAACCATCGTGGATATCCACTAGATGTTATTTGATTTTGCTTACTAAGTATAGATGGCGATAGCACTTTCGCATCTACTCATGCTTGACCCGCCGTAATAGAGTTCGACCGAAATTTTAGTTTTATTCAGACTTCATTAGAGACTGGAGTCGAGAATTTCCATTTATTGTTGAAGAGTCCTAATAAGAATGACTTTCTCCTTAGTGGGCAAAATCAAAGGCAGTGTTGAAAATATTTTTTATGTCTGCTATTTTCTTTCGACGTTATTCAATAAATCATTGGTTACTTATGAACCTCTACTAAAGATACCCATAAAATATTTTGCTGAATATCTTCTATATCCTGGGATATAGACGGACATTTGGTTGGATATCCATATTGGATATATTGAATATACACAAAATATATTCTGTGGATATCTCTGGAATTTCTTGTATTTTCTGGAAGATACCCATTAGATATTTTGCTGAATATCCATTAGGATATCTTCTATATTCTGGATATAGACGGACATTTGGATATCCATATTAGATCCACGGAATATTTCTGATATCCTGTGGATATATTGGATATCCACAAAAGATATTCTGTAGATATCTCTGGGATTTGGTGTGTTGTCTGGGTACACTACCTAAATACGAGTGTCAAACAATATGAACAAAATATATTGGAAGCTATCAATGGGAAAAAATATGTTTAAATATTTAAATAAAACACCCCGTGTTAAATTCTCATATTTTGTGCTTAAAATTTACCAGTCAACAATGTGTAGTTACCCAGACAGCACAAAAATATTGCATGAATATTCAATGCATATCTCAACTGCATACTCCTATATTCCATGGATATGCCATATCCGCCATGGCATATGACGGGAAGATTGCAGGAATATTCAAGGTCACCATGAAACATATGCCCACGATATATTTTTATCTGCCAAAATATATGTATGGCATATTCTCTGAATTTACTGAGGATATCTATGTATGCCTATATTCATGGTATTTTGAATATTCATGGCATATTCAATTTTTTTTTATGCCGTACCATAGTTTAGAAAATAAAACCCATACTTAAATACAAAATAAATTTTATTTTAAAAATAAAGCAAATTTTAAAAAATAGAACAATATATACATACAAAAAACTAAAAATTTAAATTTATTTGTTGAGGTTCTTCACGTACTTTTCTGCTAAAAAAAATGACATATAAGATATGTATATCAGTAAAATAGAAATATTTCAAAATCTTGAGACAAACATTACAGTAATACTTACTTCTATAGCATTTTTGGGTCACTTTATTTATAGTAAAGGCCTCTACATTTTCCGTTGCCATTTGTGTACTGTGGATTTTCCTACACATCTCTAAAAAAACAAAAATAGGTTTACATAGTGCCTTGTCTGCAATTTTATTACGAATTGTCCATATTTTTATTTCCTCTTAACACTTTTATAATGATCAGTTACTTTATTACTAAGGATAGGTAAATCATTAGCCGTAGATGTCTTTGAATTAATATTATCCTATACAAAGAGAGCTGTTGAAATAAACTCAGATTCTTGAATTTTACACAAGTTTTTTTCCTGGAGAAAAGAATAATGGTATTTCCTCGAAAGATTCAGTAAGAAGCTTACATTTTACATTCATCTGAAGCTAATGCTCTATCATTATTTGAGAACAAAAGATTCGTCTACCAATTGATTTACACTTCTTATAAAATATTTATGATTTTAAGCACTACACTGATACTACAGAAGGGCCATAATTAATCAGACTTACCCCTTAGGTGGGTATATCGTGAGAAAAAACTTAAACTACATCACGTCCATGGAGGAAGGATAATCCATAGGTAAGGGAAGGATAATCTAATCACGTCAGCAAATCTGACAATGTTTGGTTATGTGTCTTATTCTTCTTCTTCTTTTTTTTTTATTAGTGGCCTTCACCGTTTAGAGTATTTGACCAAGGTATCATGAATAAAAAAATATTCCTCACAATCTAACTTCCCGTGTAACAAAAACTTACGTTCGACGATAGGCTAGATTATGAGTGCATCCAATAAGACACTATTAGGTAATTTTTACTACCAACTACCAATACTTACTAGGCGCATACTTTTGACTTTTAGAATCATTCTTTTGTCCTTTTCTTGTCTACATTATAGGAAAACTATACATACTTATTTTATCTATGAAGATAAAGATAATTTGATCTCGGAGGTTTGATTTTTTTTATTAATTGAAAATAAGTTTGCATGATTTAAAGTTATATTCCGGAGTTCTAAGTTCACGTTTTTGTTTAAGTCTTTATAAACTAAACAAAGGATGATTCTGTAGACTATATCTTCATTTGTACCAATAAATAATAAAACAAAATAGTTAAATATAATATAATATTATACAGAGATATCTATACAATATGAAAAATGAATATGCAGAGCATATCAAAAATACATATGCCTGGAATATCTTTCTAGAATATAGAATATGAAATATATTCTGTGAATATTCCATAAATATTGCAATATATTTTGGCAAATAGGCAGATTGGTGGCATATGCCAGGAATATAGTGTGCTGTCTGGGTATTCTATTGGCTTTTTAAATACCAATTTTCTTCTAAATAATTATTTAAATGGCTAAATTGAATTTTTGTTGGAAAATTGATTGTTTCTACATGAATTTGAATAAAAATTTCGACGCATTATTATACCCCATGAATCTGGGGTTAATTAGTCCCTTTACCCCCTTTTATGCGCGCCTGTTTCTAGCTATCTCGTATATATAAAAACTGAACCTTTCAAGAACACTTTATTTACGTTTATTTACATAAAAAAAATCATTATTAAATTGACCTTATTAGGCTCGTTTGAATAAAACGAATTTAAAAATGAATCCAAGTACTTTCGACTGGGGTAATAACGACAATGGTCTATTAAATAAGTACCGTAATTTATCGTCGATCTATACCTACTTGTTAATGTATTATTTGAATGCAATAGCTGTAACGCAAGTACCTTCGGCAGTCACATTCGATCAAATTTATTACTTTCGCCAGATACTTAATGAAAAATGTTGCAAGAACCGACAATTCGATGATGGGCATATCTTTTTTTCGACCTTGGTTAAAGGTTCAAAGTTTGACCAAACGTGAAAAATTGGGTAATACTACGATCGATAATAGTTTTATTCTACTTTTATCAATTCCATTGGGGAGAGTGGGGCCACTGCTCACTAGGAAGAAGAATATTCAAAGATGCTCGTTAATGACAAACATTTATGAATTTATGCATTTCTTTTGAGACACACTGTATAAATGGCTTTAAGAAAATAATTTACTTTGGCAATTGTCTGAATTTAACGCAATGATATTTCTCAAAGTCTTATTATGCCAAAAACATTACAAATATTATTATGCAGTAGGTAGAGAATTAATGCATGTAGGTCAACAACGCTATAAATATGAAAATGACTCACCTTGTATAAAGAAAAAATTGTATTTGCTTATGAGGACACCTGTACGGTTTCGGGATGCAGGAACTGGTATTAAATAAATCCGATATAGATTCAGGTTCTTTTTTCCGAGTTTTCGATTGTTGCGCATATATACCTAAAAGAAAAAAAAATTAAAAACAACTATTTTAAAAACTACTTTGATTGCTCCTCTACTAATATACAAGGTGTTTCAAAAAGATTGGTCATAAATTATATCACATATTCTTGGGTCAAAAATAGGTGGATTAAACCGTACTTACCTATTCGCTCCGTGCGCGACAGCAGCGCCAATTCGTTTTGATACTAATGGACTATTTCTGCGTATACTGACAAATGCAACTTTTAATAGAATTTGTAATTAAAAAGTATATATGTTAGTTTTAATAAAAGTATATGGATTTGTAAAACAAGTAAAACATTAATTTATTATTATTATTATATATTTTTATCGCTTAAATTAAAGAAAATTATGTATAATCGATAAAAATCAATAATAAAATATAGGCAGGCAACAGTATTTATTGGAAAATGTATGAGGAGTTGCCTAAGTCTAATAAGTTTTCATTGAAGAATTAGCCTATTCTGTCAAAATAAAAAATACCATTTAATAATAGCGTGAAGTTTTATAAAAAATAGGATCGTTACTTATATTTTCATTTTTGTTCGAAAGAAAACATAGAATGAATGATTAAAACTGATTTCCCATCAGTAAGTTACAAAATTGCGTTCCAACCACAATATATAGTACTCAAAGGCAGAAATCTTGAAATCTAGTCCTTGCTGAATGAACATTTAAGAATAAAGGGATATTAAAGAACATCGTAAAATGATAATTTATTGTTTATTTAAAACCTTTCAAGTTTCTGATGTCTACTATTTCCAGCATTATGGTTATTATTACAAAAATAAAGGTAATTTTTCTTATTGTATATCTATCCATTTATTTCTTTGATTTAATTTCCACTTTGCTACTGAAATTTTTTATATAAGTTTCAGTGTTTTTTTGCTAGTATTTGTACAATTTTTAATACAGCAACTTCGGTTGCTTATTATATTGTTTTTACCTACTTTTTTTGAAAAAAAGTAAAATGTATACGTGTATTTGGTATGCTAAAATTACAAAATATCGCCCTAAAATGCACGAATTATCTGCAGCTAGCGCTAGTATCGCTTTTGCTTCCCTTTCCATGACGTCGCACGGAGCGAATATACAAAAGTGCACCCAAAAATAGTTAGTCTTTGTCTTTTTTTTTTGTATTTTTCTTTGGGGTGCACTTTTGTATATAGTTAAGTACGGTTTAATCGACCTATTTTTGACCCAAGAATACGTGGTATAATTTATGACCAATCTGTTTGAAACACCCTGTATATTTAAATTCCTTTTCTTTCTATAGTCGAACATATCTAGTCCTCATTAATTATTTCTTTTTAGTCAGTAAAACAAAATAATTTTAATTCTAAATTCCTCATTGCCAAAAATATAGATTTGGATTGCTTATAGGAAAAAACAAGGTCAATTTTTTTACTTTTATCTATCAAGCTAATAATAATTATGAAGTTATCCTTTGAATGTAGTGTCCTTGTTTAAACTATTTAAGATTAGTTAATTAACTTTTAAAAATACCGTTTTTTTTTTCTTACGAAATTTACATAAAATAAAATGCAGATTAATGTCCCATTTAAAAAATACAATCAGAATAAAATTATTATTCCATACCCTCATTACTAATACACGTTTTTGCGAAATAAATTTTGTCAAATATATTGATTAGAAAGTGATGATGATTTGCACAAAACACTCTTTTATGTAAATAAGTATTTTAGTGAACAAATTTTGCAATAAAATTAATGCTAGATACATATTCATAATACTAAGGTCATGTCATAAATTTGTGCCCAAAGGGTATATTTAAGTATAAGAAATAGTAGGATAAATCACACTCTTAATTATAACAAATATATTTAAATAGGTATAAGTAACTGAGGTGTAATTTATTTATTAAATCCAAAATGGTCCTGAAACCAACTCTGTCTAACTATAAGAAATAGGCGATAAAAAAAGCAAATTTTAATTCAAAACAAGTTAAACAAAAAAAAATAATAATATCTAGAATACATTTTATTTCTATGAAATCATTATGTACCTTACAGAGAATATTTCAAAAATATTTTCAAACATATACAGGGTCATATTTTAAACTATTCATAAGTTCTAAATACAGGGTGTTATTGAAATACACGTACATATTAAAATGGGGAATAGTATGTAATGACCAAAAACGATTGGCACCAATATTTTAACTTCAAATTCTAAAATTTAAATATTGGGGAAGAGTCCCCTTTTCCGACCTACTAGTTTCCATATTTAAAGAAGTAAAATAAATCGAAATTGAACTTACCCATAGAAATTGCACTGTTGCCGTAGCAAAACCAATTAATTCAAAATAAAGTTTATTACAGTAATTGTTCAAAATGCCGTCCATTATTATTTATACACACTTGCAATCGTCTTTCCAAAGAACTTTGAACATTAGAAATTAGTCTTGGATTTTGTCGTAGTTCCTCGGCTACCGCATTAACTTTATTGGTTAATTGTTCAACACTATTAATAGGTTCATTATAAACCAGTTGTTTCATGTGACCCCACAAAAAGAAATCGCATGGATTTAAGTCCGGAGATCTCGGAGGCCACTTAGTAGGTCCATTTCTGCCTATCCACTTTTGAGGAAATCTAATGTTCAAAAACTGCCGTACGTTTAAATCAAAGTGAGGAGGAGCGCCATCTAGTAGGTACCACATCCGTTGCCTTAATTGTAACGGTATCTCTTCTAGGAGTACTGGCAAAATATCTTCTAAAAAGTGGAGATATCCTGGCCCATTTAATCTGTTCGGGAGAACATAAGGCCCGATTAAATACTGATCTATTATGCCAGCCCAAACATTTATTGAAAATTTTCTTTGATGCCCAGTTTCCCTAATGGCGTGAGGATTTTCATCACTCCAAATATGCGTATTGTGCATATTGAACACGCCATCACGAGTGAATGAAGCCTCGTCAGTATACAATAATATTTTTAGAAAATCAGGAATATCAACACATTTTTGAATCATCCGTTCACAAAACTCCACTCTCTTTTCTTCATCACCTGGATATAAGGCCTGGACTTTTTGGATGTGATAAAGATGTAAACCTTGTTCTTTAAGTGTCCGCCACACAACAAATGAGGACACTCCAATTTCAAGACCTAGTCTTCTACAACTTAATTGAGGCCGGTTTTCAACAGCTTCCAATATTTCTTCTTCGGCCGCCAATGTTCTTTGTGTTCTTGTTCTCCCTCGATCTGCATTGACACTCTCAAATTTTCCATGGTCTCTTAGATGCTGAACAGTTGAAATAAACGTACGACAGTCCGGAATTCTCCGATTTGGAAACCGTTCGCGATACAGGATTTGTGCTTGCCGAGAATTTTCTCCAGCTGCCCCATAAACCAGCACTATATCCGTTAGTTCAATATTCGTAAATAGTGGCATCGTAAAAAAATATTTAAAAGTAATCGTAAAAACACTTTTTACCAACTTGGAAATGACGCGCTCGTGTTAGCCAGATTCGTAAATCATCTAAAATTTTAATAATCTATAGTTTCAAAAATGTATAGTTTAAAAACAATCATTTATCAAATATTCTAGTTTTTTGATAACGAGGGTAGTAAAAACCAGTCTTCGGAAATAGAAATTAATTCGAAAATCTTGGCAACATGGTTATTTCTTACAAGACTAGTTTTCTTATCATCTGACAAAAACTAGCATATTAATTACTGTTGATGTTTAAAATAGGTAAATAAACCTAATTTATATAGGTCATCCTCAACATATCAGTGAAGTACGTTTGTTTTAGAATTAATTTTCAAAAATTAATAACTCCCTTAATAAGGGGTATTTTTAAAAAATAATATTTTTCTACATTCAGTGGGGATCTGCGCAATACCCAGTTTTAATATGTACGTGTATTTCAATAACACCCTGTATATGAATATAAAATTGATTATTTTGAGTCCTAAATGCTTCATATTCGTGCAAATTTAAATGTTTTGGGTTGGCACAGAATGACATTTAAATAATGTTTAAATAACATATTAGGTCTGATGAATATAAACTTTTGATACTTGGAGTTCAAAGCCCATCAAAACAAGTGACAATATAAAATAACAAGTAAAAGAAGTAATTTTAAAAAACCGATTCTAAAAATGAAGTGTTTGATGATTTTCTCATGGATCCCATCATCAGATATTGACCAAACGTATATGGGATAAAAAATTATTGTTAACAAAAATATTCCGACAAATTGAGAACTTCTTCCTATTTTCTAAAGTTATCCGAAGTTTAATTACTATTGCACTAATCAATAATACAAAACTTCCAAATGTTTTTTATACCTATATATATTTCTAAACTTACCAGTAAACGTAAAAGTTATCAACAATAAATAACAACAGATAAACGTTACATTTTTACACCGAAAAACACCGCACTGGTCTTTTAACATTTCCGACAGTCTCCAAACAAACAATTTCGACAACAAATTTTCTTATAAAATTTTTAGAATGAAATGAAAACAAAGTTCAAGATAGTGAAAGTCTGTAGAGCAATCGTCATATAGCCAAGAATGTCCGATTAAGACTACACCGGTCATCATCAGGTACCGATACACCTCCTCAACTTTTTCTTGCAAATGCATACCTTCACATTTTGCCTCGACCAAACATGTGTTTGATAATACTCACACTCTCGCTGTTTTATTTTTATTCGCGGAATTATTGTCTAGAATATGTTCGTCGTTAAGGAATGATAACAAAAATTAGAGATCAGAAAAACCGATTATTATATCATCGCAGATCGCAGTATTTCTCCGTCTATTATAGTCAATCTTAAAGAAGTCTCTGTTGTCAAGCAATAAGACAATATAAAAATACACTTTGATTAATTTATTTCATTCAAATAAGGATTTATCTGTGCAAGAAAATTATATTCAAAATGTGACTTCTATTTTAAGAATCTGCCGAATTCTTCTTAATAGTAGAGGAAAAGGTGTAAATATGGAATACCGTTTTGTTTGGTATATAAAAAATGTTTTGCTAGTGAATAGATTTAAGCCAAATTTAGAGAAAAGGTACTAGACAATTAGACACCAAAATGTAAAAGCAAATTGTAATTATCTTAAACACTTTTTCAAAAAACAAGTTATAAAAAAAAAACTACAAAATTCCCACTTTAGAAAAGGTGGGAGAAATATGGAATACTTTATACTATATCTAATCTACATATAATTTGCACCAGTCACAACATGCAAATGTCCATAAATAATAGTAATTATATAGCAAATTATTAAAAAATTACGCCATTGTGGCTAATAGTACCGTTCAGATATTTAAAATGAATTTTTTTAAGGTGTATTTAATATCCCATGGACATCCACTAAATATATTAAAGTCTAGGCGCGAACGCAAACCATGGTGGATATCCACTAGGGAGCGTTCAAGTATTACGTAACGCAATTTTTGGAGATTTTTAACTCCCCTTCCCCCCATGTAACACGCCGTAACGTTTTTGTGAAGGTAAAAAAAGGTCAAATGGTGACTTGAAATTTTGAGAAAAAAAAAACGTTTTAAAAAATGCGTGAGAGAAACTCTCTACGCGACTTTTCTGAAGGGTTAAAAAATAATAATGTTGCGTAACACGTAGTTCAAACGCTCCTGTAACGCATCGTAACGTTTTACAAAATCCCGCCCTCCCCCCCAAATTCGTTACGTAATACTTGAACGCTCCCCTAGATGTAATTTTTGATTTTGCTTACTAAGTATAGATGGCGACACCACTGTCGCTCGTTGAATATCTACTCATGCTCAACCCGCCGTAACTGAGTTCGATCGAAATTGGTATCGCAATCAGACTGTATTAGAGACTGGAGTCGAGAATTTCCATTTATTGCTGAAGAGTCCTAATAAGGATGACTTTCTCCTTCTCTCCTCAAAGGCAGAGAGTTAAAAATATTTTTTATCTCTGCTATTTTCTTTCGACGTTATTCAATAATCATTGGTTACTTATGAACCTCTATTAAAGATACCCATAAAATATTTTGCTGAATATCCGAATATCTTCTATATCCTGGGATATAGACGGACATTTGAATATCCATATTAGATCCACTGGATATATTGGATATCCACAAAAAATATTCTGTGGATATCTCTGGGATTTCTTGTATTGTCTGGAAGATACCAATTAGATTTTTGCTGGATATCCATAGGATATCTTCTATATTCTGGATATAGATGGACATTTGGATATCCATATTAGATCCACGGGATATTTCAGATATCCTGTGGATATATTGGATATCGACAAAAGATATTCTGTGGATATCTTTGGGATTTGGTGTGTTGTCTGGGTGCCTTGTGCTTGTAGAAGGAACACAACTTAAACATACATTTTAAAATAACCAATGTCTTATTGTTTCAGTCTTATTCTTAAAAACGTTGTATTTGAATTAGCTACATTCTATTATACTTACTTTTTAGGGACAATAAAAACAAACAAAAAATAATTATACATTATTTATTGCACAGGTATATTTATATATATGTAGTATATATATACAAATCCATACATCAGACTCTTCGATATCTACAGAGAGAAAAAAACAACTAAACCGAAATCATTTCAATAATAAATATAAAATAAAGTAACATTTCTATACAAATTAATACATCAGACTCTTCGATGTCTACAGAGAAAGAAAAAAATTAAACCGAACTCAATTCAATAAAAAATATTAAAAGAAACTCATTTCGACTCGTACCCACCACGTCGCTGCAAAAAAGTCCACGATAACCATTTGGTCAAAATAAATTAAATATTAGGTACACAATTCTGCGTCATCAATGTCTTTTAATAAACATCATATATTCGTACCGGACAGCAATTTATCCTCGTTCACTTGATTCAAACCGACCTCGATGTGCTTCATGTGCACTTCTACATTAGTTTGGAACACTTCTTGATTCCCCTGGCTCAACTTCTGCTTGATCTGCTCCATGGTGCCCTTCAGCACCTGCACCTTGTAAGCTTTACTGTCAGAGTCTGGCATGATTTTGACTTGCAGCAGAAGTGCTGTTAGATCGGTGATCAAATCCAAGATGGAGGGGTTTTGACATGGTTCCTTATCGGATGCTATGATGGAATTGTGCCTATCGACGATGTCTTTGGCTTCTTCTCTGCATTTTTCGCGCAAGTGCGATGGAGTTAGCATGGCGATAACGCTTGGTTCAGGCGCTATCTGTTGACAGTAGACCTGCGAGTTAAGGACCAACGTTTAGATAACTAAATAGGTATATTTAATAAACGTGCACACTACTGGAAAGGATAAGCTTAAATTGAATGATCCCAAAACACAACACCTATGTCTGAACTAAAATATTTCCAATTTTTGATAAAACATAAGCATAAACTTGATATAAATCTTAATTCAAAAATGACAGGTCACATCCTAGAGTCTACCTTAGATTGTTAACAATTAAGGACCTATTATGGACCAGGTGCTGCTGCCTCAAAACTTACATCATAAGATATAAAATTGTTGATGATCAGATTTATTGTGAATCAATAACAGTATTAAAAAATCTTTGTCTTATATTTCAAACCGGCGGCCGTTCTTTTTTTACAATTTCTAGAGGCCAAACATTTTTAAAATGGTGCTGATCCACATCAAATTAAACATTTAACAATTGTACACCTTATGTCATAAACTCCCAGTCCATCAACACTTCCAACAAACTAAACAAAGAGCTCAAATGAAAGGAATTGAAGAAGAAACGAAACCAATAAGGAAATAAAAAAGGTTAGCAACAAACTGATACAAAAACAAACACCATATATACATAAATAATACACACCTGAATCTCTTCCAAATACTTCTGAAGATCGAAATTCAACTTTTCCAAATCAATTAGCACACTGGCGTACTTCCTTTTGGAATCCTCCGGTATAGCTTGGTCGAACGATATCAATTTTTCGGCGTCAGAGTTCAACGACTTCAACATCTCAATTTTCAGTTTTTTCATTTGCAATATTTTCGTCACCAGTACCATCCTTTCCAGTAATTTCGCGGGAAAACCGCCGATTTTGCCTTCCTCGGTGGATTGAAGGTACGGGGGTGTTCCCACCATTGAACCCGATAACAACGGATCCTTCCTATGTTTCATGGTACCTATAATAGGGCTCTTTAGAACGGGAGAGAAGGAATTGTTTCTGGGTTTGAATTTGGCTTGGAAACTAGTTATCGAGATCGTTTCTGGTGGTTCGTTAGATAGAACTTCGTAATCAGGTACTGAATGCGTACCCAAACCAGTTCTTTCAAAGGTAATACGATAGGTGTTGTTTGAAGTGTCTACAGCGTCGATGCTGCCGGTAAAAAGCCCGTCTTGGGGCTTCCTTAGCCTAGCTGTTACTTTCGTACCGATCACCAATTGCATTGGAACTTCAGGAGGTAGATCTTTGAAACTGGTCATATCGGTAGCTTTCCTTTGCTGTAACGCTCTGATTTTTTTTCGTTTCTTCTCCAATGCCAGTCGTTCTTCATTGAAAAACGCTTGAGAGCATCTGCGTGGCTTGCCCATCATTCGACGTATTTTGGTCCATTCCACTCTGGTAAGGTCTCTGGTATTCAATTTGGGAAAAGATTCTTTTAGGCATATCGTAAAGTCGTTTTCGCCGTCAAACAAACACCTGTCGATGTTGCTGTAGAACCATTCATAACAAACCCATTTATGGGCTTTGGGTAACTTCAATAAATTCCTCAGTCTTAAGCCTATTTTTTGACCGATTTTCCTATCGGGTGAATTCAAAGGGGGCGGAGATGGTTCCCTGTATTTTTCTCTCGAAGGAGTTTTTTTGGGACTGGTTCTATATTCAATTTTTTCGGTTTTTATTTTCACGGGCGTATGCCGTTTGCTCGGGGTGGACTTCTGCTTCTTTGCTACTCTGTGGTGGGGCGTATTGACAATATCGTCGTCGAAGAACAAACGATTCTTCTTTCGTATCCTAGCGGGCATCCCTCGGGCGTTTAGAACTTGCGGGGGCTGTGTAGGAGTGGGTTTGGGGGGCATCTGGGTGCCTACGCGCTGTAACCCCAACGCGGCTGGACCTAAAGTCGGTACATCTTCTTCCATCTCCATGTCGTCGTCCTCCATCACCTCCTGCTTTATTGTTACGTTTTCTGTGCTCATTTTGGGAACAGTTTTTTAAGCGCTTGTCCACTCACCTTTAAATAAGTAGAAATAATGTATTACTTTCTCTACAACTGATCTATGAAAAGATTTCGGGTTCGTGAGATAGCAAGATGACGCCGACTTAAACGCACGCGCAAAATAATGAGTGATGTATTTTGCATTGATGCTTACAACTTTTTAAAATTACTAGTAGAAGAACAAAAACTAGCAACCCAATTAATAAGTGAAAAAATAGAAATCTTAAAAGTTGAACTTAAAAATGAAAAAACGAAATATTTTGATATGCAAACACAATATAACGAAATAAATCCTAAATTTATAAGAGTTGACAATAAAAATCAAAACTTATCTATCAGTGATAATAAAAGACCAGTTTTTATAGAAAAAATAAAAAAAAAACAAAAATTGAAAGTGTGAGTATACCTGTTGGAAATAAACATTTAATACCAAACAAAAACACAAGCGATTATAGGAATGCCCCTGTACAGGATGACTCATTCCTCCAAAGGAAACAAGTTGCATAAGAACTAATGAAAATTCAAACCCTTCAAAAAACTAATGAAATAATAAATCTAGCAGATGATACCAATGAGGGGAGTCAGTAACAAGACGGCAAAGAAGAAAAACAAAACAATTATGGGAAGTGGAGAAGGTGATGATGAATTTAAAGGAAGGAAAAAATTTGGCTCTTTGTATCTAGAGTATCAGACACTGTAAATGAAGAGAATGTTAAGAAATACATTCATAAACGCAGAAGACATTTATGTGAAGAAACTAGACACATATTTTGTAAGACAGAACAATCAAGCTTTAGGAATTTAATATTAAACATCATATAAATGTTGCAACGAGAACAACAAGTACAACCTCAACTTGTTTAGATAATTTTTTTACCAATTTTGATGTATATAAGGTGGGTGTATATGATACTTTTGAAAATAACGAATTTAAATACAGATATAAACGAGATTTAAGTGATCCTAACGTAATAACTTTTATAAATATTTTCAGTTGAAAATTGGCGTGAAGTATACACATCTACTAATTTTTGATGATAAATTTTCTATCTTTTATGAATCATTCCTATACCACTACAATATTGTATTTACGAAAACAAAGGAAGCGATAAAACCACAAAAATTAAAAAATCAGTTTCCACCTCATATTAAAGAGTTACATAATCTATTATGTGAAATGAAACAGGTTAAAGAAAGAAATAAATTCTACATATTATACAGAACGTTACAATAATTTAAAAAAAGAGCATCAAAAAATAACAAAACAATATTTGAGAATAAAAAATAATGATCGTATTTTAAAAAGTAATAACGTAATGAAAGAATCCTGGAATATAATAAACGAGAGTAGGGGAAAAAGAAAAAACAACTTATTGAATCCTATTAAACTTACAAATGATGACAAATTAACACCCTTAGAAAAAGTAAATTATATCAATGATTATTTTATTAATGTAAATAAAAATAATATTATACCTAACTATACTATGAGTATTGATAAACATGATAAAAGTTTTTTTCTTTTTCCAACAACTCCTAGTGAAATTATCACTATAATCAAAAAAACTACTTCTAAACCCACTGAAGGTATTGAGGAAATAAATGGTAAAATTCTGTTGTCGGTTGCTCATTGTATTGCTGAACCCATATCACATTTGATTAATGAATCCTTTGTTTCGGGATTATTCCCAAATATGAAGGAATCTAAAGGAATTCCTGTTTATAAAAATAAGGGATCTGTATCTAATATAGAAAATTATTGTTTAATCTGTATATCTAGTCAAATAACTAAATATTTGAGTCAGCATACTTTATTAGACTCACTAATTACCTTGAAAGTTTTAATATGTTGCCAGATAAACAAAATGGATTTAGAAAAAATAAGTCATCTACTGCAATTGCAGCTTGCCTAGAATTTATATATCAAGCACTCAATGATAAAAAAACATATTTTGGGACTCTTCTATGACCTTAGCCATGCATTTGATATGGTGGATCATAATGTTTTATTATTGAAGATGAATAGTTAGGAATACGAGGGAAACCTTTTGAACTTTTAAACTAATATTAACATGAATTGTCTATTATATATATTTTATTTTATTTTTTAATGTATTTTACTGAACACTTTTTTGACTAGTCTGATAGGATTTTACATTATGTACCTAGTGTCTCTGTATAGTGTATAGGTAATTCTCAAAGATGAATAAATTCTATTTCTATGCGCTGGTTCAGTGTGATGTCATTTTGGTTCCACTGACATTTAGTTCTAACCAAACTTTTAACAAAAACATCAATAAATTTGACATATACGTTTTTACTGTTTTTATTTTATTTCAAAATATTGTTTACAGGTCATAAGAAATAGTTTAAAGGTATGTAATTGGTAACTAAACGATTGTATATTTGATACATGCTATCTACTTACTTTAGTAATATATTTATAAAAGTAAAAAAAAGGTTTAATTTAGGTAAACAAAACAAACAAAACGCACTCAAAAAATCTACTGTCAGTGGAACCATAATTTCATCATCACTGAACTAGCGCATTTAAAGATCAGGAAGAATAGTGTTGGAAAAATTCTTCATAATCATTAATTAATAAGTAAGGTAGGAATAGATAATATAGAAATGAAGTTGGTTTATAGGATTCTTTCTTGAATAAATATTGATTTTTACTCATAAAACAGTTTTTCAGAATACCAGTTAACAATAAAACAATAATTAGATATGAAATTTCACAAAACTGAGAATATTAACAGAAAAGTGTGTTTGATGGCATATAAAAGAAATTTTCCATCAGATTTTGGCTCTGAAACCTCCAAAAGCTCTAATAGACAAATTGCAGACCAAGTTGTTTATTTTAAAAATAAAGCCCATATTGCACAATACCTTTTTCCTTAAGACCATATTAAACAGAACTGATGACATTGATTGGTTTCCACAAAATTTCATTATAAATTAAATGAATTGATAATAATACTAGTAAAATGTTTTATACATTTTTCACTTTTTAGTAAACATAAAAAATCATGAATTTTTTAGACAAATCGTTCAATTTGGGGTCCCCCTAAATTGGTTTTAATCAACAGAACTATAAATTCTTTACTTAAGCTTTAATCCATTTTGCAATGAGCAGATTAGACTTTGGGCATGGTCGGAACCACTTGGGGTACTTTCTGTTATTTCTGACTAGAGAATAAAATTCTCTATCATTTTTGTCATAACACATGATTAACCTAAAATGGACCAAATTGGAGATATTTTAGAAAAAGTGCAAAATTCAATTTTTATCAAATTTTTGTTATGTTTAATTCACATTCTAAACACTTTTTGATTAAATATAGGGCCATACATATTTGATCACTTTACTGGAAAGTCATTTAACAAATATTTTTGTATTATGAAATTAATAAAACGATACTACATAATGCTCAGACAGTAATAGCTTATATAAATTTATTTAGTAGAAGAAATAATACAATAAATACAACCTTATGTCATAAATTTAAATTGGCCAATTTAAACAAATTGCAAGAAAATATTATTCAGCTCTTCAGTTTTCTGGACAAAAAAAATAATGACAATTTACCAGCCAATTTTTTAAATGAACCTTTCAGAATCCACCCAACAACATAACTGGATGTTCATTATGTAGATGATTTTGTCTGGTTTGTTACTATTATGAAATTCTCTATATTCAGTTTATATTTCATGTTTTTTATAATATTTATACATATCTTAATGTGTATTGATAAAGTGGAACCATTTGCATAAAGATCCAGAACAGCAGCTCAAGGTACAACTTTAATTACAAGTACCTACTAAAAATATAGGATGAGATCTAGAATAAAACTTAGAGGTGCTTAGTACCTACTCAATGCACCTGAACTCAAATAAATTTTATAATATACTGTAGCGACTCTATATACAGCTATAATACAAGATGCAAAAAATAGCCAAAGGCAATCATTCTTCCAGTTCACCGTTGGAGTTATGCCTGCATCAAATGTTCATTCGATTACCTATGTGGAGAAGAAAATGATACAAATAAATTTAAAAAGAATGTTTAGTAGTTTTTGTTCTATTGTATGAATTATTAAACTACAACACATATGCAATAGTTAATTCTATTTCAATATACATATTTTACTAGTCTATATAGTGTGATATCTAATATATTGTCATTTTATTTATGTTACAATCCCTAGAAGTTGAATAAGTGCTTTACTTTATTTAGATATCTGTATACTAAATAAAAACTGTTTTTTAATCGAACACGATGCAAGTTAAATAAAGGTCATTAGGATTAAAAGTGATTTGGATCTTAAAAAACGAACATAAAAAAAATTAAATTTAAAAAATTTTGAATTTGTAACACCATTTTCAAATTCAAACCTAATTCGTCCAAAACAACCGTAATTTAGGTATAAAAACGGTGCCTTACCTGTTTAGTATTACTTTTCTGGATTCATACAATGATAAGACGTATCGAAAAAAACCTTTTTGTTTAATTAATTAACATTTTAACACGAATAAATCGTCTTAATTTTTGTAAATAACCACTTTAGACAGAGCCGCCATATTGACGTTAGATGAAGGCGCGATGCGCATAACCGAACTCATACATTACTTCAAAATAGCAAAAACTTAATTAATAAACTCACTAGCTCAATAATTTCTTCAGAAATATAAAAGTTAACATAGTATTTCAAAATGAATGTTGTTTTTTAGGAGGAATTGAAAGAAATTCAAAATTTAAATTTAAAAATCGCCAAGTAACTTCCACGCATATTCAGTGTTGCCAGTAAAACAACAAAAAATTAAAAATCATAAACCGCATTCATTGCTAAAAAAACATTTTGTGTATTTCTTACTTTCTATTGATTTTTACTGATTAAATAATAAATAAAAAAATATTTTACATTAACATTAACAAATCAAATGTACAAATACTAGTCATCTGACAATGACGTCATTATTAATTTGAAATTGTTCAAGTAGCATAAAGGCTGAGTTTGCCAATTCAAGATTCCTATACTTTTAACTTCAATGGTAGCGTTTGCATTCGTTTATTTAAATCATGGACAAATGCTAACATGATAATTAAAAACAACTTAAAATACCCACCGTCAATACACTGTCACAGTCAAAAATCAAAAACTTATATCGCAAAAAAATGGCTCAATTTCAGTTTAACTGACATATTTGTTAAGTTTCTTCCCATAGAGTGAAATTCAGCCAATCATAACGATTTAAAAAATTATCTGCGATATACTATTGGTTTAGTCGTTTGCAATTACGTAAAAACAGGTACTGTGAAAGCACCTTACGATAAATTTGACATATGGTACAACTGTCAGCCGAGGCCGTTTTGACATTTTCATTTGTCAGAGAAACATTTTGGCGGATTTTACTGTTTTTGCAAATTTATTAAAAAATATAATATTTAGGTCTATATATTTTTTAAATCTCGTGTATGTATTTCTAATTGGTAATACATACCCCTCGTTTTTAAACCACGAAATTTGGAAATTAAATTGATGGCCTCAAAGCGAGGTGCTTCCAGTGATTTGAACCATAACAATTGGGATCAAGATGAAGAACCTGAGGAATCTGGAACGTTTCAAAGGGCTTCAGATGATTCTCTAAAACGAAGAGTTATTAAAACGGCTAGGAGAAGAAATCCTATTTCTTCTGTAAGGGTAAGTGTCTTTGAAATTTTAATTAACATTGAAGAAATGTTCCAATCGGTTTTTTTATGTAAATAGCATGCTTTTAATAAATCGTATTGTATTAGAAACATGGTGTGACTAAAAAATATTATAAATTGGATAAATTCCCTTAAAGTCCTTACTATTAATGTACATAGAGGATTTTAAAATTAGTTTTAATAATCTAAAGAATAAAATTTCGATATGATTTGTATAGATATTATACTGATCTAAAGAACATTTAAGAACTAAAATATTGCTGACCTAGTTTTATACCAAACGTATAAAGCAATATGTTAAAAGTTTAATAATGTATTGATTTTTAGAAAGGCATTATATTTATCATATGCCAAAATGTATGGCAATAAAAATAATTCTGCTTCTACATACTCTAAATTTATAGTTTGAATATACAGGATTTATATTATTAATTATAGGTAGGAGCTGGTTTTTTTGTTTGCCTTGTTTCTGATTTTATATATACAATGCTTATTTTTTCGTGTTAGGCATAGGACTAGTATATGTTAATAAAATGACAACAGCCAGTCGACTAGAATTAGAAGATATGGTGGTGGGATATTAGCTGAACTGAATGTGAGGCACAAAGCTAGAGAGCAAAGAGATAGCTGGGATATCGTAGTTGCCACATGTTCACTGTGAAAGCAGGGCTATGCCTAATACAAAATAATAAGTACTGAATATATTTTATAAATTTACATGATTCTAAAATTACTTAGGTGCTATTCTATTCACTGTTTTTTTTTTTTAATAACTGTTGTTTTTTAATATTTTTCAATTTTTTTTTCTTCTTGAAAATGTTTTGCAAATTTATATTGTAGTAGGTTATATAAATAAATAATGTATTTGATATTTTATTTTGTGGTATGTAATTAGTTTCATACATATTGTACTTAATAAAATGTACCTATTAAATAAATTAAAGATTATAACTTCACATTGCTGACAATGTGATCAATCATTGGTTGTTTTATTTCTCTTTTTTTATCTGTTAATTGTGCTGACATTACTTCTGATAGATACAATGATACTTGAATATTTCTAAACACATCTGCAAAAAAATTGTTATTAACTTTAGGTACCTTCAAGAGTTATTTTCTTTGCTGGACTTTCCTGATAAACTATTGAGGATATTTTTCTCTTTATTAACTTTTTAGAGATATCCACTCAAGTTTTCAATAAACTGTGGATTTTTGAAAAACATTGAAATATTCATACCTTCATATTTCATTTAGTTTTAATAATAATAATAATAATAATAATAGTCTTTATTTTGAGGAACAATCATATTACATATAAGACAATTGTCAAGGAAAATATATTAATGATCACATAGAGTAATATTCATTAATTGTATATGATTCTAAATAACAATTCATGTACTTCCCTTTTAAATATTTTAACATTTGCTAATTTTTTTATTGTATCAGGCAGTTTATTGTACAATTTTACACAGCTGTACCTAGCTCCATGCTCTGTAGCTGTCAGCCTATATGTATTGGATATACTAAGTTTTTATTTCTCAATATATAAGCATTCGTTGGTTTAAAATTTGAAAATATACCTCTATTTTTATATAAAAAAATTAAGCATTCCAGGATGTATATACCTATCACAGTTAAGGTTTTATTTTCTCCAAATTTACCTCTACATGATTCTCTTATATTCAAACTGAGGATAATCCACATTATTCTTTATTGACTAAATTGCTCCTACCATGGAATATTATCCCATATCTAATTCTGGATTCAAAATTTGGAAAGTATACCATTTTTAAACTATCCCATTCCAAATATTTCTTCACAACTCTGATGCTGTAACAGATCTGGCCCAATTGTGTACATACAAACTCAACATGGCTTTCCCAGCACTGAAAACTATCAATATTTATTTATTAGCCATTCAGTCTACAGTAATTTGAATTACAAATTATTACATAAATATACACAATAACTTAAATATAAACAAGGTATCCTAATTACTTAACAGTGTGACTTAAGTTCGTTAGTAGCCTAAAATTCAAAGTAATCAAGAACTTATAAATTAATGATCTAATTTTAAATATTCATTTTTTCTTGTTGCTAGGAATTAATCAAACCTTGTCTCCTGGTTGAAAGGAGAGGAAAATAAATAGCTATTCAGCGCCCAATGGCAAGTTAATATGCTGTGTGTGCACTTAATGACACTTATATACATTCTTAGAAAGAGGTTAATTGGATATAAATCACATTTACTTAAAATTACCTGCAAATGATCTAATATTAATAGTTAGAGAAGCAAATACTGAAAATGAATAAATTTTAGGATGAGAGGACGTTATATTTATAAAAGATAAGTAATCAAAAAATTTGTTTCAACTATCCATTGGTTTATCCTATTTTAGATTTTATGATATGACTTATTTTTAAATTCCTGTGGTAAACAATTATATACCTTAGGATCTACACAATAGATATGGTTCTGACATGCAGTATGTTTATGATTTTGGAGCCATAATTATGGTTTTTGAGAGAAAAACCGTTTTTTAAAAAAAAACTTTAATTCCTGAACTACAACTCTAACGTATGAAGAATATCTGAAGAATTATTGAAATAAACAACTTACATATATTTATAACTTTTTAAATGTTGACTAAGCTAAAGATAAAAATAATATTTACTATGCTAATTCTATATATATAACTCCTCCCTTCCTAAACTGAGAAGATCAGGGGCTGATTCTTCGAAGTTTCTAGATTATCTTCTTTTCTTCTTAATTCTATTTCTTTATTTTGTTCATTTGTAGATTTTCTTGCTTCTTTTCGATGAGGACATATCTTCAATTGTAGTATTTTTCTTTTTTTTTATATTAAATAACTGACTAGGCATAAGATTATAATTATAATAATTGAAATTGATTTACTTTTATAAGGATTATCTATTACTTCTTCTACTGGTTTTAGACTTTTAGCAATTTTACTTATTTCATATAAATTTTCAAAATTGACTTTAGTTATATTAGCTTTTTGAAATTGAATTGACGTCTTCATATCTTCTATTTCGAATTTTGGTAAAATCAAAGGCGTTTCTTCTTGGATTTGGACGTCATTAATGTAATTTTCTTCATTAATCTCTATATTACCCTTTTTAGGAATTTTTATTAAGTATTTTTTCAGGTTTTGAGGGCATGATAAAATTGATAGGAAACAGGTTTCAAAATAGGAATATGAATAACAAATATTAGTTTTGTTTTAGTAAATGTTACTTGTGTACCTAGAATTTGATAGATAATATGAAAGAATATTTTGAAATTTGAGAATTTCATTTTCTTTATATATTTTCAATAAATATTGTAATAAATCTAAAATTTCTTCAATAGAAATTATTGAATTATGTAATGTATTTAACTTTGAAAATGATATGGCATTTTCTAAATTATCAAGTAAAGTTATTATAGTTTGACAATCTAAATTAATTTGGGATAGTGCTCCTTGAAAGTTTACGAACGTTTCTAAAGTTTGTATTTTCTTTGCTATTGAATATTGAAGTTTTTTAAGAGTATCAGTAAATGCTTGTTGATTTTTAAATAAAATTGTTATTGTCCGATTATAGTGATCAATTAATTTTTTATAAAGTGACATTTGTAAATTTGTTTCTGCAATGAGATTTTTTCTGATTTTGTTGCGAATAATATATAGCTTTATTATATCTTTCTTCATCATCTAAGTCTAAATTTCCAAATAACCATTTATTGAATTTTCCAAGACCATTGATTAAGCCTCTTTTATTTCTAATATATGGATGAATATTTCCTAATTTTTTCTGGACAGTATTTATTAATATTTCAGTTCGTAATAAATTATTTTGAGCAAGACTATGATATGATATTTGATTAGTTATATTATCTACATGAATAATAAGATTTTTAAGTGTTTCAAAATTTTTAGTTAATTTTTGAACTTGTAAAAATGTATGTTTACTATAAATTATTTTTGATGTTTCTAATTTTATAGGTAATAATAAATTTTCAAGTGATGTTATTTGTATATCTTTTTGTGCATTAATTTGTTCTATTGCTAGAAGTACTAGGCAGATTTTCATTATTTTTGTCCTCATTTTCGTCTTGTTTCTGTAACAATAAATTTGAATTAGTTTCTGAACCTTTAGGTTTTTTAATAATACTTTTATGATAAGTCCCTTTGTTAGTTTTTAGTAAAATACCTTTATTTTTAATAACCTTAGTTTTTTTATAAACTGGAGAAGCTTTGTTTCTTAATTTAGTTTTTATATATTCATAATTAATTGGTTCTGATCGATTTTCATTTCTATTTTCTATTAATTTTTGTTTGTTTCGTTTTTATCTTTTATATCTTCCTATAATTTTTTATTAATTTGTTTATGATTTTGTACGTAATTTGAAATTATAAGGTGATCATTTAAATCAAAAGGATCTTCATTATTAATATGTTCTTTAATTATTTGATATGGAGTGAATTTTGTTATGGAATGTATAAAATTATTATTGGCTAATATAGCATGTTTTATTAATTGATCAGGGGTTAGATCATTATTTTCTTCTTTGAGACATCTAAAATGTTCAATTAAGCTTGAATGAAAACGTTCTACAGGTGAATTTGAATTCCTATTTTTAACAGTATAGTATAATGAAGTTCAATATGATGTAATTTACAAAAATCTTCTAAATCATAATTTTTAAATTCAGTGCCACTATCTGTTGTAATTTTTTGAGAATAACTAACCCATAGTTTATGATTGATTCTACAAGACAGAGATAGACAGCTTTTAAAATTTTTTAGAGAAAGAATGTTACGTAATTCATAGAATTTAAAAATTAATTTTCTAATCTTTTCGGTGACATATTGTATGTGAGATTTTCGTCAATGAGTACTCCCAAGTATTTAATGTTATTTGATCTTTTTATAGTATTTTTACACTAGCAATTATTATTTAATTGAATATATATATAGCCCCAGAAACTTGGTACTAGTTGAGACCTTAAATATACAGTTGTTTAGTTGAATATTTATTGGCATTTCATCTCTGTTGTAATTTGTTTTGCTCTCATTGAGTATTTATTTATTTCAAGCCATTTTTTAGCTTTAGTTATCTCTCTTTCTCTGCATTTAAGGTTAATTTTATCATATCAGATGCACTTAATAAAAAAATTGTGTCGTCTGCATAATTGGTTAAAAGATCAATATCTTATTGTAATATACCATTTCCTAGGCCTCATTCTTCCGATATTGAGAAAATTCCGTCTCGTCTATGCCTAATTTTTTATTGTAGACTTTTCTTTGCAGGGTAACGACGAGGAAAGTGACAAGAAAAGTGCCTTTACAAGTTTCAGCGGTTTCGGAAAGGCGCCCCAACCCACGACATCGGCATTTTCATTTCTCTCGAACCTCGCAAATCCAAAATCACCACCCAAAGTAAACGGCATTGAAAACAAATCATCGGATATAACCACGTTCAAATTCAACAGTATCCCAGTGACCAGCGCCAATCCCACAGACAAATCAAGCGATACAAAGCTGAGTCATACATCGCAATCTGAACAAATTAATACAAATATATTTACCGGCACTTCTAATCCTAATAACAATCCTAGCAACGCAGATGAACAATCGAACGACTATTATTCCAAACTGAAAGGCTTGAATCAAAGCGTTTCCAATTGGATAAAAAAACACGTCGATACAAATCCATTTATTAATCTGCAACCGATTTTTAAAGACTACGAAACATATTTCAATGAATTAGAGAAAGAGAAAGACTTGAAACCTGACACTAACAAAGTGGATAAAAGCAAAAATGACGTTTCTTCCATATTCAAGGCGACGGATAATATTCCAGATAGTACTACTGAAAAAGCGCAACCCGCTCAAGTGAGTAAAAAGAACGAAGATGTTCAGAAAGCCGAAAAAACGGAGACCGTCGTTCCTAAGTTTTCTTTTGGGTCATCAATGGGGAGTGGTTCTACCACGCCTTCGTTTAGTTTTGGAAGTACAAAGAGCACTGGGTCAGCGTTGTTTTCATTGGGTAAGTTACTATTATAATATATTTTGTTTTGATTAATTACCACGTGAAAAAATTGTTATAATATTTACCTGACTTTGTCGAACCGTTTTTTTTTAACGAATATTTCGGAAAAACAAAAATTAGTGCATACTACTTGATTTTCCAGGAAAATTTGGACCAAACTCTTTTCTGCAGAAAATTGCTTAAAAAAGAGGCCGAGAGACAGGAGGAAATATTAAGATTACAAACTTTATTTAATATAAAACTAAAAATTAAAAATTTGAACTTATTTTTTCACTTTTTTCTGGTAATAATTTCAGAATATATAATTTTTGAATTTTATTTTACGAGGTAACACATGAACAATATGTGATGATGTAATTACACCATATAATTTTTTTTAAGAAACCTTTGGTAATTTTTATTAGAAAATAATTTATGATGTAAATGTAATTTTTATGTAAAATTACTTGATAATATCCGGTTTTTGTGATTCAAAAACATTGAATCGCCCTTCAACAACAATTCATTATTAAAAGGCGTCTTTTAGTAGGAGGTGATAAAATAAAAATACATAAGTATACAGACAACTTTACAAAACAATAAAAGAAAAAAAAAACATCAAATGGTCAGCAAGTACTCACGCAGTTTTCTTTTAAATATTACTGCTTTTGAAGAGCATTTAATATCTTCGGACAAATTATTAAAAGTCTGCATGCCTTAAAAAAAATTAATTTTGTGTACATTTTGATCGAAATCACTTCAAAATCAATTTTTCCCCCAACGAAATATAAACGCAGCAGGTGGTGGATTAAAACCAACTTAAGCGCAAAAGAGGTCATTTAAATAGTCAAGAAGAAAATTTATTGGGAATCATTTAGAACCATGGGTGAATTCCGAAATACGGGTATATTTGACCTTTGTAGTTTACCACTTGGTCCCAACAACAGTCTCACTTGGGCATACAATGTCTGGTTCATTGAATAATGCTTGCAATTCCTTGTTAGTTCTCCTTTCCCACCATCCTTCACTTATTTCCTTTGTAAATTTCTTTCCCATCTTGACATTTTTCTATTACCTATTATTAACAAATTTAAGTAAACGGCGTCTACATTCAATTACTTTGTTCTTAGGAACGACAACAACTGACTCGACAAAAACAACCACCACATCCTTGTTTACATTCGGCGTTAAGCCCACCACAACCACCACCGCCTCCACTACTACCACCGGTCAGACCTCATTCAACTTCACGTTCAGCAACGTCGCCAAACCAGCGACTGCCGACGACCAAACAAAAGAGGCGGATGATGATGAAGAACCGCCCAAAAACGATTTCACCCCTGTAGTCGAACAAGACCACGTCTACACCGCCAGGTGCAAGGTGTTCGTGAAGAATGACGGTAAGTTCGGCGACAGAGGCGTTGGAAATTTGTACCTCAAACCCATAGAGAACAGCGAAAAGGTCCAATTGATCGTTCGGGCCGATACGAACTTGGGAAATTTGCTGTTGAATCTGATCCTGTCAGATGCCATACCCGTGAAGAGGTTGGGCAAGAAGGATGTTATGTTGGTGTGCGTTCCTACTCCCGAAGCCGCTCCTCCGCCGGTTCCTGTTTTGTTGAGGGTGAAGAACGGCGACGAGGCTGACGAGCTGCTGGGGACGCTCGAGAAACACAAAAAATAGTTGTTGATATATTTAAACTTTTTATGTTTTTTCTGTATTAAGGTCAATAAAAAATATTGTTTTATATTTTGTGACGAGTTTTATTTTGCATATAATAATAGTAATGATAATAATAATAATTTATATTTATTAAAATAGATACATTTTTTTATTCAAATATCTAATTTAAAATAGTAACGATGGTCAATAATTTTTTTATATACAATAATTTTAATTATTTTGCAATATAAATAAACCAATAATATAACCATAAGTAATAAGTATGTGGGGTTGGTGAGGAGTTGCAATAAAATAATATAGGGACGATTTAATTCATATATATTATATTTCACCGACTAAAAAGTTGTTAAAAAACTAAATATCGAACAATCATAAAAGATCTATCCTCCTAAATATACAAAAAAAGTAGAAAAAACGAGTCACTGTAGAGTACCCCCTCAGTTGCTCAGACTATGCCCACAATGTTCCAGATCCCATCAAAATCGACGGATAATTTGGGCCGTATATAAAAAAACGTCACATACATGTGGTTTTTTGAGTTCTTAGGACCCCAGAACGTAAATATCTGTTGTGTTATCTCAAATTTTAATTTTTGAGTGATTGCAATAACTTCTTATTTTTATGGGTTGATGGGGAAGTTAATATCTCTATTAGGATATTTTAAGGTAAATTGCAGAAGGGCTAGTTCACCTCTGCCTTCCTGGTAAGTATTTAGTCTTGATATTGTCCCGGTTTTTTAGATAAAAATGTATAGAATCTTTTATTATCTTTTAAATCAAACTATGCGTCCTTTTAAAAGAAATATTTTAACAAAAAAATGTACGTAGTAAAAGTTAATCGAATCTAGCTTATGCAACCATGCATACTCTTTTGCGTAAAATGTGTTGCCTATCCACAGTCGAGTTTAGTTCTTCATTGGCAGTGGGGCACACACTGGAAAGGAATCCCGGGATTCGTTTTTCCCTTAGGAAAACAAGTTCTCCGCTTAATGAAAATTAAATATATTTCAAAACAAATTAAATATTACAAAATTGAAGACTAACTGCTAGGTACCGCTGCAGTTGTATACTATTTCTTACAGTTCATTCTTCTTGATTTGTAATAACGGTACGGCCCCATTGTGTTGCGCAGTCACATCGAGTGTAAAGTATGGACCATGGAGGAAGGATAATTAGTATGGACAGTTCGTTTTTGAATTTAAAGCTGTTTACGTTTGGAAATAAACTACAAACAGTTTTAACGTCCTCATTTGGAAAACAACCTCGGTAGTCTTTAAATTATTCACTAAAACTAAAACGTTCATTTACCTGCACTACTATTGTATCACAAATTTCCTTACATATCCTTAAATTAGGAATGGGGTCCTCCTTTTCTACAAACCGTCTTTTCTTGCTTGTACTTGGACCTGATTGGGTGTTGTCGTTTAAGTTTAGTTCTTGTGGGTCTTGTTGTGATTGCCATTCTTCATAAATTAGCGTGTCTATATTATTTCTAATATTTTGAATAGCTGCTGCAAAATTTGATATATTTATCTTAACCTTGAGAGCATCGAGCATCTACTCTGCAGTTGATCAAAAAGTATATCGCAATTTGGCATTATTTTGCTGAAGAAAAATAACCAGAAACTAAAATCTGTCTTTCAAAATTTATCAACCCTTTAGTCTGATTAATAGTTTTTTTATCGAATTCTGTGTCCATAATTTCTTCGAGACATTTAATCAAATCCTTTATAAACATAAATAGTATTGACACACTTCGATGTAAAATTCCATCGTGTAGGAGACTCAGAAGAAAAGGTGTTTGGCAATTTAAAATCTCCCAGCGAAAAATTTCTTTTATATTTTCAAATTAGAAAAAATATTTATATCTCTATTTGATAGTTTGTCAACTAAGCCTGGAATTTCCAACGTATACCTTTTTGAGATGAGCAAAATAGAATTTGGTCATCCTTGCCAACAATTTGCGAAAATGTACACCATTAAATTATTTTATACTCTTAAATATGCAAACAGAGATTTGAAATCCTCGAAAAAACCAAAAGAAAAATTAAAATTTTGTCCCATTTATAAATATTATTGATTTTTTCATCATATTTTTGACTGCTTTATAAAAAAAAGTTATTTTCTTTGTAGTTTTATTTCTTAACTATTCTAATGGTCCAACTAACGTTTTTTCGTAATCACAATAAATAAATTACTATCATGGTCCAACAAACGCGCACCTTAAGCCAAAATCGGCATCGCCTTTGTGAGGGAGCCGGTAAAGATGGCAGGAGTACATCGAGCCCCACATTAATGAAAATGTTCGTTCTTTAGTGACTTTGTATGATAATAATTATCAGCTTTGTCAAATAGGTCAGTGTCGTTCTTTTAGGGTTACTGAAGTTATTAATGTTTGTTATTTTGTAATGAAAAGTATTAATGTATTTACTTAAATATTACCTCTAGAACAAAATATAAAAATTATAAAATGTATAAATTCAATTGTCTAATTGGAAAATATTCTTTTAAATAATTATACATTTTTAAACAATATCATCTAGCAAATACTATTTCCGTTGTGTAAAACGAGGTTTCATTTTAATCTTCGGCACAACGATGCTATTGGTCCTTAAACAAACAAATAACTTGTTATGAAATATATCGCCTATCTCTTGACCTGTGTGTTCACTTTTCGTGTTATCAATTTTTTTTTTGTCATGAATACTTTACCTAAAGAAAAATAGAATAGTTTTTAATACATTTATTTATCATGTCAGTCTTAATAAAGCTACAATAAGTGGTAGTCCAATCAATATCCAATTTTTCTCCATTTTACTTGAATGATTACACAAATCGCCTTTACAGAAACACATTAAAACCTTTTTGTAGTTCCATTTGGTGTAAGCGCATCTATCCTCGCTGTCCGATGGTCCCCTTTGCAAACAAATTCTTTGAGTAGCTACTCCGTATTCTAAAAAAAAAAGAAATCTAATTTACACAACACCGCTTTTTAAATAAAATCATTGGGTTTATATCAATGAAATATAATTTTATTATTATACCTTCTTTGGCAGCATCTTCGCTTTCAACGATTTTACCACACCATCCAGACGCACACGGTACTGTCTCTATCCCAATTTCTAGTTTATTTTCTATTAGAGTAATGTTCGCTGTAAACGGATCTTTACAGCTTCCCAATTCGCCTCTTGATCTGCACATTAAACATCTTTGTAAACCTGTAAATAGAAAAAAAAAAGGTAAAGCCTTTTAGACATAAATGGAGGGATCAGGCTTTTAAGTAATTGTATATTTTTCATTTATTGTTTTCACACAGGGTTGTACACTTGGCTGGTTGTTTAATTTGCGGTAATTTGGTAAATCTAAATTTTCTAAGATAGTTTTATCATGAGTTTGATCAATTTCTAAGAGAATTTCATGACTTTGAAAGTAATTCCGGTCATATATGCACGGAATTCCGTATCAATTTTACCTCTTTAAGTATATTTTATAGAAACTAATCTCTATCAAAACAAAATGTAAACTACGAGTTATTTCACAAAAAAAATATTATTACCATTTAGGCTTCTTCTGATAACCTTATTCTGATTCGTTATCAGAATACTCTGAACTTAAGCCGCGTTCTTCTAATTTTTGTTTTTTTTACCATTTGTCTTTTTTAATGAAAAATCTGTGACCAAAAATCCCCCAAATATTGTGTCTTTTGAATAGTTTCTGGGGGATACATTGAGTTAGGAACAATCCAGCAAATAAAAACGTTTTTTCCTGTGAACAGAAAGCCCCAAAATAGTTTGTCTTACGACACTGTTTTAGACTAATAGTGGCTTTTATAACGTACATTTTGGTCCAGTTTAAAATGTATCACAAAAACAATTTTAAATAAACACTATGTATATTAAACTTTGAATAAAACATCCTGTATATAATGATACACTTAAATATCCAGTCATAATTTTGTTGAACCAAAACGCGTCCATATTTTTTTAGAAATATTTAGATACAAGCACACATTTTCTAAACAATTTAATTAAAATACTTGAAAAACTTACCTTTAGATTGTATAATAAACAATGCACTAATTATTAAAAATGACTTGAAAACAACTATAAAAGAATCCATATTTAATTTCAATCAAAAACTTTCAAAAATGCATTTAATGAGTTTAGACCTGTATAGATTAAAAGTTCTTTGGTATATAAATACGAGTGTTGTGTAGAATACTTTCGTACTGAGTCAACCGACTGGTCAATGCTACCAAAGACTTTCACTTCTTGTATGTAAGTACGTCCAGGGCACGTCAGTTATCTTGTAGGTACCTAAATAATTTATTAACATTCGGAACGCGCGAATAAATTATTATTATTATAATTTTTTTAATTTTTATTTCGGATAAATTTGTTTTATAATTAATAATAAGATAAGTAATAATTATTCCATAACGATTAAATTTAATAGTGACGTGGATATGCAACATATTTTACGCAAAAGTGTACGCATGGTTGCATACGCTACAGAATCGATTAAAGATTTTTGTAGGAAGCCAGAGGTGTACTAGCCCTTTAGCAATTCACTTCAAACTTACTGAATAGGGATAGTTTTTTTATTAATTTTCGCTTTTTGATATAATGGGCCGTACTCAATGTATTTGATATATTTACAGAAAAGTCATGTGTTGTACATATCAAATATTTTTTTCAAAGGAAGGTAATAAATAATGTACAAGAATAGATAATAACAAAACAATGTTTATTCACTTATTACAGCTTCATATTTAACAATATAAATAAAAATATACAATAATGAGTCGATACAGAATGTTATTCGGACAGTAGCAATGCTAGAGGGAGAGGGTGGAAAATGTATGCTTAACTTATTGAATTATGCAATTGATATTATTTTTACTTTTAGTATGATGTATTTAACAAATCTACAATTCAATTATGTTTTCTTATGTTGTGCATTCATTAAATTACCTATGAAATTATCTTCTACATAAAGTAACACGTTTTACAATGTGTAACAGTTTTTTATCATGCTACAAAGGGCGGTAAAAAAAGTAATGAAATAAATATTCTCCATAAATTACCTTTTCAATGATATATCATATGAAAATGATGTAATTAGAAGTCTAGGATTTAATTGTATTTTTTAAATTATTTTAATTCCGATTTAATTAAGTTTGGGGATTCTTAATCGATTTAATATAATTTTTCTACGTTCATGCAAAAAACAAAACTTTATTGAACTATATTTAGTGAAAAAACTGGTTCTTCATTGCACTAGTGCAATAAAAATTTTATTGCACTTATCTGTCATTTTACTACAGCGTTTTATGATCATGACAAACATAAATATTCAAATCAACGCCAACTATTTAGTCCATTTTCATTTTCTGTGTTACGTTTTAAAAACAATTGCATATTTTATATTATTTTCAATCGTTTAATAAATAAATTAATAAAAAAATGTATTTTATTAAAAATGTCATTACAAATTATGAACACAAACGTAAATAAATGCCTCAAACAAAGGTACACGATCACGGCTACTATGATTTGAATAATACAACTGCAGTTCTATAAAACATTTTTTGGTTTTTGCATGAACGTAGAAAAAATATTGTATGCAACTCGTGCAAAAAGTGTTTATTGCACTCGACGTGCTATCCAACTCGGCCTGACGGCTTCGTTGGACAATTTCACGTCGCGTGCAATAAACACTTACTTTTTGCACTTGTTGCATAAATAACTATTAATTGATTTTTTTTAGGTACCAAAAATATGTTTGATTTATTTTTATATTTCCCTTATGTTTAATATGAATTATTTCTAGTATTACTCTCAAATCTTGTTTGATTAAATAAATATTGTACCTATAAACTGTTATACGACCCTGTCGGTATCTCGAAAATGTTTTTATCAAAAACCTAAAAAATACGACAGGTACTACGAATTTGAAAAAGAGAAGTTAGGATGTGATTATTAGGTTACGATTTGACAGTTACTAAGTAAACATATGCAGTATGAAACTTTAGTAAATCTAGACTGACCTCGTATTTTTTTCGAAAAATGTCTTGGTATGGGCCATTTAAGAAAAACACTTCTATAATGACTGAGTAATTTGCTGGGCAAAAAATCTAGTTCACCTGACAACTGATACATTTTTTAGACCGAAATAAGTGACATACCTTAATTTTTCTAAAGCTTACTTTAGAAACATTTTTAAGAATCACTCCATTTAACAAATAATTTTCCTACTTTTAACCAATAAACTTTCTATCTGAGTTAGGATACCGCTCGAAAGGATGTCCCATCCTCAACGATCCCAAATTATTTAGTTGCAAATGATTGGCTTCTCGTATTTTTTGATTGTCCAAAAGAAGTTTTATATGCGGTATATCTTCAAAGAATAGTTGAACGTTGTAGATATGAGGCGAAGGAGATCCTTTGTATTGTTGATAGTCCTCTTCTTGGGAATGGGGTTCTATGTAAGGTGGATATTGGTGTGGTTCTGGAGAGGGTTCTTCGTAATGTTCATAATGCTCCTCTTGTGATAATGGGGGTTCTTGGTAATGTTGATAGAGCTCTGCTGCCGGGGTTGATTCATGACTACTGTAATCTAAAAACAGATATGTAGAAGCATAGATTTATTTTGGAATATTTTACGGTATTAAAGTTTTCATAAACAGAACAGCAAGGAAAATTTATGGAATCTGCAGAAGTGATAACAACACCGCTGCAATATTTTGCTTTATATTTAGACTCTGCTGAAGTATATTTAGTTGCCTACCTTAATAATCTTCAGGACGTTGTTATATAAGGTAAATAATGATTACAAAAATTGTTTTAAAATAATCTACTGACCTAGAATGGATCCGAATGTTGTCGGTGTAGCGAAATATGATGTAGAATCTGTGAGATCGTACGACATAGGAACATTGAAGAATTTAAAAAGATCTTTGTTCCAATCTACATTGAATACGTAATCTAATTGGGTACCGTAGCTTCTGGTCGTCCTTGGTTGATTTGGGGCTTCTATTTTCATTTCAATACCAGCAGGCGTTGGGTTTTGAGATTGAGTGTTGGAATGGGTGGTCGGAGCGCTTTTTACTACGATGATAAACGTACCAAAAACGATAATAACGTGTTTTAGTTCCTGTAAATAAAGCGAAAACATGTTAAAAGCGTTTGTTTTTATTTAAAATCCATGGGAGCCCGAGGGGGTGGGGTGCATGGAGAAGCGGTTGCTCCCCTGGCTTTTTATTTTGTTATTTCACTATTATTATTTTTGTATACAAATACAATTTAGTTGTTGAGAAACTGAAACTTTTTTTGATTGCCTCCCCTGATGACTTTTTTCCTGCGGAAAAATTTTGAAAAAAGCTATGGTAAATAAATATTATTAAAATGTAAAATCCCTGCTCTACTCTAAAAACATAAAAATACCTACGCCATTGGTGCAACGAGAAACTATTGAAATATTAAAAACCATCTAAGTATGTCTCATTGTTGCAAAACGTTGTAAATATTCTGTTCAGAAATGTTATTACAAAATTTTAAATCTTTCCTTTATTTGTTGCATATCGAAGAGGATTCACGGTTTACACAGATTGCAGAAGATGCCTACAAATTGTTTACTTTTTATTTACCTTTTACGGAAATATAAGATATTACTTGTTACGATAAAACTTAATGTGCAATTCAGGTTCATAGTTCACTTAAATAAAACAAAAATGGTTTAAAATTGTAGAAATTCTAAAATACAGGAAGTGATTTTTAATGCGAATGGAAAAGAATACTTGCTTTACCTTTACAGCATGCATTACATACTATACTTTAGCTACAACTACTTGCATTTATAAAAATAAAACATATCAAATTCGCAATTCTATTATCTGAAATGAATTACATAAAGCCCAATTAAACTTTCAAATGCATTGTTCTAGAACTCAAACCTTTGACACTAGACGAAATTAAGTATCTACTTCAGATATTGTTTTTAGATTGATCATGTAGATAGAATCCTCACTGTGTTTTGTCTAATTTATCTCACGATTGACCTACTGCAGAGTTAAAGTTCGGTCGATTTTTTGTTTCTATGAAAGTAAAAATGATTTTGTGAAAGGTAAAACTAGAATAATTAAAGATAAAATGTAATCGAATTATGAGTGAAGGTCAGAAAAGTCTTTTTTCGCTATTTATCACACAATTGATAAAAAAAGTACCTAATAAAAAAAATCGCCTTTTTACATGAGTAGTATTTTTAACCAGGGACAACCCTGGACATGGACTGTCTAGGCAAACAAAACAAGAAGATACCCAAAGAATATTTTCGATAGTACGTTGCAGGTAGTTGGGGTAGTCCGAATATTTATATTTGCACCACCAGTGGCGTTTGTGCCAAAATGTGACATCTTTTTTATATTTAAAAAAAAATGGTGCATCACTGACTTTTTCACGTTTTGTATTTAACAAAATAACTTCAGTAACCACCCCCTAATATCTTTCGCGCTTATTTATAAACACCCTGTATAGGTATTATAAATTATTTATAGTTGTTTTAACTGGTAGTTTTTTCTTATATTAAATGTCATTTTGAGCTTAAATTTAAAAAATGCATAATTACTAATTACATCCAATAAGTGATTAAAAGCAACTCGAAAATCACTGATACATACTAACTGTCGCTTAGTAGATGTAGCTCATTGAACTTGAACGTTAATAACGCTATAATAACACTACAAAAATCAATTGCCAATTAATTATTAATCGGTAATTAGATATTCATTCGGATTAATGAGCAATATTAAAAGAAAAACGACGACACCCAGTCAGGGAAAGTTTCATCCAAACGCTTCTCCTATTCATTATCAAAGAAATTATTGGAGAATTCGAATCCGGATCTAATTGCTACACTATATGGTGTATAATTTATAATATAAATCATACAGTACCTGTACCATCGGACGTTCTGTCCAGTCATTGGTCTAAATCTGAAAGTTAGATCGGAATATTTCTTGTTTCGTCCAAATAGCCTGTATTATCTACCAGAGACGGACTCTACATCGAGTTATTAAGTAAATCAATATTTTTGATTTGTCTTTCAATTACTTTTGTACAAAATATTCAGGGACCATAAAAAATGTATCTCGAAGATGTAATTTTGTAAAGGTAGAAATGTGATTTTATAAACTTTGTAATCTTCTCACGGACAAACGGTACATTTTGATCTCTTATATAAATTATACATAATCATACTAAACAAAAGAGTCAAGATTTTAAAAGAACGTACTGTCTAAATCCATTCCTGTTATTTTGAGACTATGAATGTGTTGTTTTGTAATATTCGAATAACAGATGCTAAATAAATAACTGCAATTACAAATTGAAGATACTTAATTATCTACTGTTTGCTTATTTTGTGCTTATTCGATATTAGAAACGCACAGGGTGACACTAAAAAAAATTATATATGGGTATGTAAATAATTTGTCTATACAGTGTGGATATTAAATCTCCGTTATCAAAAACAATGGTGAAAAACACTGGAATAGATCAATTTTTATCAGGCATTTTATAACAAAAAATAATCTGCCTTCCATTTAATCCTCTCCACTTAATTTTTTTTAAACAGCGAGAGGGGTCATGTGCGCTTTGTTGGAAATGGATTAGAAAAGAATTCAAAAATAGTTAAAAATGTAACGAATTATAATCATAGTTATAACAAAAATTATTATAGAAGTAGCTCAAAATGTTTAATTTCAAATAAAAAGATTGAATAGTTATATAATCACACCTTATTTTTGACAAAATATTGTGTTATTTATTTTTTATCTATACAGGTTGTGGAAAATGCAAAAACAAAAAATAGGAACAAATGTAAGCCACATTGATTGATTAAATCCAACGTCTACATTTCAAAAAAACTACTGGGAAACTACTATAAAATACAAAATGATAATTAAAGGTGCATCAACCACAATAAGATAAAATAATCGCGAAAAAATCAAGAAATAAAAAACAAACATTACAAATTTTTATATAAATATTGATTTTCTGCCAAACGGTTGGTTTTATGACAAGTTTTTTTATGGATGTCCACCAAGGTATCAACCTAAGGTGTTTTTAATAAAACATTAAATGATTAACTTTTATTTACATTTTATTACTACAAATATTCACTCTTTATGCCTCTTTATACCCCTTTAGAGGGTTGTATCTCGTTTACAATAGTTTAAAAAATATATTTATTTATATATGCAGGATTTAGAAGCCAATCAATGTGTCAGTAAAACAAAATTGACAAATTTAAATAGTTTTAAAAAAATTTTAATTTAACACAAAAACTGTGACAAGTGTTTTTCAGCAAAACTATGACTTAACACTGATTGATTTAAAATTTAGGACCACCTTGTATATTTTTTTAATTATAACTGGTCAATTAGTAATTATTTATATTTATTTGTTCAGATACTTTTAAACTAAACTTTAAATATTTTGCGTTCAATATATTACAGAATGAATTTCTACTCAAAAAAATAAATTTTCTTTCTCTTTTAATAATGTAATTTAATTTTACTTACCATTTGATAATCTGCACAAGAAAAAAACTATGCAACGAATAAGTTAGATAGCGCGATAAATACAGAAAGTACAAGTGAATCCATCGAAATCTTTGCAGAAGCTCTTTGCGTGACTTCTTCACTCCAATTTATTTCCCACCACATTTGGCAATGGCCGGGTTCTTGTCACTCACTCACAGACCATTAGATCGCTCAATCAGTGTGATCAGAACCATATCAGAACACTAGACACACTTCGTGTATGAGAAATTTACTAGTTTTGTTAGTTATTTCTTGTAGAGAGTTTTTAAAATCAATTTGTAAAAATGGTATGATTGAGATTCTTTTGTTTTTTTTACAAGAGCGCATTGAATAATTCCTAATCTTAACCTGACATAATATATAGTCACTCAAAAAGAAAAATGTCGTATATCTAAAAACTAAAAACACAAAAAAAATAAAATTTTCAATGAACGACCTTTTGCACTTTAAATGACGATATAGAACATTATATACAGGGTGGCTCAAAGAAAACGCACCAGAGGAACCGCCTCAAAATTTTAGATAAATTACTTTTGAAAATATAGGAACAAGCGAGATTGGCCTAAAATTATCAGGAATAATATCACCCCCACTAGCGGCTTTTGACATAATCTACGGGGGGCTACTTTTGAAAGGCACTTAAGATATACATATAAAGTATTAGATATCTACACCCTATATAATATAAATATACAGGGTGTTTTCAAAGTTGAGCCATTTATTTTAACAGCTTGTAGAACTCGTCAAAAGAAGTCGATATACCAAAAATCACCTAAATAAAAGTTGCATAATAAGGGAGTTATAGGTATTTTTAAAATTAAAAACATTTATTATCGGTAAAATGTATTCCATTTTTACAAAAATTGTTCAAAATTGTCACCATTTGTCAGATTAATGCATAGTCTTGCTCCATCAAATATTTCACTTTTCAAAAAGGTTCCGTCACTAAAAAAGTTTGATACTGGATTAAATGAGCTGGATTAAAGGGAAAAAAGATCTAATATTTTTACATGGACAGGCTTAAGGTATAAATAGGCTAAAAATTATTGCATGGGCAGGTTCAAGGGGAAAAGGACCAACATATTCTTACATGTGTAGGCTTAAGAGATAAAGGGTCTTAATATTTTTACATAGGAAGGCTTGAGGAGTAAAGGGATCAAATATTTTTAAAAAATTACTTAAACATTTTGCAAATCCTAATCAAAAGACGACAAGTGGTTCCTAAATCCCAGGGCTAGAATGAGAAGATCATGTAAGTAACGCCAATGTTTCACGAACATGAAAATTCATCGTCCAAATACTTCTAATCGGCTTTCGATAAATATCAAATCGTTTCTCGTTTCTTTTATGCTAAGAGTTTGCCCGTGGGGGCCTTAGTTTCGATAATGTATCTCAATTTTTTTTAGATGACTGCCTAATTTTTTCCTTTTCAATTAATATTATATTTTTCCTTTTATATAAGTTTTTAATTAATATTATGTATATTTTTTATTTGTTTTGTGTTTAAATTAATCTTTTGTACGGTTTCTATGTCCATAGCAATTTTTTTGTTGGTTTTTTTCTTAAACTTTGGGTCGAACTTAGGTTTTGAAGCATACTAGTGTTAGAACTCTAGAAGTTAACAAGGTATACGACATGATACATACAATCTATTTAGAATCTTGATTAGAATCCAAGGATGTAATAATATATAGGGTGTCGTTTTTAAAATCAGCGTTTTAAGGTATATTTCGGGTATAACCGGAAGGGCCCAATATATGAAAATATTTTAGATGAATAGGTCCCAAGGCATCTAGAAAGTTTCCAATTTCTGAGATATCGATCGATGCAGTTTCTAGTGGTCCACCCTGTATATATATATATATATATATATATATATATATATATATATATATATATATATATATATATATATATATATATATATATATATATATATATATATAGTGGAAGGGTAGTCTTTGCTGAATAGTATCGTAAAATTCAAACTAATTTATTGGGGGCAGCAGCAATATGTAATAAAGAAAACTCTTTAAAGATGATCCAAGCTTTCGGAAATTTAATTACTTATTTCCATCTTCAGGGAATCTATAAAAGGTGTGGTGTGTCTTCATAAGAACTTAATATTATTAAGAGAGTGAGTTACTTACATCTTTGTGAGGATGAATTACTAATAATGTTAAATATTTTAAAATTTACGATTGTGATGCACATATAGAACTTCTATTACACAGTTTTACAATATAAGTTTAAATTACTGTGTTTAAAATTCAGTTACATAGAATTATGTCGTTTGAAATTTAACTGTTATGTCAAAATTTATGTCATTAGTTGTTTATGTATACAAGTGTGTTAGATTAAATATAGAAATTACTAATAAGGAACTTAGTTATATATATTTTTTATAGATTCTCAATAAAAATATAAAAAAATGCTTTGATATATTAAAGAATATGATATATTGGTGAGAAGGAAAGCTAGATTGAACTGTGGATAGGATGAAAAAAATATAAATAAACTTTTAACAACATGGTAATTTATCTTTATTTAAAAAAAAATGTTTTATTTATTAACAATCAAATTCGTCCTGTAAAAAATGCAAATCAAGCAATTTAAATTAAAAAATATATAAAAAATTCAATAAATAAATTACATTGTTTTTTTTAATTTATTTTATTTTAATATGTATAATAATAAATAATTTATACATTTTTACGAAGGGTGGGGGGCGTTACATATTTAAAATTATAAATATCTTGCAGAACCCACGGGGGGGGGGGGTCGTGGCAACTTCTCATAAATTCCTTATACAGGGAGGTTTTAGATAGTAATAAAAATATATTTTTTTAAAGAAAACAAAATTGGACAATGTGTTATTGGAAAAACTATCTTTGTTTTTCAATAAACTATCTGCTGGGAAAATCCTGACAATATAAATCTATCTATATCAAAAATTGAACACTAAAACATTTTTTCTTTTCAATATCATTTTATAATTTATTTCGATAGATGTATAAATAAAAAAAGTGTCGCCACGATCTAAAACTATATATGTAGATGCTCAAACTGGAAGATGTGATAAAATCTACTTCATTTTCTTTAAAATAAATTTCACAGTGTTATCCTCGAGTATATTTATAAATTAAATCCTAAATGAATATAGAAAAATTTGGAAAAACATGTATGTAACAAACAGTAGAAAGAGAGAGAAAGAGAGAGAGAGAGAGATAATAAAGCAAAAGTTAGAAGAGATAAACAGGAAAAAATTGGTAGATAAATAGGGACACAATATTCTTACCATTCACACTCTTTCTGAAAAAAATATAATTAAGGTAAGCTGGGGTAAATGTAATAATGGGATAAATGTATTATTCAGCTATAAATACTTTTATAGATAGTTATACTTAACAAGGAAAAATTAGCAGATTTTATCCTTAAATGTTCAATATTTTTAAGATGTAATGTAACTATTCGAAAAACCTGTTGCATTTACCCCAACTTACCTTAATACATTTATCTTTTACATAAATTGTATTATTTTTGGATAAACTGTGACTACAAAAACTTGCTTGATCGCCTCGACTAGCCGCGAACCCGAATAGAGAAGATACCATTAAGTCAAGATGCGCACTATCTGCTGTTATCAATCGCTTTGGTAACATTACACTGGAACAGTGTCAGTAGCGCCGCGCTGCTGGTGAATTGGCTTGTGATTACCAATCGTATAAACAACTAATCGTACACGCTACTGCTTTAAAATCTAGCTGTTTTTAAACGATCACGTCGAAGCGAAAAATGCGACATAATGGTGTATATATTCTCTATTCGGGTTCGCTTTACCACACGAGCTTTTCAAAGTGAGCATCACTTTCTCACGTTATCTGGAACATAATTATCTTTTCCAGGAATCCCTGAGCCTGTAGCGTCGTCCAGCCACGGGTACTGGTTCGGACAGTCGTTGCAGGTTTCGAGATACCGAGTGTCAGTGATGTTTAGTTCTGGTCGCTTGAAAGCCAACGCGCACTTGTTGGGGATCTTGCACGGCTTCGGGACTAGGTTTTCTCGTTTTTTGCAGTCCCAGGGTTCGTAATTTTTGAGCTGACTGACGGGTTTCGGGTCCGTCATCCATGTGAGAGCTTGGGTGATCGTTACGAACCACACGTCAGGTCTATAAAAAAGCCCAAAATAACGTAAAAAATGTAAAAGATACGAAAAGAAATCGTAAAAACATAATAGAAACGTAAAGAAAACGTAGAAATCAGTAAAAAACGTGAAAAAAAGTAAAGAAAACGCAATAAAACGTAAAGAAACTTTAAAAAAACGTAAGAAAATTAAAAGTAAAGATAAACAAAGGTAAATCATTAAAAAACGAAATTAAAAAGATGGTAAAAGACGTAAATAACGTATAAAAACGAAACAGAAAACGTAAAAACAGTATAAAAACTTAAACAAACGTAAAAACAGTAAGACTTACAAAGTTGGCACCCAATTTAAGAACTTTTGCAAACCCTGCTCCAATTCTTTAATGGAAAACCAGTTGGTGTGGAAAGGCATCATGTACGGGGCTCTATTTTGATCGTAATACCTCAGAAAATCTTCCTGTAACCACTCGAAGACATCGTCGGCATCGTGGTTGTGTAATACGCATTGGTCCAAATAAGGGCAATGACCTCCTTCAAAACCTTCGACGTAGTGCGTGTTCAAAGGGACTTCCCAAACACCTGTAAGATATCATTATTGTTTTAAAGCGTACAGTAAGATGTTTAAAAGGCAGTTTTACCTGGGAACGATTTTGTAGGACACGTTCCAGATTTGCATTCATGAGGAATCTTGTGGTCCAACGTGTAAGGCCATACTGGTATTGGTAAAGCTGGAGCACCAATGGAACTATCATAGATGTATCCGAATTCTTCCAAAACCTACAAAAAAATGAGATATTTTTCACCAACAGCAGTGTATACAGTGGCGGCTCGTGGGGGGGTTCACATTGACAGAATATAGGTATCAGTACAGATGTATGAAAAAAAACTTTCAGTTTTAGAAAGTTTATAATATACCCAAAATTTTGATCACGAGCCGCCCCTGAGTGTAAATTAAGCTATTTTTAAGACCTGGCGCACGTTTTCATCAACAAAAATATTGCCTTTGGAGATGGTGTCCAAATTTGCGCTTAAAATTTGTTTATTACTACATTTTAAACTGTTTTTAAGACCTGGACCACATTTTCACGAAAAAAAAAATTTATTTCTGTGTAGATGATGTCCAAAAATCTGCCTAGAATTTGTTTATTACTGCATTTTAAACTGTTAAGATCTGGACAATATTTTTCATCAAAAAAAAATTCCTACGTAGATGGTGTACAGACTTTTACTTTAAAATTGTTTGTTAATGTATAGAACTAAAACCGGAAAGATCGCCACTTGGTAGGGAACTTAGTAAAACTAACTATTCCAAAGATAATACCTAATAACGGGGAAAGCAAGGTAATACCATAGACCCAAGAGGCCACAGAGTTCTAACCATACCTGTTTACAACCGACAAAGATAAAGAAAAAAAGATAAAAAAATGTTGCTGCGAAGATGATGTCCAAAATTGCACTTATTTTCTTTATTACTACATTTTAAACTGTTTATAAGACCTGGAGCATAATTTCCTGCAATAAAAATTCCGTTTTATATTTACCTTATACTGCGTATTTCGACCTGGCTTCAAAAATGGCGCTCTCATTCCTACGACATCACTTTTAGATATATTAGACAGATGTTTAATTATGTCTCTCATTCCAACCATTTCTCCAACCCATTCTTCGTACCCTTTGTTTTCTAAGCCGCTTTGGAGACTAAAAAAAATATAAAATAAATCATCGAAAGTTTCATAAATTTGAAGAAAATGTACTCACGAAATTGTTTCGGTAGCTATCTCATGACCCTCGCTGGCCAGTTGTTGTATCATGTGATAATTACTGTACTCGTGTGATACAAAGAAGGTTCCTTTAATGTCACATCCGTTTTGGTTCTGCCGTTTGTGATTGAGCACTTTTCTGTAATGGTCGTAGTTGTTTAAATTTACAGCACCATCGAAAGTTAGGAGTATCATTTGCGGAGTCTGAAACAAAAATAAAAGTTTTCAGGAGTTCGTGTAAGTTGACAAAAGTTTCTGTAAGTCAAGGGTTCATGTATGTCCCTCAGGAGTTCTTGTAATTATCTTTTTCAAGTTTCTGAGTTCCCGGTTAATCTAAGCATCTATTTTTAGAATTATATCTTAATAATTCTTTTAAGTCTTTCATTCATGATATTAGCTTCTTGTAAGTTCTTAGTATTTCTAAAGTTGTTTATTTGATTTAAAAGCGTTCGTCAGAGCTTTTTTAAACGATTATACATTTACATATTGTTGTTTTTTGTTCAAATATACTTACATCTTCTGGATCTAATCCTCCTGGAATTAACGTACCATCTTTGGAACAAAAACAATATGGTAAGTTACATTTTTCTGGGTCACATTTTGTAGCTAGGTCTGTCGGTTCTTCTGTTACTGGAGGAGGAGCTGAAAATAAAATTTGTTTTGAATAATCAGTTATATTTAAAAGACAGTAGGATATACGGCGCTTTAGACTACCCCCTCCAATGATAACGAACTATTCATTTTTTGTGACGTTGTAACGGTTAGATGGCGTATGAAAAAGTGAAGGGGGTAGTTTAAAGTACCGCACATCCTATTGAAGGCTGCTTTGTCTTTATATTTAGATAATAAAATACTTTCAGAACCAATTACATATTGTACTGTTCCTCTTTGATTCAAACTATAACTAAAGTGTTCATATCATTTTTTTTTAAATTTTAAATAACGGTAATATTGACATAACTTTTTTTGTAAGTAATGTACGTACTTGCAGCTAGAGGTCCACACCTTGCTTCGTTCTTAAAGGTACAGTATTTGGCGATGTCGTCAAAATATAGTCCAGAAGGACATCTGTTCACGTAGGGATATCCATCCACGCACTAAAAAAAAAGCAGCACAATAAAAATTGAGTAGGTACTACCCAATACTAACGTTTACATTTATAAATAGAACAATCTTAGCTTAAGAATAAGGATGAGGCACATGACTCTCTTTATAGTTGCCAGAGCTGCGGTACTGATTATCAAAAGTACTTAAAATATGTATTTAAAAAAGTATTTTACTTTAAGTAGCACAAATAATTTGTATACTGGTACTTAAACTTATAAGTATTTGTTCTACTATTTGTATTTAAGTACTGTAGTACTTATAATTTAAAAAATTGTAAATTATGGTCTCTTAAAGTACTTTTAAAATACTTAAGTTTCGCCGTTTTAAGTGGTGCTAATTTTGAGAGATTATTATTTTTAAAATTTAAGTTAAATTTATACCTAGCATCAATGGTATCAGTACTTAAAGTACATGCATAAGTTCTTGTACTTGAACTCGCTACTTAAGTATTTTTTTTAAATGTATGTACTTAATTACACATATTATACTTAATATTAAATTCTTGGTTTTTAGGTGTACTACTTGAAGTAAATACTTCAGCACTTAAATATTTTCAGTACCTACGTGTACTTGGTTCTACTTTGAACAGGTACTAATAATTTATGCTTAAATACTTTTTATTGATACTTGCAACACCTTTGATTATTATTTAAAGGCCCTGTAGTTCCATATTTAATGACTAAATTCTTATAATATGGAGGATACCTACTCTTATGGATGTGATGAAAATATTTGTAATTATATTTTAGATCAAACACAGTCTTTCCTGTTGCTTTACATATATTTAATTAAATATTCATCAATATGCAATCATTATTATTATTGATGATAATCGCATTTATTTCAAGGCAGTCAACAGCAATAATTGTTACTACGAATTTCGCAATATACGGTTATTTCCTTGAGGTATACACCATGGGCGAAGTTAGGGGGGGGCTTGGGGGGGCTAAGCCCCCCCAAAAACCAAATTAGCCCCCCCAAAAATAATTCGAACATTTATCGTACATCTATCCACACATTTCAGATTTCAGAACAGAAATTAATAAATAAAGAAAAATCGTGCCATTTGATTGATTCTGAAATTTTACATTTAGTTCAGGAGGCAGTGAATTTTATTCGCACTCATTTTTCCAATCGGTGTATATGAAAATAAACTGTTCTCTTAGTGACAAAAAACAAACATTTTGAGTCTGACACTTATTTTCCTAGTCATAAATATTTTACATTTACTAAACTAGAACATAAAGCTTATAAAAATAGCAGTTTGGAATATCTCAGATAGTGGAAAGTGAGTGTGGCAGAAAATTTAGCATATAAATAGCCCAATCAAATTAGTATTTTAGATTCTGAAAAATTCGAAGCAGCAATTTTCCTTCGGAATTCGTTGGAGGGGGTCTCTGGTAGTCTAAATTCAAAAAGTTGGAATTCCAAAGTTGTCGTTACCTCCGCCATCTTGATTTAAAGGGTTATTTTTTGTATCTTGAATAACTCATTTATTTTCAATTTTACACGGAAAATAGTTCTTACAAAAGTTATTTAAAATTAAATTTCCTACAATTCTGCTTTTTTTTGTACGATCGATTTTTTTCGATTTATACCCGAAAAGAGGGGGTGAATTTTTGGTTATAGAATAACTCGTTTAGTTTCAATTTTACGAGAAAAATTGTTATAAACAAAGTTGTTTAAAATTAAATTTCCTACAATTCTGTTTTTTTTTGTACGATCGATTTTTTTGAATTTATCCCTGAGAAGAGTGGGGGTGAACCTAAGTATTGTATTGTCACGTTTATTATTGATGTTGTACCATTATCTTTTCTGTTTGTTTTTTTTTGCTGATACCTGGAATTAAAAAGAAACGTGATAATACAATGATAAGAGTTTACCCCCACTCTTCTCAGGGATAAATACACAAAAATCGAGCGTACAAAAAAAAACAGAATTGTAGGAAATTTAATTTTAAACAACTTTGTTTATAACAATTTTTCTCGTAAAATTGAAAATAAACGAGTTATTCTATAACCAAAAATTCACCCCCTCTTTTCGGGTATAAATCGAAAAAATCGATCGTACAAAAAAAAGCAGAATTGTAGGAAATTTAATTTTAAATAACTTTTGTAAAAACTATTTTCCGTGTAAAATTGAAATTAAATGAGTTATTCAAGATACAAAAAATAACCCTTCAAATCAAGATGGCGGAGGTAACGACAACTTTGGAATCCCAACTTTTTGAATTTAGACTACCACAGACCCCCTCCAACGAATTCCGAAGGAAAATTGCTGCTTCGAATTTTTCAGAATCTCAAGCCTGTTCTTCACCTAATCCGATTGGGCTAAAATTGATACAATCATGAACTGTTAATAATAAGTCTGGCTGATTTACGAAATTGGCAAATGAGTCTGGTAATATCTTCAAAATCGAAAAAATATAATATTTTTGCTTTTATTTTCCCGGGTTTGAAAATTTGTCATGTGATAGATTATATTATAATTTTACAGCTCTATTTTATAGCAGATCAAATACCGTTATTTTCGAACGCTTCCATGAAAAATTTCCGGAAATGTTCCTTTTGGTGGGTACCCTGAACGAAATTATACTGAAAATTTTTTTGACAGTTGAGAAGCTCTTTTATGCATATGTTTTATATGTTGTTCTATGGCCAGCTTTGAAAATTTGATTTTAGTCGTTTTAATGTATGTCTGTCAAGTTTTGAAATTTGGATATTTTGGTGTAAAATTTTCTTACCCAATACCTACCACTGGTGCCTAAATTATTATAAGTAAATTTTTGCACACTCACGCATATTTTAAGAAAAATATCAATTGTCTTCGACTCAGGATAAATTTCAAAATATTCGTAAGTTCGAAAAAAATTTCGGGAATAATTTAGGCACTAGTGGTATTCTAAGTGAAAATATAGGTCTGGCTGACAATTAAAATCACGAAGGCCTGCCAGACTCACAAGTAGTGTCCGGCCGAAGGTTCGGTTACGGTTTTGGCCAACTTCGGCTTAAAAATAGTTTCGACTACAGTTTCGGTTTCGGCGGAAAACTGGCCGAAACTGCAGCCAACTACGAAACTACTTTCGAAAGTTTTCGTATCACACTTGGTTGTGTCCGGCACAATGGCGACTGTGCCGGGTGCCATTCCTACACAGTGCACGTACTTCTCTGCTTTGTTTCAAGTGAACAGTCTTCAGTGCTCCTGGCCTAATTTATTCGTATCAAAGGAGCATTTTTTTAGGTGAAATGTGGAAAAAATATTATTTCTAGCCTACAACGTTAGACTGTTTACTTATGAATATTAATTTAATTATAAGTAACAAACATATTTAATTATCTGAATTTGTTTTTTTTTAAATAAAAATTACATTATATATAATTCCCTTCATAATACTATTTTTTGTTACAAAAAATCTAGTGACAGATGCAGAAATGATTGCTACTTTGTAATTCACTTATTTTTGTTTTTTAGTTTCAAAAGTAATAAAAAAAACAATGTCAATAAATTTATTAATGGCTTCTTTGGATCACATAAATAAATAGGTAATAAGTAAATGTGCTTAAATTTATAATACGAGTTAATTAGTCTTAAACAAAGATATTGCAAATTTCAATAAGAGATTGCCTTAAAAGAAAGTTCTTATTTCTGTTTCGGTTTCGACCGAAACTAAGAAAGGAGCCGAAATTGGGTTTCGGTTTCGGTTATAAAACCGTATTTCGGTCGGACCTGACAAGCCAGGTAGTTAAACGAGGAGAGGAATAGTAATCGAACGTGCAGAATTTAGCGCGCCTGACGATCATTAGACAAGTCTGGCAAGGCTTTCGGGGTATTCCACATTAGCCAGATTGTATTTTAAGCTGTTATCATAATATACATTTTTCTAGTACTGAGGACACTTGTAACAGGGATCCTTACTGGGCATTGCCAACTAAAAGGACACCTTAGTAAACTGAGAGTAGTAGAAAATAGTGAGTGAAGATTCTGTGAGGAGAAGGACGAAACCTTCATTTACATTCTAACTGAATGTGTAGCACTCCAGAATCCAAGGGTACTATACCTAGGAGCATATCAAATAGAAACTTGAAGCCACTTCAAATCCTACACTTCCTTGAGAAGATATAACTGAAAGGGTCGTTATAGGCATTGAGACATTTCCTTGCTGCATTAGCGACAGAAGGGAGCACAATAGATATTAACACCCCATTCCCAACATAACATAACATAGCGAGAAAACTGCAAAATAATGAAATCTACAAATCCCAGTTCATATTTTGGACATCCAACTACTATTATTTTTAAAATTTTAAATTCTGACAAACTGTCAGTATATTTTTTAGTCATTAAGATTACATATACGTTAAAATTAGTTATTTTTGTTTATAATCGATAAAAAATAACATTTTAATTTTATTTGGGCCACATTTAAAAAAGTAAATTTTAATCAAATTGTATGAAACTAATTTAATTACGAGTATTAAAATTAAAAACCTAAAAGTGGCGGTGGAGCTGAGGACAGAGCATTTGCCTTCCACGCGAATAGCCTGGGTTCGAACCTGGACTATAGGGGCTAATTTTTTTTTTATGTTTTTTATTTTATAAATTAATAAAATTTATAAATTATTTTAAAATGGCTTATTTTGTCTAAATCTATATAATAATTTTTTAAATTTGTAGATTTTCGTTAGTAGTTCGTAGAAAAAATATACTGCACAACTCGAGTAGATTGTCCATATCTACTCTTGTTGCGAAAATTAAGGAAATTTTTGTGATGAAAATGAAAATTATTCAGTTTTTTCCCTCATATATATGTTATTAATTTTCATAGATTCGCCAGAATTTTTTTACTTAACTTCAGTATACCTCTAGAACTATTATATATTATATGACTAGGGTTAGGGCTTTAGCCCCCCCAGATCTGATGACATAACTTCGCCAATGGTATACACAGGGATAGGCGGAAGAACTGGCAGACAAAAAATGGGTCAACTTTTCGTTTGTTTAAAATCAGGTTATTTAGAAACTGTCCCATGTGATAAAATGCGTAATTGTCTAATTATGGATGATACAGTTGCAAAGTAACCAGTTTTCAATTAAGAAAATGTACCACGCCTGCAACTTTTCAGATCTTAAAGTATCCTTGCTTGTATCTTGCATCTGTAAGTCCGCCATATTTTCAGATCTGCAAAGTTGCAGACGTGGTGCATTTTCTATAATCTCACCCTAAAACAATAATTATAAACCCCATTTTAATATCGAATACCTTTTTTTTTAGTTCGTCAAGCTAATTTTTATCTATATGTGTATTGTATGCAGTGGCGGCTCGTGAGCACTAGCGGCAGTGGGGCACACACTGGAAAGGAATTCCGGGATTCGTTTTTTCCTTAGGAAAACAAGTTCTCCGCTTAATGAAAATTAAATATATTTCAAAACAAATTAAATATTACAAAATTGAAGACTAACTGCTAGCTACCGCTGCAGTTGTATACTATTTCTTATAGTTGAAGTCCATTCTTCTGGATTTTTGGCTAGCGAAGTGATCGATGACCAGATTGATAACCTTCTCCTTTTTTGAAGTCGGTTAAAAATAATAATAGGCTTTGAGGAAAATATAAAATATGTAAGTTATTTTTTTTTTGTTTATTATACTAGAGGGCACGTGCCCAAGTGCCTTTACGGGCAAACCGCCACTGCTCCTCCATCGAAATTAAATTAAACTCTTCCATTCTAGAAAGAAAATGCGTAAGCGTAATTGTGACTTGTTGGTTTATGTTGACACTTAAAATCCCTATCCATGCATACGCATAACATTAAACAACAGTATCATTACAATTTTAGAAATGAAAATAATACCTATACCTAATTTTATGTACCTGATAAAATCTTTTGCACGTTGCAGGATCCGCGTAGTTGCCATTTCCTGTGCTTTGCGGACACTCAAATTCTTCCTTTTTGTCACCGTCTGCTTTTTTTTGACTTCTAACTGGAAATTACTATGGATAAATCAATTTAAACTATACAAAAATAACTAGAAGATTTATTATTATATATTTTTGTAAAGACATTTAGATATAATGCAATGGGTGGCGTAAGTGTAAAATTATAATGAATGGGTTCAATTTTGAATTGAACATCGAAGATGAAAGTTAAAAATCTCGGAATTGGAATACACAATGGGTCGACTCATCATAATCGTACCATTATCAAACCAATACCGTACCAGCATCATCTTTTACTTTCTCTATAGTCGCCGAGTTTTCAAGGTTAGCATAATTTCGTCGGATTTGGAAGACAAATCTGATTTTTTTTTTGGTAGAAAGTAAAAAATGTGACTGAACTTTGTGGCTGCTGCGACCTTTCCATCTGAACTTTTTAACTTTGAAACATCTTTGTGTATTTACAGACAGTTCTACTTATAATACCTACCGGGCGGCTGTAAAAGATATACAGGGTGAGGCACCGAAAACGAAACAGATCGCATATCTTGAAGACATTTTTTTTTTTGAGAAAATGCAAAAAGATGTCGATTTTTATTTCAAAGGGGACATCTTTCGATCATATCCTCAACTATCCTACATCCCTTCCCACCCCTCTGTCACTATTACCAATACCAAAGGTAATTTTATAAGGAATTTGACTATGTGACAGTTTATTACGTAACTTTTAATTTTGGCACCATCTTGCGGGAAAGTTTTCCGTATTTTAAATAATGATACTTCATTTGAAAGTAAAACTCATTTAATAGATAATTCATAATAAAAATTAAAAAAAATAATAGAAAAGTGAACATAAAAATTAAATTGAAAAATTTAGGACAACTCCCATAATTAAAAACTAAATTACTTCAAAGTAAATGCTCAAAGTGTTGTCAATTAACTTCCATAGACGAATATAAATTATTCTCAAATCTTTGTCTGACGTTTTGGAACATTTGGAGTTATTTGACGACATTCGGTAATAATACGTTCACGTAACTCTTCTAAGGAACCTGGCTGGAGTGGCGTATATTTTACTTTTCAGATATCCCCATAAAAAGTAATATAAGGGGGATAGATCAGGAGATCGTGGGGGCCATTCAATAAATCCTCTTCGTCCAATCCAATGTCTAGGAAAGTTTTCATTTAAGTACTGACGAACCGCTGCAGCAAAATGTGGAGGAGCCGCGTCCTGTTGAAATATTAGGTGATCTTCAAGGTACCAGTTATCGTTTTCTATTATGTCTGATAACAGTGGATCAACGGTGTTTTCGAGTAATTCCAAATACATATCCCCAGTTAAAGTACCTGGTAAAAATAATGGACCAACAATACGATCGCCAAATATTTCAGCCAAAACGTTTAACTTTTCTGGGTGTTTCATAAAATACTCTTGGATTGGAATCTGACCAGTATTGACAATTATGTCGATTGACAGTCCCGTTAATATAAAAACTGCATTCATCTAAAAAACAAATGTAATAAAGAAAATGTGGACTTGTATAGCATGCTCGCTCATGATTTCACAAAATTGCAAGCGACGATCAAAATCGTCTTCGTTAAGTTCCTGAACTAAATGAATTTTATAGGGATGGAATTTGTTGGCTTTCAAAATATTCCTGACGGTACGGTCACTTACTCCAGATAATTCTGCAAGCTTTCTTTTACTAAGAGTTGGATCTGCAACAACTTGTCCTAAAACGGCTACCTCTACGGCTTCGTTTCTTACTGGATTTTGAATGTGCTGTTTTTTTTTATTTTGAACAGATCCTATTTGTCGAAATTTTGAAATAAGTTCCAAAACGTACTTACGTTTAACCTGTGTCGCTCATTGAAAATTGTACATTCAGTGTTAGCACATTCGTTATTTTTTAAATATCATTCCCTTAGAAATAAAAATCGACCTCTTTTTTTCATTTTCACCAAAAAAAATGTGTCTTCAAGATATGCGATCTTTTTCGTTTTCGGTGCCTCACCCTGTATATTAAATAAAGTGTTAAGTATTAGATTACAGTGGTAAATCATTACCTAAGTTCATTATGTGAACATGTAAATTTGCGCGAATATAAAAATTTTACGAATTATTTGTGGCATTGTTTACCCTCTTTGATTTCAAATTCTTTTCATCAATACAACTATAATGATTATGATGTGATTTCTTCTCCATATACGAAAAGCATTTCTACGAACCAATGAACATATAATATCAGTGCCACTCTCTATTTTCTCTTGGGCAAACAGAAACACTTTACTTGATACACTTTCTGAAACTTTTCTTCTATTAGTAAGCCGTGTAGCCGTTGTGGTTACTTATTTAATATATATAGTGTTAATACCTAGGTTTAATTATGTAAAGTTGATACTTAAGCTAGAATGTCTAGTGCAGAATCGTGTTTACGGCATATTTTTTTGCTAATTTTTTGCTTTATAAATATGCAATGTGTCCACTTAAGTTCGCAGCATATGGGAAACTTTTTTATTATTAATTTTACGAAAAAAAAAAAAACGTTACTCATGAAAAATTCTGCATGGTCTGAAACCTAAAATGCAACCAAAAGATATCTTGGCCATTAGCCTTGTGTTCTGATACAAATAAACTATCATTACCCACTCTCAAGAGAATATTAATAATCTTGTAATTTTATCGAGATATTTGGGAAAAACTCTTTTTAGATTTTTGAAATAAAATTGGACTAGGTATGCACTGACGTTTCAGGAAATCGTTTAAATCTACTAAACCGCAAACGTTGAATAATAAATTCATTACAATTAGATACGGTTATGTAACAGTCATTTATTTTATACTGCAAAGCTAGGCTTTAGGTATATAACTATGTAGGTACTTATACAAGTTTCCAATTAATTTTAAAAACAAAGTAACTATAACTAATGTAGAGGCATCCTTTTATAGTTGGCCTCCATTATTTAGCAATCACAGTCGGCCCTAGGTGCATCAAGGCATAAATATATTTTTAAGATATCTTTATTAATTACAAACTTAATATTTCAACATCGAAAAAGCAATTTGCAACTCAATAGCCAAATGTAAAAAATGTATTATAGATGACAGACTTCATTTATGTGAGCCCTGCTATCGAAAAATTGAAAATTTGGGTTTGTTTTTAAGTACTCCTACGATGTCAGTTTATGGAAAAAAAATGTGGAAAATTACTGAAAATTTGTTTATTACAAATTAAAAAAAAACCTATTATTGACAGAGTTAAATGAACACATTTGGTAAATAAAAAGATAAAGAATAATTAAAAAGTCTTATAGAATCAAAAGGCGACTTTACATCTAAAACTTCGTATTTTTTTATTGAACACCCAGTATATTATTTCATTATTTGTTATTTTTTATTACCATATAGAACCTTTTGACAAATTTTTATTTTAATTGACAACTTGAAAATAACAGAGATAATAAAAAAGTTGGTCTTCCTCATGCTATTCTGTATTATTTACAGATTATCCAACAGTTCAAAAAAAAATCCGGATCTCTGCTAGAATTTTGCGCCCTATAAAGTTTTTCTTTGTAAAAAGTTATCTCAAAACTTTTGGTCCTTCAATAAACAGTTGAAATCAAAATTTCAACTATTTTTTCAGTAGATATTTTAACAGCAAAAATAAAATCGAGCACAACTGGTTTGAAAACAGTAAATTTGGCACCGACTCACCTGTATTATGGCTAAAACAAAACACAAAAATCACTGCAAACGCGACAATCCGTCTACAAGTGATCTCCATATTTAATAACAATTACTGAGCAAAGAACAAGAACTGAACAAAAATCATTTAACACTGGGCAATCACACTCCACTTTCTTCTTCTTCAGTCGGTCTTCGGTACTCCCGATGCCTTCCTTCTTGGTCGACTGTATTGGTTTAGTAGCTGAGAGACTTTCTTCGCCATATCTATGGGTCAAGGAGATATACCGGTTTCTACAGGGTGTCCGGTTTATAGTTGGCCAACGAAAATTCGTTGTTTGGAATTTTTAAGTAGCTAATGGTTGTTTTTGCCAAATCGTTGATGGACATTATAGCGGTATCAGGGACGTGGGCGCGTATATGAAAGGTCTTTGTGCTCTACGGTTTTTTATGTATATTGCTAATTCAAGACAGCATTTTTATCATTTTCAAACCAAAACAAATTATTATATGTTAAATAGTCTGTATTTATCATATGTTCCAAAATTGTACTATTCTTATGGTGCCCAATTAAAGAGGTGTCGTCTGGAAAAATTGGAAATTGTCCTTGAATTTTTAAATTACTTCATTAAAATAATTGAAACATCAAATTGGTCCCAAAATTGATCTTTGTGGAACCCCGCAATAAATAGAATTCAGCAGCAACCACTGAACTATAACCATTGAGGCAACATTTTCGTTTGGGAATAGAATGTCAAACAAAATAAAAAAGTAAATAAATTTATTTATATATTGGTGGTATAACACAGAATATATTTGAGAAAATAAGAATATTGTAACCTTAAGTTTAGACACACCCTGTATGCATCAAAGCAAATAAATGAAAATATTGAATATTTTTGGAACGATTAGTCTATTTAAATTATAAAACGATGTGAAAACAACCAAATCTGTAAGGCGTAAATACCTACAGGGTGTTTGATTTAAAAAACTATCTGTTTGGTTCTCCCCTCATTTATAAACTACCATATATATTTAAGAATAATTGTAAAATATGGTCTTACAACTTTTATATTAAACATTTTTTCATATCTCCAATAATAAAATATCTATCGATCAATTACTAACTGATGGGGTAGGTATATGTACCTATAATTAAAATACTGTATAAAATGAACCAATTTTTTCATCACAGTTTGATCCTTCATAAGTTGAAAAATATTCTAGTGATAAAACAGTATTAACATGCCACTCTAAAACTGAAATAAAATACAGGGTGTTCCATTTAAAAACATGTTTGACATACAGGTAAAGATAATTAAGGCGTCCCAACCGTAATTATTATTAAAATATTCGAATTATTATGTATTATTATTAATTACTATTATTTTATTATTATAAAGTATCATCAGGAAGTTTTTTGGTAATAAAAAAATACAAAAATCAGATTTATTAAAATATATTATTATAAAAACAATTTGATGGACGGACTAATCACTACAACTATTTCAAATCATAATAAATTTATTCTTCGATTGTGGATAAATCGTGAAATAGAGACTCCAACGTCCATACTTCCGAACAAACTTGTACATCCTTTTCCGGATACAGTCTACTTGTCAAAATGGACAGATCGATATTACTTAAATTACCGATATTGGATTGTTCCGTTTTCATATTGTTAAACTGGCTATCCAATTCCTTATAGGTCGATTTATTAACTGATACTCTGGAAATAAAAACACTCAAAATGTATAAATGCAAATGAAAGAATACATTCATTATTTCGTAACTAGTTGATGACCTGAGAAATTTAGGAATAAATTCCAGAATCCGAGGAGTAATAACAAACCAAACAAAAATTAAAAAATAATCTTGTCCCCACAGGTTTAACCCCAACTCGATTTATTGAATATTCCTCTAGCCTATATTTAATAAAAATATGTTTAACTTGGTTTCAGGAAGCCTCATCGGTACAGGAGGATGCATAAATGATTCTAGTGAGGCCTAATGCTGTGAAGAAACCCACCCTCTCCACCTTCAGATACAGACAGATATACAGACTGCTAAAATTAAAATAAGGTAAGAAAACGTTTTGCTATTGTAACGATATAATTTATTTTTAGTTTATTTATTTAAAAACACACTATTTACAATTTATTTCAGACGTACTATTTAATTTATATAATACTTAGACACTAACCAACAATTCTAATTTATTTCTTACACTTTAACTTTTCATTACAATTTTCTATATTCAACTAAACTGGGCGCCGATACGTCAGCTATTTATATTAGTCCAACTCTGCTACTGGAAGACACTAGAGGCTCTCTAATATTCCATTTCTATGACTAAACGGCACTCTTCGCCCATTCCAGCTGTTTCTAGTGCGTTAGCGGCAGGCATTCCTAAACGCTCCGTCACCTCGAGCACGAGTCGGTTGCCATCTGAAGGTCGCGCGTACACAGGATAGACTTTAAGAATTTCATGTATAGCAAGGTCATCATTCCACCATGAAACTTTCCTGATAGAGTTTCTTGATATTAAGGGACAGGTATCGTTGAAAGCGCTAGTAACTGTGTCATTAAACTCATCCACAGCCATTTCTAGGTCGGTAGTTGTTCTTATCGTCTTTCTCATCTTAGGAATATTACATTCCAGGGAAGCATTGTATGCCTCCCAGTCTGTTTTCCTGGGATTCCGATAAGTTTCTTTTGCAATATTACCTTTAATATTGAAGTTTATGTGTCTGTGATCTGATAAACTCTCTTCGTCAGACACATGCCAGTCTGTAACAAAATTACTCAAGTATGTTGATGCTATTGTTACATCTACTACCTCCTTTTTGTTTTTTGTTATAAAGGTCGGTTTATTGCCTACATCTGTTATGTCTAAATTATTTGCTATAATAAATTGTAGTAAAGACTCACCCCATTTAAGGTACAATTTACTGTATACATTAGCGCTTATCTGGAGATAGTTTGAATCATTTCAATACATTTTTTGCAAAATCAGAAACCATAAAGGCTTATATTTAATTAATACTTCATCAGAAATATAAACATGAACCAAAAAGTGGCCACAAAATACCTATGTACCTACCGTGTTTTTGCGAATTAGTAAGGACCATCAATTACAATTATTTTACAATTTATTGTTATTATTAGTTTTTAATTAAAACATATTTCGCCAAATACTTAATCATTTTCATAACATATGGGTACCTATAGATTTTATTGATTAGATATCCAATATTGATTAGATACATAAAAATACGTAGGTAATCGTTTTCTGTTTTTCAAATTCTCCTGTTATTCATGCATTAACCCTTAACCCTCAAATTTTCATTTTATTTCATATACAGGGTGGCTCACGCTCAACGGGACGGAGCTTTATGGGAAAACGACCAAAGATATAAAAAATTCGTTTGGGAGGAATACGTAGGTTACAGACGGCTACAATTTAAAATTTGTTAGATGTATACAGGATGTCCCACATAAGAGAAAATATACAAAGTTATATTATTTTTAATGGAACACCCTGTTTTTTATTTTAGAATTAAAAACTACTTCAAAAATAATGTCAGTTAACTAAAGGTTCCCTATTACTATTATTATTAGTTTTCGATTTATTTGAATTTTTAAGGAAAAAAAGTCTCCCAGAAATTAATTGTTTACTCTTGTTTGAATAATTTTTAATGAACTAATTTTTTTCCTATGTGGGACATCCTGTATACATCTAACAAATTTTAAATTGTAGCCGTCTGTAACCTACGTATTCCTCCCAAACGAATTTTTTATATCTTTGGTCGTTTTCCCATAAAGCTCCGTCCCGTTGAGCGTGAGCCACCCTGTATATTACACCATTTTCTAGTTCAACATTTTTTCGAAATTCGTGTACGTTAAGTCAAGATGTATCACATGAACCATATTTATATTTAAAAAAATTGTCAATGACGTCATCACGCTTACACAGATGACGTCACGAATAAAAGGAATATGTGACAGAACGGGTGTTTGCAAATAAAATTCGAGGGGTTTCAGGTAATTTTCCCAAAATGAGTTATGAAATAATACAGGTATTCCTTTCATTTTATTGTACCTTACTGTATTATCACTAAGTGACTTGATTTTAAACTTACACTGGTTTAATATCAGGCATATTTAGATTATCATCCGGTATATCGTCGATATCTGGAATAATTGGAATATCATCATCAGACTCGTTCTTTTTATCATTTTGAAATCGTTCTCTAAAAACAGACAGCATTGTATATTATACGCCTTTGAAAAAATGAAGAAGACATTTATATTAAAATGAGAAAAGTTACTACAAACTTACAATTCAATCATGTTTGTTCCAGAGCCGGACCTGTAAAAATACCGTGGATCATATTTAATTGATATTTTTCAACAAATTCAATATAATATTTATCAGACCTGCTTGATTTAGTTCCTTCGTCGCTCCATAAACTCATCTTTCTCGATCTCATAAGAATATCCTCGATATCTTTTGGTGAATCAATGGTACTCTCGGAATCATCTAAATGTTTATTATTTGATCTTCTACCTTGTTTCGGAATCGGCTAAGAATGATACTTTTAGCATACCTAATTAAATATTAAATACAGTGTACCTACCTTTTTGCCTACAAGTAAGTCGATGTCTTCGTCCCACTGCATCGTATTGAAAACTGAATGTTTGCTTGAAAATTAAAATGAAAACAACTTTATTTTCATTTGCGTTTCCATAGTAACATATGATTAATTTGACATCTCAGTCATCTGACAACTGTGGATATCTCAGACCATATATAAAAAACTAGAGGTATTAGTGTAGTCCTTTAATGCGAAGTAAAAATGTAGGTAATTATTTTTTTCACTATATTCAAAGGCTGAAAATTGATTTTAGAGCACATTTTTGCTGAACCGATTCTGATTAATGAGCATTTGCGAGTTAATATGGTCGCTCGCAAAAGAACCTGCTTTGAGCAATCTATATTATATATATCATTGACCCTGTCAAAGCCAACAGCATTGCCATATCATAACCAATCATAACCGAAAGGCACTATTTTGACAAGTGGTTTGTGAATATGGCGGACAAGTGTTTCCGGTCTCCAGTGACGCACTGTTATAAAAGGATAGAAAAATTATTAATTATTTTCATTCGGATTTATAAATTGCATGATAGAATCATTATTAAAATAGTACTTTGTTTACAAATTGAAAATTATAAAATCTTTAAATTAACAAAATTACAATCTTATTGTTGGATCCACCGATTGAATCGGGATTGCATCAAGGCGTTTTAATATACCGTATCCATCAAGATTGAACACCGATGGATGCGGATGGATATCCCCACTTTTTTATTTTCTGTCACAATTGTGAGATTATAGGTTTTTAAAATTGAAATTTTTTTTAATTTTTTTTTAATTTGAATTATGGAATTTATTTTATTTAAATTAATCAATCGAGAAGAGTTTTCAAGTTCTTCATCAGAGGACGATGATATAAAAATAAGATAAAAATATATTTTTTTAATGTATGTTCAGAGATAATTCTTTAACACGGTGTCCGATTTTAATGATTCTTTTTTTGTTAGAAAGAGAGTACTTCAGGGGTGGTCCCATATAAATTTGGCCAAAATCTAATAATTAAGTCCATGAGAAAATATTCAAACTCTTCATTTTTTATGTCTGGTTAGCGATAATTCTTTACCACCTGGTCCCATTTCTAGGATTCTTTTTTGTTAGTAAGGGAGTACCTCAGGGGTGGTCCCGTATAACTTTGGTCAACATATAATAATTGGATCCATGAGAAAATCCTCAAACTCTTCATTTTTTATGTATGTTTAGCGATAATTCTTTATCACCTTGTATGTGATTCTTTTTTTGTTAGTAAGGGGGTACCTCAAGGGTGGTCCCATATAAATTTGGTCAACATCTAATAATTGTGTCCATGAGAAAATACTCACTCTTCATTTTTCATGTATTTTTAGCGATAATTCTTTACCACCTTGTCCAATTTCTATGATTCTTTTTTTTGTTAGTAAGGGGTTACCTCAGGGATGGTCCCATATAACTTTGGTCAACATCTAATAATTAGGTCCATGAGAAAATCCTCAAACTCTTAATTTTTTAGTTTGTTTAGCGATAATGTTTTACCACCTTATCCAATTTCATGACTATTTTTTTTGTTAATAAGGGAATACCTTAGGGGTGGTCCCATATAAATTTGGTCAACATCTAATAATTGGGTCCATGAGAAAATCCTCAAACTCTTCATTTTTTATGTATGTTCAGCGATAATTCTTTACTACCTTGTCCAATGTCATGATTATTTTTTTGTTAATAAGGGCGTACCTTAGGAGTGGTCCCGTATAATTTTGGTCAACATCTAATAATTGGGTCCATGAGAAAATCCTCACTCTTCATTTTTTATGTATGTTTAGCGATAATTCTTTACTACCTTGTCCAATGTCAGGATTCTTTTTTTGTTAGTAAGGGGTACCTCAGGGGCGGTCCCATATAAATTTGGTCAACATCTAATAATTGTGTCCATGAGAAAATCTTCGAACTCTTTAATTTTTTATGTATGTTTAGCGATAATTCTTTACCACCTTGTCCAATTTATGTGATTTTTTTGTTAGTAAGGGGGTACTCAGGGGTGGTCCTATATAAATTTGGTTAAGATTTCGTGACGGCATCTGCACGATTTTGAAATTGGTTTTTAAAATTACTTTTTTTGCTTGTTATAATATATTTGTCAGAGATAAATAGAGTTTAGAATCAGTTGACTCAAATGTGTGAAAAATATAAAAAAGGTTGTGTCAAATGTCAACATTTTAAATAAAAAAACAAACGATTAAAAAAATATTTAATTAAGTATTCTATGGAAGTGGTTTGTTTCATTAACATTAACAATATATTATAATATTCAGTCTCAATATAATATAAAACATACAACAATGAAACACTTTCATATCCAAATAACGTTTATTATGATCATTTCGGAAAAACTTGAACCGCACCAGCGCCGTCCAAATCAACGCGAATCGGATTCTTAATTCTTTCGATGAACGTCAAAATGTCCTTGATTTTGTCGTGTGTGGTGTGCTGCCTCATCATCAGCTGATCCTGTTCGTTCTTCTGGTCCTTCAACGATATCGTCAATTGCGAGTGTTTGTCTTGCAGCTGTGTCAGCTCGGCCGTCAGATTCAGTTTCTTTTCCTCCAACGCCTTCTTTTCGTTTAGTTTTTCTAAAAGAGATGATCATGTACTGAAGTTAACCTAGATACGAAAAGCAATTGCCGTAAAACTAGGTTAGACTTGATGATTGAAAAATGGTTAATTATTGTGCAAAAGAGCTGATTTATCAATGTTGGGTCATCATCAAATAGCAACAGATTAATATTGATAAACCGGCTCAGAATGATTGAAAATGCGAGAATTAGAAGTGGGATGAAATCGTTTAAAAAATAATCGCTAACCTGTAAATTCCGTGGCAGTTATGTAAGATACTGTCATTCCAGAAGGCACGTTCAAGGACCCAACGGTTCTGATCTCTTTGCCGATGCATTTTGGACATTGACGAGGTGTATGGATCAAAGGACGATTGTGACAACTGATATGGAAGCCATTGGAACATACTTCACAGGTGCTAAGAGCTCCTGCGAAAACAAATCGTATATAAAATATGACAGAATTAGCCTTATCCATTTTGATATCATCAACCTTTAAAGTGTCAAAAATAACATTTCCCATTATAAGGAACTAAGCATTCAAGAACCTGAAAATCAGTTAACCATTAACACTAAAAGGAGAAAAATCACAAACTATTGTCCACTGAGACAACTAGAAAAAAATAAAATTATCTTAACTTAAAAAACTAAGTAATACATTTATAATAGGTAGAGATTACAACTCCAAAAATACCGTTTAGTGATAATGTTATTTATATAGAAGCAAATCGGAAAATCAATTTGGAAGGTTTTCAAGAGGACTTAATACTATTCAACTAACCATGACAATAAAAATGAAAAATCAGCTAGGCAAAGAACTGAAAAATTTTATAGTGGAAATCCAGCAAGCTATATGGAGAAACACACCAAAAGTTATATTAACTGTAAAGATAAGAGAACTGGTAGCAGAAAAAATAAAACTAAGAAAGAAATAGCAGATGACAAGATCACTGGAAAATAAAAATATATTAAATAGGATTACTGAAGACTGAGAAGAGAAATCCTAAATCACAAAAAAGAATCCTTCAGCCTGGAAGACAATTAAAAAGATAAAAAACCTGTATGCCCATAAAGACCACAAAAGACTTTAACATTACAAACTGTGTTATAAATTTGAGGTTCATTATCAATCAAAATTATGTTTTATTGGGGTCTATTCTGTAACAATTCCTTTATATTTAACGGCCTTTAAAAATATTGGCGACCTTTAAAAATATGTTTGTATTCGTTAATTTACTTCTGTCATTATTTAAACAGATTTCTTTAAGATAGTCCTCTAATGTATTTTAAAGATCCGTTTAAATAATGACAGAAGTAAAGAAGAAAATATTTTTAAAGGCCGTTAAATATAAAGGAATTGTTACAGAATAGACCCCATTGGACATTAAATATCATAAATTCTTATCACTTTCAATGATACATATTAAATTATAAATTAAATTATGATTAAATTAGTGATACAACTGTTTTCATTATCAAAGAACGTCGATGAAATCTGTAAAATCTATAAAAATCGCTTACCTGGCTGTTTACACGTCACGCAAGCCTTATTTTCCGAACTCGAGCTGTCCGACGTATTGACCCTTTCGATAATTAGTCCGCTGGGAAGGTTGGGAATCACCGGGAACGAGCCGAACGATAACTTGCTGTTATTGTTATTGATATTGCTGCCATTCTGGTCGGTTTTGGGACTCTTCGGAGGTACTGTTGTTGACGATGGGGTCGGCAACGACAACGGCGAGATTCTTTCTTGTTTTTTCTTGACAGATTGTCGCGTGTGTGGCGGCGATATGGGCGATATTAGAAAAGCGTTCCGTTTACGCTTCTGGAAAACGTAACATGTAGTACAAAATGTCTTTGAAGGGTGACCAAAAGATGCCGGCTCGATATTAAATTTTTAAGGTTGGTTATTGAATTCCAGACAAGTCATAAAATTTTCCTGGCCCGTTTGGCTTCTGTAGGCACCGTATAGAAGTAAATTGGAAGTAAAATCATTCGACGCCATTCTTTTCGGGATATTTTGCAATTAACTTTTTTTTAACCACACATTATATTTATTTAGAAATATATTTAAAAAATGCATTTGTTTCAACTATTATTTTTAGAAGTTTTACTTTTCATATCTTGCATAAGGAAACTGCGAGGTCCTTTGCTGTCAAACAATTTGTTTGTCCCATTAAATATTTAATATCGAGCTACAAATCTACTTTTCAAAAATGCACAAACAAAAAGACGATATATAAGGCGTTTACCATCGCGATTTAAATTATATATTTTATTTTATTATAGCTTTTAGCTAATTTGTATTGTTCAGTAATTATAAACTAATATGTATTCTTTTAATTAACATACCTAGTTATAGATTTTAAGGTTTTTATCAGCTATCTAATACAATCCTAATTTTAATAATTTAATTCACATATTAAAAAAAAATTGGGTCGACAAATTTTCACCCCAATTACTAATATTATAAAATTACGAAAGAAATTCATATTATCTAACCATTTCAGGATTGGATAAATCTCGGCAGTTTTCAGAAGAATACATTTCATCACAGCAACATCACACTTTGTGCAATGTGTCACAAGTGGAGATTATTTAATGGCGCAGTTTGGTGCTGTGTAACTTAATTTAAGTTTATGGGCATAGTAAATAAATATATTCTGAAAACAATCGAGCCCTATAACAAAGACGTAATGGTAAACGCACTTCGATGAAACAAATAAAATAAATAGGCGAATACATACATTGTTGGTCAAAAAATCCCAACCTTTATTGCCATACAAGAAGTGCGGGTTGGCGGTACTTCGGCGCTTCCGTTCGGCCCGTTTGTTCTGCATTTCTTTGTAAGCGTCGTGCGTCGCCAAGCAGAAGTAGTTGAGGAATTCCAATTGGGTGACGTCTTGAGGATCGACTGGATTGTTGGACGGATGCTCGGGCGATGAGTGGGCCGATAGGTTTTCCGCGGAATCGTCCGAGAAAGATGTGGCCGAGGTGGAACGTACTACTCTGGAGGAGAAAAAAAAACATTACACAATAGGAAAATAATCTTCATGCTATGAGAAATGTAGAACATTACTGTTTGTTGAAGATTTTTGATGGGTGCATTCAAGTGAATATGCTAAAGTTATCAAAAAAATAGATTTCCCCAATAGTCCTCCTTAAAGGACTCGTTCCTACCTTTTATTTAATACAAACTAAATGAGAAGAAATCACCTCTTGCAACCATTCTAAGATTAGCAAATCAAATCAATGATCTCTTTATTGTGGATTGGACAATAGTTAAATCAAAATTTCGTTATAATATCCTCAAATATTTACTGCAAACCTCAATATAAATAAATTAGATTTTCAACTAAATAAAAATATAGCACCTTACAATTCTGATACTTAAGTATAACATTTTGAGAATACTTATATTATTTTAATGAGAACAGAAGTTGGCAACATTGATAGATAGAAATGTGTCTTTTGCTTGTTCAAATCTGATTTTTTTTTTTTTTTGTAAAGTTCAGGGCAGTAAATAATTTAAAAATAAATATCAAATCAATTACTTAAGGAAATATTTACAATATGAGTTTAATCATTTTAATAATAAAAATTAGAGGGAAACCTCAGCTACAGACTTATTATTACTCATGTTTTATGCCATCAAATTAAGCAATTATCTTTAAAAACTAAATTAAAAAAAAAATAAATTTATTAAAATATGTTTTTGATAAAACTCAATTTTCACAAATGAAAAATGCAAACAAATATTTGAAACCACTAATATTATGGTATTATAATTAATAAAACATGTGTTACTTACATATTTTGCTTCCTAGCTCTGTTCAAAGCATTTGTCAGGTTGAATCTACGCTCCTCCAAGCCATTTTTGACTAAATTTGTCTTCAGAGACTTTTGATATGCCTTATACTCATCTCGAAGCCTTTCCAACAGATTTTTCTACAAGTAATTTAATAAAACTGTAATTGGCGAAGCCAATTAATATAAATATGTACTTACTTGTTCAAGTCCTATGCTAATAATTTCTTCCTCAGCCTTGTTTACTTCCTTTTGTAAGTCAACATTCTGAAATATTCATTTATTTTAGTAAAAATTAATTTTTTATGGCGTTTTAATTACTTACATATGGATCTAATTGCAATTTACCTAAGCAGTTCTGAAAAAAAATATTTCTGAATTAAAAAGTATAGAGGTATTTGTTACTTGGCTGAGATTATTTTGTTAGTTTCTTATTAATTGCTTAGTAATTTACAGATTTAATGCAAGGACAGTAACTGCTTTATCTGACTGAATTGGGGATGTAACATTATTAATAAGAATTGCTTGGATGTTAAATAACAGTAGTTTTCTATTTTAATTAGAAATTATGAAAATGAGCCGATTATAGAATTAATTAGTAAACTTTGGCTACAATAACTAAAAGTGCCCAAATTCCTTTTTATTTTTGGCTTCCAACTGCCACAGCTCCAACTCCAGTTTAATCTTTAGTTCATTATTCAGGTGTTTATTTATTAATTTGATATAATTTTGCTTTTCATCTTTAATAAATTTATTATTAATCTTTTCCTTAAAATAAGAATAGGAGCATAAATTACGTTTTTCTTTTTTTCATTTATTAATTCATGTAGGTATTATAAGTAGTTATTTTCAATATTAGGAACCTATTTAAATACTTAAATAAATAAAGTATTTATACCTATTTATAGTCACAATAAAACTAATTTTAAGAATTTTTAAGAATTCAAAAGATAAACTTATTTTTATTAAAATTAAATATACACTGACGCAAGCAAGTACCTATCAAAAGTTTTTCATTTAAAACCTTCAAAATGACCATTTAAATTTTTTTCGAAACTGTTTATTTCAAATAGAATACCAACAAATAATATAATTTAGAAAAATTACATAAGATTTGTTGTCACGGGTGTAAAATTCTCAAATATTTCATGATTCCAAAAAAATAAAACTTATTTTACCTGATGGTTACAAATTGCGGTTTTCAGTTGAGTCTGATTTAATTCAATGTCACATTTTAATTCTTTAGTTACTTCCATGCCATTCATTTCGTTTTGGCCACTTTTTAATAACTTTTTCAACTCTGTTTACAAGATGTATTGAATAAACAATTTCTTATCTTTCATCCACTCTTGTTTATCAGTTATTCTTTCGTGCTTTATCAAATTCCCAATTTTCTTTTTCTTCCTTATGTTGATCGACGATTTCCCATTGGTTGAATTGGTTCATTAGAATAAACAAGACGTTAACCGTACTGCAAGCGCGAGTCGCGTTGTTGCCAACTCAACTGAAAAGTCAAAGAAAATAAGTATTTTTTGCTTCGTATATAACAAAAATAATTAACATGACATTACATAGATTTACTGATTTACGGTAGCTGTTCTCTTTCTTTGATCTTGCAAATTGCAAACTAGCGTGAGCCTATGCCTGGAATATTGAAGAATGTTTACCTATTGCATCAATGTGTTACTCTGTTGCATTTTTCGGGGCATTTGCAAAAGAATATCATCAAACACTTTTTTGACTCTAATGTGCAATGAAAACTCCAATACAGTCTGTTCGCTATACTTACGCGGGTTTCGAATTAACAAAATTATGCAAATTAGTCATTGACAACCAGTTCCAATAAACCTCTTCCCAAGAAATTAGGTAAAATTGCCCTAATGGTCAGATTTAAATTAAAATAACATTATGGCATCGTTAATATGTACGATGATTAGGGTAGGTACTAAATTTGTTACAAATATTACAGTTGAATTGATTCTTTGCAAGTGTTGATATTGTATGTATATTGTAAATTTAGTGGAAATTGTAAAAATGTCTAGATGTGTGTTAGATGTAGATAGTCTAATTTGTAGTGTACATAAGTATTTTACGGATAAAAAAAAATGGCGGTCCTTTAAAATCGGTAATGTCTGTACAACAGCGCGTATGCGATGCTATTTTATTTGAGCTAAATAACCCTCTTATTATACATAGACCATATTTTTTGTGTGAAGTGTAATATAAAATTATTATTATTGTTTATAATAGCCACATTAGACTTCAATAATGAAGAAGTTTAATTCTGCTCTCAATTATACAAAAGATTCTCCATTATTATTTAATTAAAAAGTTGTACATTATTTTTCATTTCATTTAACCAGTTGATATTTCCCCAAAGAACAGGTCAAACTTTCGGGTACTTACCTGAAAATACTCATAAAATTTTTAATCCGAAACCCGCGTAAGTATAGCGAACAGATTGTAAATAAGTTTTGAGTAAATTATAGGTACCTATTATACAAAATGTCTAAATATGGCATTCGAGGAGTACCTCGCACAATCTTTTCAAATCTTATTTATTAACGAACAGAAAATAAACAATTCGTGTCAATAATATTTCGTATACACCCAAAATTGAACATGGCGTCCCACAGTGGTCCGTAATCCGTATTAGGCCTTACCTTGTTTACTATATATTTAAATGACACGTCAAAATTAATGTTTTAAAATTGTAATTGTTTGGAATAAACCTATTCTATAAGCATTATGAAAAGAAGTTGGTACAAGACATACAGATCTTTATCATCACACGAATTATGGACTGAATGATATGTAAGTTCAATTTTATGTTAAATTGTAAAAAGGGTTTCAACCCGTAAATAAATAAATAAAAGTAGGGTTTCCTCTTTATGGTAAAGACGTTTTTTTCTCATCTAGAAAATCCAAAAAATTCTTAATTTTAATTATTTCACAGCGGCAACATAGCACAATATTTGAGGTGTTCTTTGCTCGGAGTTGCATTGATTCTAACTCTAAAAATACTTTAGAACTATTCTTAATGCATTAGTTCAAATGAAATGCCACAGCCACATTGTCATATTACTGTCAGTTGATAAATAAAAAGTTTGCTGATCGATTTTTCTAACCTTATTATTTATTATTGTTTCATATATTTATTTTACTTATTTATTGTAAATGTTCCTTTTAATTAAAAATGTTGATATTCCAATTAAAAAGACTGGTTCCCGTTTTATTTATTATAACTTTACATCGTGTAGCGGCCATAAGAACTTATACCAAAGATGATTTAGTAAAATTAAGGTAATAATATTTTTAATAATAATTATAGGGTTAATTTAGATAAAATTTTATAGAGAGGAAGTGAAAGAAATGTTTTATCATGCTTACGATAGCTATTTAAAATTTGCTTATCCTTATGATGAACTCAGACCTATTAGCTGTGATGGAGTAGATACATATGGAAGGTAAAAATGTATGTGTATTATCTACTTTTTAATATAAAAAAAATTAACATTATTGTAGTTACTCCCTAACTTTGATAGATGCCTTGGATACATTAGCAATAATGGGAAATTATACAGAATTTCAAAGGGTAGTCGATATTATTTCAGAAAAGAAAAATTTTGATGCAAATATTAATGTTTCTGTATTTGAAACGAACATAAGAATCATCGGGGGTTTGCTGAGTGCACATCTTTTGTCTCACAAGTAAGAAAATAAAAAAATATTGGTCAAAATATTGATAACAGTTTAATTTTAGAGCTGGGGCCAAATTGGAGCCAGGCTGGCCTTGCAATGGCCCTTTATTAAGATTAGCTGAAGATGTAGCTAAAAGACTCATAGTGGCTTTTGATACCAAAACTGGCATGCCTTATGGAACTGTTAATTTGCACAGTGGGGTGCCTAAGGGAGAAACGACAGTTACTTGTACTGCAGGTGTTGGGACTTTTATTGTTGAGTTTGGTACACTCAGTAGGCTGACTGGAGATCCTTTGTATGAAGAGGTAATAAATAGTACATTTTAGTAGATTCATTAAATTTGAACAAAAAGTTTTGCACAGACTATTATTGAATTGCTGGAAGAGAAGATATGTCTGATTTTACAGTTAAATGATTGGTATCAATGTGGTTAAGGGATATTTCTTTTGGTGCATCTCAAGATACATTTTCAAGATATCTCATGGGTGATTCCAACTACACATTTCTGAAGAAAATAAAATGATCCTCTCTTTATTAAACATTCCCTGGATTATTTTTGTAGAAATGTAATATGATGAAGTTGTTCATTTCTAGGTGGCCTTAAATGCTCTCTACTCACTTTTTAACCACAAATCCCAATTGGGTCTATTCGGCAACCACATAGATACTGACACAGGCAGATGGACAGCTCAAGATGCTGGTATTGGATCCGGTATTGATTCTTACTTTGAATATTTGGTTAAAGGTTCTATTCTCCTTCAAAAACCTGAACTGATGGAAATGTTCCATGAAGCCAAGAAATCTATTGATAGATATATGAAGAAAGATGATTGGTATATGTGGGTGTCGATGACCAAAGGACAGATAACTTTGCCTGTGTTTCAATCATTGGAATCATATTGGCCTGGTGTGTTAAGCTTAATAGGCAAGTTTAATAATTAATATATCAAATTAGATTATGATTATACAGAAATATTTTAGGTGAAACTTCAAGTGCTATGCGCACCCTTCATAATTACCATCAAGTTTGGCAACAATATGGATTCACACCAGAATTTTACTATATTCCCCAAACAGAAGCGGGTGCCAACAAGGAGAGTTATCCCTTGAGGCCAGAACTAATTGAATCCATTATGTATCTCTACAGAGCCACTGAGGACCCTTTTCTTTTACAAGCAGGCGAGGACATTTTGAGAAGCATCCAACATAGTGCAAAAACACCATGTGGGTATGCCACTGTAAGAAATTAAATACTTCTTCCTCTCCCTATTGTTAAAATGAGTTGTTTACATTACAGATCAAAGATGTCAGAGACCACAAAAAGGAAGACAGAATGGAATCATTCTTTCTAGCAGAAACAACAAAATATCTGTATTTACTCTTTGACACTGACAATTTCATCCACAACCAAGGACAAGAAGGTACTGTGATAAACACACCCAATGGTGAATGTATCATTGATGCTGGTGGTTACATCTTCAACACTGAAGCCCATCCAGTTGATCCAGCAGCTTTACATTGTTGCCACAGCTTGGCCAACAAAGATTTACTGGATTTTGATTATTTGAAGAAGAACCAAGAGCTGTTCAAAGGCGAAACGGTTAAGGAAAGAAAGAACCAGAAGCTGCCTGAAGTTGTTGAAGAGACAATTGCAGATAGTATTGATGAAGAAGTTATAATTACTACGGAATCGACCACTGGTTATGTAAAGTTGGAAGATAACGATAACGTCAGTCAAAAAATCACTGGTGATGAATTCCAGGATAACAATATTTCAGAAAATGTGGAAAAATTATCATTTTCGAAGATTATTGATCAGGTGTTGTCAAAGGAGAGCCAAAAATTCGATCCTCAAGAAATGCTGGAACGGTTCAGGGTGGAGAATAAATATCCCAGGAATAAAACTTGGGAGAGTAACTATAAATTGTTGGTTTGCAAAGCACAGCCATTTATGCAGAGGTTGTCTGTAATGGGGGAATTTTTTAATAAATAAAAGGGCTACAAACTATACATTGTTTTATTGTTTCCAAAATTATCCATGATTGAAAAACTGAGGTTGTTAGTGATAGGTGAATTTATTAATAAATTAATTTGCTATAAACACATTAAATTTTATTTTTGTTTTCCTTAAAATTATCAAACTTTACATAGGTAGATGTGACTGACTTCACTACTATTCTACAGTTCAAAATGGTTAGACAACTTTGGTCCCTTTTTAAGAACTTTCCTCTTCTTTGGTGGCTTCTGTTCCAATATTTCCTCTTCTCTGACAGGACTCTTTTTATAAGGATTCACATAATTAGTATCACGATAGATATAATTTAATTCTTGACTAACAAGTTTTAATAATTTGACTGTACTAGAATCTAAAAGGTACTTCATTTGATCACAAAACGCGATGCCCCATTGTAGCACCAAGTCCCAATTGTTGTTATCACGTAGTAAATTAGCAGACATTTCAGGAAATCTTAGCACAATATCTGAAAATAGTGCTGTGTTTTCTAATATGTTGGAAAGGGCGTCTCTTATCTCTATATCAGATGGGAAGTCTGATACGCCAGGTATAAATGGTGATGCTTCTATTAATACTCTGCTTTCAAGGATATTATCAAATATCCTTTCAGCCATCAGAGTTATCATCTGGTATTGCTTTTCATAACTGGAAGTTTTCTGGAAATTCTTTATTGCCGTTAATTGCTCTGCTCTTTGTTGCTTGAACAACTTCTTATCTGAAACATTTAAATCAGGAAAATATGGACAATAAACACAAAATAGCTAAACAGTTTAATATAGAGATAAATATATAAAATATCCATCTACAATATTCCTTAATTTTCTTATGAAAAGGATACATAATTCTTCTGCCAACTCAGTTTCGTGGTTTTCTAGTTCGGAGCACGTAAAAGGTAAAATAAATAAAGAAAAACATAACGGCCAGAAAATTTTAAACTCAAACATAACCTACTTTAATTATACAATCATTTAATAACATTTACATAGATTGATCATCCATATTTTTCAAAATAAACAATAGCTTATGCCTTGAAGTAAAAATGTAGGTAATTATTTTTTTATAATCAAAGGCTAAATATTGGCTTTTAAATACATTTTTCCAAAATCGATTCTGATTAATGAGCACTTGCAAGTCAATATGGCCGCTCGTAAACGAGTTAAACGACCCGTTTTGAGCAATCTATATATGTATCGTTGACAATATCTTCTTCTTTTATATAATTTGATTTCTAAACTAACAAATAGCAATTAACAATAAGGTAAGAGGCCATATAAATAGCAAGAACTCGTTTTAAAACAAGCTAATTTATTAGATATTTACAAATTAATGGCTGAAAATTGGTTTTAAAACACATTTTTGTTAAACCGATTCAAATTAATAAATATTTGCCAGGCAATATGGCCGCTCGCAAACGACCAGCTTTGAGCAATCCATATAACTATATATGTGTTAATGACAACAGGGTTGCCATATCTAAACTGTCATTCCCCATTGGTAGCCATTTTGACAGGTCGTTGGAATGCCTAATAATTAGGCATTCCAAACAAATGAATTACCAGTGGGCAGGTTTGGTATATCTAAGGGTGGCGACATATGGTGTATTCTATCTACTTTACGTAAAATCATGAATAATGGATTACATTTAAATATTTTATGTCAAACACAATAAAAATAATATTTAAAAAACCCATCTATACATTTCTTCATAAATTGGCAGGCTTGGCGAGTACTACTTCGAATAAAAATAGCGCCCAAGTTGCAAGACTATGTCGCTACCCCCTTAAATATACAAGAATTTCCCACTGGCACCTATTGTTTGACAGGTCGTTGGAATGCCTAATTAGGCATTCCAAACAAATGAATTACCAGTGGGCAGGTTTGGTATATCTAAGGGTGGCGACATATGGTGTATTCTATCTACTTTACGTAAAATCATGAATAATGGATTACATTTAAATATTTTAAGTCAAACACAATAAAAATAATATTTAAAAAACCCACCTATACATTTCTTCATAAATTGGCAGGCTTGGCGAGTACTACTTCGAATAAAAATAGCGTCCAAGTTGCAAGACTATGTCGCTACCCCCCTTAAATATACAAGAATTTCCCACTGGCACCTATTGTTTGACAGGTCGTTGGAATGCCTAATATTATTATAGGTTATATTCTTGCACATCAGCAGCTGACACTCCATCCACATATACAAACAAATTTCAAATAGAAAACATTTAAAATTTACACTAATGTCAGAACAAATGCTTGAAGCTGCTGAAGCAGCTTTAAATAGTTTGAGCGATCACCATCCAATCCATGGGCAAAAGGGTGCACCAAATGTTGGAAAATCAGACCAGTATGCATCCAGACTCAACAACTTACAGAGAATACAACAGAAAAAGCAGGCCGTGCTGGCTTTTCCCTACAACAAGAAGTTGCTAAAGTTAGCTGTATACTCTAAATGTCAGGTAAAATGTAGATTCATGTGTTTCAAAATGTCATTTGAAATTAAAAAGTGTACAGTGTACTTTATTTGAACCGGCCACCTCAGAACTATTCAAGTGACTGGTTTTTTAATTGGTTAATCCGACGGGTACTAAACCGCTATTTTTTCACATAGTAAAATGTATTTCCAGTGAATAAATGCACAAATCGTCGAATCCAAACAATGTTTCTTACACAATAATATTAGCTTTTGCTGTGTATGTGGGAAATATTGCATTTAAGCAGATACATAGTTTAAACTGTGATTTAAAAACTGGCTCTTGTGCTTATTTCTAGATATATTTTTCTTTAACTATCCTTTTCAGGCTTTTTTTCAGTTTTTCTCCATTATTTTTTGTATAAATTTGTATAACTCCTTTTTCTCTTTTATTTTATGTGGTCCTTTATTTATCCCTTGCATTTATAACTCTTTATATTAATTTGTTACTTTTATGTGTGAATATATTATAATTCTGTGGCTTTTTGGAGACATATGATATTCACATGATATAATATTTTAACAAGATTATAACAAGCCAAAATTTAATAAAGTGGACTTATCAATATTTTATCAAATATTTACTAGCAGTACTGGATTTAAATGAAAATTCATAAAAAAATATTTATATTAGTGGAATTTTTTTTTTTTTTTTTTTCTTTAGTGTACGGCTTCAACATCTAAGGTCATTAGCCTAGTGTTCTATGTAGGTTATGGATTGTACTAGTAGTCTAATACTCCATAGTGCAGAAGTATTAGTACTCTAATACTCCTACACCCCTACAGACAGGCCTTGTTACTGTTTCCTTGCGCCACTTTAGGAACAGCACTGTTAATTAGAACCCAACAGTGAATGGTCGAGTGGAATTAATAAAAATCTATTTTTTGAAGTTAACATATGTCTCCCAAATGCCACAGAATTATATCCCATTCCTACTGTTGTTATACTTTAGTTTTCCAGATTTTTATCCTAAATCAATCAGGTCATAATAATAATAATAATAATAATTTATTCCTGATGTAGTAATTTAGCATTTATCTTTATAGTTCATTATTAACTTTATACATTTGGATAAACTTATACTAAAATTGAGAATAATATTAGCTCTTTTTAGGCTGAAAAATGTGACTGCATTGGGTGGAAGAGAGTTGACAGTAACCAACAGAATCCAACTTTTACAGATCCTTGCAGATGCGAACATTTACTGGGTAAATATTATACTAAAAGATATTTAATTTTTCTATGATATATACTTATCTTATTTTTTAGAAATGCATATATCGCATTTGGTTGATAAACCAGAACAAGAATTGAACAGGCTTTTAAGTATGGTTGTTGATGTTGATAATATGTACACAGCTATGAGTAGAGAGGAAAATCCGGAGACACATAGAGTTTACCTGTATTTATTTAGGGTAAATATCATTAAATTCAGTTTTATACAACATTTAGTGTATACCGACTAGCATTGATTTCTAAGATAAGCAGTATAAATTTAGTTGTAATATAATTTAACTTTCTACTTCCTACTAGAGCCATTTTACTAGAAAATAACTGATTGTTTACATTCTAAAGTCAGTTATTATGAAATAATGTATTGATTGTAATTGTCAATGATTTCTTATTTATAGTTGCTAAGGAAATGTGTTCTGACACTCGATAAACCTGTGGTAGAAGGACCTTTGGGTCAGCCGCCGTTTCAAAAACCTAGTATCCATAAAGCAGTCACAAATTTACTCATATACAAATTCTCGCATATTAGTCAACAAGAGTTGAAAACCATGTACGAATTGGTCAAAATATTATTCCATTGTCTAAATACCTGGGATTTCCCCTGTCCCAGTAGTCAAAAACATATTGTCAGCCAAGAGGAAGCTACCAAATATAAAATCGAGTACACGAGGTAAGTGCTTAAAAAAAAAAACTATAAAATATTGTTTGGTTGAAAGTCAATGTAATATTATTTTTTAATAAATTTATTCATCTAACGGTAAACTACTGATATGTTATCAAAACACCCTATAGTCTAAAATAATAAAACAAATAATAATAATGTAGTAATAAATAAAAATAATGTAAACAATTTTTGATAACCCTGTATAACAAAATAATGTAAAAAGTCTTAAGTGAAGCAGACGATGAGAAGTAGATAAAAAGATTGGTTGCTAGATAAAGGAGGTGGTTAAAATTTCAATTTTGAGAGATGGAAATTTTGGGAATTTTAAGAAAAGTAAAAAAAAAAAAATTAATTAGAGTTGTAAATTAAAACGATATAACGAGATTAAATAAACAAACTATTAAAATGTAAATGTAAAAGGTAATAAAATGTGTGAGGAGAAACAGAAGAGAAAAGAATACATACAAGAAAGGTGATAGGTGACAAGAATAACCAGGACAGAATAGTGATACCCCCAGACCGCGAGAAGAATAGTGATACCCCAGACCGCAAGAACACGGTATTTATAAACATTTTATTTTTTGTTAATGATTGAACTTCGTTATAAATAAGCATTCATAACTAGTTGTTTTTAAAAATTAAAGTTGTTAACATAATTATAGTTAATTTTAGTAATTCCTTATAAATCACCCATATTATATAATTGGTGATTTTTTTGTTTATATAATTTGTCTTGGACATTTATAATTTAGTTAGGTGTAGTAGGGTAGATAATAGTTATTTTCATATAGTCCAGGTATTGAAATACCGGACATTTGTTCAATGCGCCCATATTGATTTTTTTGTTAGAATTAAATAATTCAATTTTGGAAAAGTTTGTTTATTTAAATCTTTAATTGTTAGGTATACAAGTATCAAATTTATCTAGGATCATCTTATATAATTCTAAAATAAACTAAATAAACTAAATAAACTAAATAAACTAAATAAACTAAATAAACTAAATAAACTAAATAAACTAAATAAACTAAATAAACTAAATAAACTAAATAAACTAAATAAACTAAATAAACTAAATAAACTAAATAAACTAAATAAACTAAATAAACTAAATAAACTAAATAAACTAAATAAACTAAATAAACTAAATAAACTAAATAAACTAAATAAACTAAATAAACTAAATAAACTAAATAAACTAAATAAACTAAATAAACTAAATAAACTAAATAAACTAAATAAACTAAATAAACTAAATAAACTAAATAAACTAAATAAACTAAATAAACTAAATAAACTAAATAAACTAAATAAACTAAATAAACTAAATAAACTAAATAAACTAAATAAACTAAATAAACTAAATAAACTAAATAAACTAAATAAACTAAATAAACTAAATAAACTAAATAAACTAAATAAACTAAATAAACTAAATAAACTAAATAAACTAAATAAACTAAATAAACTAAATAAACTAAATAAACTAAATAAACTAAATAAACTAAATAAACTAAATAAACTAAATAAACTAAATAAACTAAATAAACTAAATAAACTAAATAAACTAAATAAACTAAATAAACTAAATAAACTAAATAAACTAAATAAACTAAATAAACTAAATAAACTAAATAAACTAAATTTTAATAAATTAAAATATTATAATTCATGAACCGACACCACTGAGAAAGAGAATCTGCTCTAGATAAATTAAGTATTAAAATATATTAAAAAAAAAGGCTAGCCGAGGTAAGTTCAGGTTATTGCATATTATAAAAATTGTGAGGTAAATAGAGAACATAACACTACATACTATATTAATGATTCCTTTGGCACAGAGTCAATGGTGGCAACAATTTATAAAATAGATTCATATAATCAGAATACCAATATAAAAATGATGTTACTGTAATAAAGATTTCCTATACCTATCGTTGATGATTTCCAATTTATTTGAATAGTGGATTTTACCAGTATACCTATAGAGCAGAAGAAATTCAGTCAATGATGTAAATAATTCAAAAATAAAAAAAATCTGATTTAGTGTGTTTTGCTTGTAAACCGACGTTATAAAGCTTGATTTTTCTGAAGATTTCAATTTGATATTGTCTGATTTAGGATTTATTTCAATATTTCCACCTCCCTTATCTCCCCATTTGTATTTATTTATTAATTCCCTTATAAAGCTTGATTTTTACTAAGTTTTCTCCCCTTATAGAGCTTGATTTTAGCCAAAAATTTCAAGTTGATATCATTGTTCGTTTATGAGTCAATATTATTTTTAATATTTCAACTTCCCTTAATCTCATGATTTTAATACTTGGGAAAAGTTTGAAAAATAAAAAGGTTATTTTTGCTTGTGAAGCACAGTTGATTATTTACAGAAAAACATTTTTAATTTTCAAATTGTTCAAAAAAATGTCATGGAAAATGCCAGTTTATTTTGAACTTTAAACATACTGTCATTTTCATTGTGACTAAATAATTTTAAGAAAGGCAGAGGGGGACATTTGATGAGCATTTAGTGACCCTGCGATATCTTTCTTACAGATTTTATTTTTTACTACGTATTGAAATTTATTATATGTCACAAACAAGTACGCGTTTTTATGACTAAAATACATTTTTTTTTTAGGTTTTTACGTCTAATAGAGAGTCATTTAAAAAGAAATAAAGCAATATTGTTTTTATTTTGAGGAAATAAAATTTTTAAGGGGTCAAATGGGACTTTCAGACACTTTTTTCTCTACTGAGTCGACAGTGTTAAATTTTATGTGTCAACAGAAGTCTGTTTTAATTATTTCAACATCATTAGGTTTTCACTTTTTGACACAAATCCATTTGTCTTTGCCCAACTTTTAATAATTTTTAATATCTTGAATTAACTAATTTTTTTATGTTATGTCCTGTAATTGTATGAATAATGTCATATTTAGGTATTTATAATGTAATTTCATACTAAACAATTATTATACTTTTTTCTTTTTTGCTGGAAGATATCATTTCTTAAAAAAAAACATGGTTTATGGGCTTTTTCTATAAATAGGTCGCTTTATAAAGCATTTTTCTGTTTCAAACAACTTAAAAGTACCTAGACCTTTTACTTCATTGCTTACAATTTTCAGATGGTTGGTGTTCTGCTACGTACCGACGTTCTGCGACTCATTACAGCACTTCGACACTACTATGGTATTCGGTCGTACTCTCTTACGAGCAGTTTTTAAATATATTCGGAAACAAATCATGGATCAGTTTTATAGAGAAAGAGACACCATGCCTCCAGACAGAAGGCAACTGTTGCTCACCAATTTCCCTCCATTTTTAAATCAACTAGATGAAGAGATATACGCCTCAAATTCGCCGATTTGGGATCCTGATTTTAAGGCTACATCGGTGCATTTTCAGTCTTTGCTGGATTCTAGATTAAGAGGTTTGTACATAGCTCTATGTTTTCTAAACAAAATTGGTCTACTAGTTGTTCGTCATTGTATTAACCTAAATTTCTAATAAAACAAAACTTTAACGATCTTTTTAAGCTGGTACGAGCGGTTCCAAAAAACCGGAATTCGAAAGAGTAACTTTGGGACAAACGGACCGGGAAGGATTCACGATTACTTCTCTCCCTTCGGGAAAATCAATTCGTGCAACGGAAACGCCGATTAGAGAGGCGAAAAGAAAAAAAATAGCCCAAGACGAGCAATTCGAGGATTTACCAAAGGATACTGTTTGCGAAATTATAGCCACCATTGACGATCCTAACTACATGACTGGTCCAGACGTAAGTTATCCTATATTGTTATTGAAATACATGTACATATTTGGGCTCTTGTAGAATGTTCTGAAATATTATTTTAAACACATTCAATCAATTGTAGGAAATATAGGCTACTGAAGTTGGCATAAGTTGTCTATAAAATCTAGTTCACCTGAGATCATCAACTCAGAATACCCGATACTTTAATCTCAATATTCTAGTTGAGAACTACACAACAACTTGCGTTTTGGTGTAGGAAGAACTGCCAAAAAATATTTTAATAATTTTACAACTGCATATACAACCATTTTCACAAAAAAAATGATTAAAATACCATGATTGCAAATTACTTTGTCTTCTAACCTCACAAAACGAGATAAAATAACTACTCTAAATCTCAAACAAAGAAGCTCGTAAACTAATATGGATTAGTCAATACTTTGTATATCATCAGTATTATTTGATTAGAACTTAACTCAAATAAAACTAAATTGTATTTACCAAAATCCTCTTTATCGTCGTCGATACTGCATTAACGAAAAATTAACTTTACAGAAGACTAAAAAATGCTAATAACTACTACATTAGAATTCCTACATAGATCATAGACCTCAGTTTTAGATAAGACAGGAAGAAACTTTTTATTTATTTAAAATTTAGGAAATTATCCTTATTAAGATATTAAAGAACTGATTTCATTTTTGGAATCTACGAGTTATATTATCTAGCTCTACGCATATTTAAACTAAATCAAAATATTCCTGATTTTCCTGAAAATTTAGATACATATCTAAATACAATGGTACATATAAGAAAAGCAAAATAAATTTCGTATAGTTTGTTTCTATCTAAAACCATTAAAAGTTGTTTTCATTTTTAATACTTAATAATTTTTTAATCACCCTATAGATTCCAACAAATTTAGAACAATTAAAAAATATCGTTTTGCCACCCGACTAATACAAATCTTTCATAGGTTAGAAAAGATACTTTTTTCGCCATTTTTGTCCACGTTGCACTGAATCAAAAAAGAAATCTACTTATGAATCTATTATTACCAACATCTTTAAGAAACTAATTGATAGATGGCGACAGTGGCACATCTCTACAGAAATCTATTTTCAACTAGTGTCCTTATTTTGATAACGCGTTCATAGATGGTGTCTCTAGTATACTGCCGTCATTTAATGTCCACATTTTAAACTAAATGGCTAAAATAGCTTTTTTTTTTTTATTATTTATTTGGTGTCATCGGCATCAACTGCTAAGGTTATTAGCCTTGTGTTCTTGTGTAGGCTTTGTTACTGTTTCCCAGCGCCACTTTAGGAACAGCACTGTTAATTAGAACCCAACAGTGAATGGTCGAGTGGGGAATCCTACCAAGGCATCAGAATTAATTTTAATAATTTAAATTAAATAAAAAAATCCTGCCCAACGGTGGGATTCGAACCTGGGACCCTTGGATCCACAGGCAGAGACTCTACCACTGAGCCACCCACCCCCTTTTTTGTTTAATCATAAATCATAATAATATACTGTAACTATTCCTTGGGTTTTATTTATTTATGAAAGTAGGTAATGGAATTCAATAAAATTGCCCCATTTATTGTGGGCATGCTAAATTTTGAAAAACAAATGTTTCTCTATGAAGAGTCTTCAAATGAGCAACCAATTGTAGTGGAATAAATTGGCAACTTTAACTTTGCAAAGGTAACAGTGCCCTTAATGACCAACAAACATTTTGGAATAAACTATTTGTATTGGAATTATTGTAAGGCTTGTTCTAGTTTCTTCAAAACTTAAACTTTCCACGGGTCAGACAGTTTTCAACATATTTTTGAAGAACTAGACCTATTTTTTCTTCTTCTATGATGAGTTTTAATCTCTTCAGGAATATTTTTTCAAATACCTAGTTTTGAACTAGACAGAATGTAAGCAGATGGATATTGATGGGTGGTTTATCTATAAGATCCAACTTCATTTACCTACTTAGTGATTTGTTTGCCTGGTTTAGGTATTGTTCATTATTAGGTACCTCGGCCACTTTCCATATATCTTGTAGGTGTGTACCTACTACATAGGTACTTTTTGAGATGTTCATAAATAGTCAGTTTAACTGTAGCTTTGTTTCTAAGGATTTTTTAGTATTTACCGGTAATTAAATCAAGTCCTGGAGCTTTTTTCAGGTTAATATTTTCTTTTATTTGCCTGAAAATGATGGGAGAGTAGTCAGTAGAGTTCATAAACGAAATTTAAGAAGTATTTCTATAATGGGTCAATAATTGGATCTGGTATTTTATTTGGATCTATAGGCCGAATAATATGTCTTTTCCGCTATTAATCAATCATTATTGTTGATGAATTAAAAAATATATATATAATAAAAATCGAGAAATATTAGGTTAATTTCGATCTTCTATACATATGGAATTTCGCGGCCTCTTTCGTGCATAAATTTAGCTATTCTTTTTTTATCTGTCAATTTCTTCTCTTTTTGAAATGTCAATTTCTTCTCTTTTTTGAACTGCCAATTTCTTCTTTTTTGTAACTGTCAATTTCTTCTTTTTTTTAACTGTCAATTTCTCCTTTTTTTTTTTTTAGGTCTCAACCGTATACAATAATAAGTTTAAAAAAATAGTGGCTTGTTCTTTTTTCAAAGGTAGAGGCCACCAAATTTTTACGATGGTATAGAAGAAGATTGCCATTTGACAGGCTCTTGCGATGTTTGCCATTATTTGAATTTTATTTAAAGAAATTGAGTATTTTTTAAATATATGCTTAGTTTTTTGCCAATCTTTATTCAAAAAAATACCTACACAGTAAATGTGTTGACTAATTTTGGAAGCTGGAGCGCGATAGTGTCTCGTCAGCTGTAATGGTCCTAATCACAAATCTAAATGCATACCACCAGCCGTACCTAATTCACAATGTTACAATTACTTGATATTTGTGCCCAATAGATTAATAACAACATCTCTAACCCCCTAATAAATGAATATTTAGACTATCTTTTATGTATCTTATAGTATTTCTATTAACAAACTTACTAACAGTAGTACTATTACTCCTTAGATATACATTATAATTGATACACTGAAGCCATTAAACTATCAGGAATTTTTTAGGGATCCCACTTGTACGGTTTTCACCTGGACTGTCCGGGTTTTGAACAATTTGTCCGGTTTCTGGTCGCATGATGAAAATGTCTGGGAATATGTGGATAACTTTTTTTAAAATTTCGACAGAAGAACCTGGTGTATAAAATTATAAGCTGAGGATTTTTTTTAGAAGCTTTCGACGAAAGGACCCTACTTTATAAAATTAGCTGAGGACCTTTTTTTTTTTGAAATTTCACAAATAAATGTCTGGTTTTTAACTTTAAAAGGAGGTTTTCAATTCATTGCAATATTTTTTTTATGTATGTTCAGCGTTAATTCTTTAGCACGGTGTCCGATTTCAATGATTCTTCTTTTATTAGAAAGGGGATACTTCATATAAATTTTGTTAAAATCTAATAATTGGGTCCATAAGAAAATCCTCAAATTCTTCATTTTTTATGTATGTTTAGTGATAATACTTTACCACCTTGTCCGATTTATATGATATTTTTTTGTTAGTAAGGGGGTACTTCAGGGGTCATCCCATATAAATTTAGTTAAGATATGGTGATGGCATCTGCACGTTTTTGAAGTCGGTTTTTTTTTAATTTCTAATACTTGTGAGAAATGAAAAGGTGGCAACCCTAATTGTGAGTAAAATAAAAGTACTTAAATATATTACAAATATTAACTATTAAATGTATCAAATAATTTAACAAGTTTTTACAAAAAATACTCTTAAGCATATTCCTAGGACCTGTACCCAACTGTTTATCAATTCAAGATTTCAGGATGCAAAAAAATTATATAGCTCTATTGTACTGTATTTTATACAAGCGCCTAGCCTAAATCAATTAACATAATTATAAATTATTTTAAAACAACTAAGATACAACCTGTACTTAGCCAAATGTCTTAAATTTCAGAATATAATGCTAATATAGGAGCCATTCGTTGTTGCCCTTTAAAAATATGTACATGTAATTCGGAATCACCCTATATAGATAAAAATTGTTCAATAATTGTTGTACACTTTTAGATGGTGTTTTCCGAAAATGCTCCGGCGACTGATGAAGTTCCGAAATTGCAAGAAACCCGCAACATCATTCAATTGCACGTCGTGGGAAACAGTCTCACTCAACCTGTCACGAAACAAACAATGCTCATGCTGATTGGTCTTCAAAACGTTTTTTCGCGCCAACTGCCTAGAATGCCGATCGAATATATTACCCAGCTATTATTTGATCCGTAAGTAATTTTGTAAACAAAACAGATTTATGTATTGCGTCTCTAATATTCAAAGTACTGGTGCAGCAGGAGTGGTATGGCTGGTTTGATTACAGCTGAGGAAACGAGGATTTTTTTCTCTTTGACCAACTGCAAAAAAATCTAAATATTTTTTTTATATATATGTTCAGCGATAATTCTTTACCACCTTGTTGTCCAATTTCTATGGGGTGGTTCCGTATAAATTTGGTCAAGATCTGGTCATAGTATCTATGAGAAAATTCCTTCTTTTATAACTTCAGTTGGTCAAATTAGTTTTTTTATGTATGTTCAGTGATAACTCTTTACCATGTCAGATTTATGTTTTTTTTTATTAGAAAGGTGGTACATCAGGGGTGATCTCATATAAATTTGGTCAAGATCTAGTAATGAGATCAGTGAGAAAATTATCAAACTCTTCAATTTGTATAATCCTTTAGTTCACTGGTTCCCAAACTATTTTCTGTGACGCTCCCGTTTTTGAAATAAACTATACAGATTTTTATAATTACTTTTTACTAATTTTAATCCTATTATTTTAGGAAACACAGAACAATGGCTTTAATAAAAGAAAATAGACCAATAGGAGGCATATGCTTTAGACCATTTCAAACGCAGGGATTTACAGAAATTGTATTCTGTGCCGTCACCTCACAAGAACAAGTCAAGGGTTATGGTACGCATTTGATGAACAGACTTAAGGACTATCACATATCAAAACGCATTTTTCATTTTTTGACGTTTGCAGATCAAAATGCTATAGGTAAGAATTTAATAACTGAATTTTAAAGTAAATATCGTTATTTAATACAGTTCTGCATGTTTTGGTTATAATTATTGTACACTTCCCTTGTTTTCTTTTTCTGACAAATTATTTCAACTTTATGTCAATTGTTATTTCATCAGGGACACATTGCGGAAACTGTTTGTGCCATGTATATGTGATCTATTAGTAACTTTTGATACACATGTCAAGCATTTTGTAAAAACAAATTTGATAACAATACTCGACAGACCTTTTCAAAATGGATTAAAAACGATTTTTTGTTTCTACATTTAACACTTAACTTATTTCTACTGTTTTTATTCATATTGCGTTTTTACTTTCCTATCTGTATACAGATATAAGGAAAGTATAGGAATCATGATTTTTTTCGACCTCGAGATTTCGACGGATTTTTACGTTTTGAGGTACCCTGAATCCGTTTCGACTATTTTCACGATGGTGTCTGTGTGTGTGTCTGTATCCACCATAACTCCTGAACCGATACACAGAAAAACACCAAATTTTAAACTTAAGCTTTGTTGTAGCGTCCAATGAAATGATTAGATTTTGGGCAGAGTCGGAACATCTGGGGGGGGGGGGTACTTTATAGATGGTCATTTTTATATTTTATGGAATATGTCTGTTATTTCCGTTTGGGGAAGAAAATTCTTCAAATAAAAGTTACTTCTTATATTATTATCTATAATTTTTGTTCTATACAAAATTTTCCTAAAATGGTCAGTATTCGAGAAATTTGACAAAATGTAAAAAAATATTTGTATGAGTGAAATGTATATATTTAGTTTAGCCTCTAAACATTTATAGAGGTGCTGCAATAGGTTGTACAAAATAACCAGAAAACGCCTATAATAACTAGATAGGAAAGTCATGTGTTGGACACATCAGATTTTTTTTGTATTAAGACAACGGTTCTGATGGTCTCTAGGATATATACAAAATTGCTCGTTTGACTCATAGACTGCTAAAATTTTAGATTTTATAGTAAAAATGGACCACTAAAACATCACCACCATTTTTGTTTACAATACTATTTAGCAGGAAATTGCAAGTTTTCTGTCACAACTTTTGCATCGATAGTTATAGCGAGGTAATAAATTCAATATCGTGGGATCCGTACGTATGGTACAGAACCCCTACCACATAACCACTACTAAGAACTGATAGTGCTCCTCCTAGGCTTTAACCGCCCGTAATGTCAATAGAAAAATAAAACACAAATAGCAAACATGAACTTTATAATCAAGCCGTTAACGTTTTTTTAATATTGGCCTATTTCTACTTTTTTAAATATAACTATGATTTTGTGAATTAAAATCTCTATATCTTCTATTTATTAATATAAGGCCGATAATGACCATTTTTTATTGACATGATAATATCATCCATGTATTTAAACTGTCATATGTCCATTTTTTGTTTTTAAATAATAACAATATCTTGAGTCCTATTTAATTCTAGCTTGTGCAGTGTAACCCAATGTGCTAAGAAGCCGTATGGGAAACAAAAATTGCCTAGAATTGTCTTTGTTATAGGGAAATAAAACTTTCAAATGCGTAATACTCTAAATTAATAGAAAAGGACATAGGATAGTATTCTTCTTTGCCATTATAGCTGCAATTTTCTATACATATGCTTTTCATAATTTCCAGGATATTTTCAGAGACAAGGCTTTTCCAAAGATATAAAAATGAACAGAGCAGCCTATCAAGGGTACATTAAAGACTACGAAGAGGCTACTTTGATGCATTGCGAACTGAACCCGAAAATAGTATACACGGAATTCACGAGTATGGTTAGAAAGCAAAAGAAATTTGTCAAACAGCTAATTTACCAACAGCAAAAAACCGTGTCGAAGATTCATCCCGGCATCACATTCTTTAATCAAGGTAATTCGCAAATTTAAATAATTGATTTTGCATATAAGTAGAAAAATTAAATGTTTTTAGGTGTGCGAAGTATTCCGATAGAATCGATACCCGGGATAGAAGAAACGGGTTGGAAACCTGCTTCTAGGACTACTAGAGGGCAGCAGTTGGAAGAATCGCAAGACGTTGATGTTTTGGCGGGCTTGCTCAAAAGTGTATTGAATGCTGTAAGTCAGTTTTAACTTTATACTTTTCTTATATTTAATCTACTCTGTTTTAAGGTAAAAGGACATGAAGATTCTTGGCCTTTCAGACAACCAGTTGACAGGCACGTTGTTCCTGATTATTATGATCACATCAAGTACCCAATGGGTAAGATAAATTATTGCCTATGCAGATTTCTTTTCAACTCAGCCATGAGAAATTTTTCTACAATTTTTCGGTTAATTTATATTTTTCCATTGCAGATCTAAAGACGATGGCTGAAAGACTGAAATCTCGATATTACGTGTCTAGGAGGCTCTTCATCGCAGACATGATGAGGATTTTTACAAATTGTAAATTTTACAATTCACCGGAAACGGAATATTATCAATGCGCTGAAAATCTTCAGCAATATTTTCAAACAAAAATGAAAGAAATAGGTTTATGGGATAAATAAAATATACAAACTGAATATTGCTTTTTATTTTTCTTCTCCACTAAGCAATAAAGTAACGTGATTTTTTTTAGTTCTCACAGTCTTAAATTGTATATTGTTCATAAATAAACCCCTCGTTAATCGAATTATTTTTTATTTCCTAAATAATATTAATTTTATAACTTTGTGGCAACATAGAATACACCACTGTGTAATGTTGGTTGCCTATTTTTACAATAGCGAATATCGCAAATGTCTTTTGGCCATCTAGCGGCAAATAATTATAGCTATATTGTTTTAACTGCATAGGCAACCAATATTACACACTAGTGTATTCAGTGTTGCCTGTCAACTGCAAAATTTTTAATTTTGAAATAATTATTAAACGATTTAAGATAGAGATGAACGAAGAAGAGCACTCTAATTTTTTTGTCAAAAAATAATGAAAGCTATACCCTCTGCATAGGCATAGTGAACATCTGGAATTCAAAAAAATACTCAGATTTTTTTGCAAAAAAAGATCGAATATAGAGAGAAGCAGACACCCACCAGATATTTTAAATTAAATACAGTAACGTTGTGCCAAATTTCATAAAGATCTGAGCAAAAATAAAAATTTTCGATATCTCCTCGCGTTTCTATTATCCTAATACAAAGTTCCGAATTCGAAAAGATCCAATTTTGTCTACAAAATTTTCGTACCAGGATAGCAGAAACGCGACAAGGTATTTGACTTATTTTTAAATGCGAATAACTACTAAACGGCTCAAGATAGAGGCAAGCAGCAAAGGGCATTTTAAACTATCCGTCCGGCTCTACCTTTGTGTGAATTTATGGAGTAATTCGATCATTATTGACTGAGTAATTAAGAAAAAAAAGTTAAACCTTATAGCTAGGGAGCAACTGAGTTCATCCCTTAATTGCTCGTGCTTTCTTTCATATGTACCCCAAATTTCATCAAGATCGGAGACAAAAAAATTTTTTGTCAAATAATTTTGAAGGCTATACCCTTTCGATTTTTTTGAAAAAATAAAAAACAATTTAAATTTGCATACGGATAGAAGGTCACATGTAGATCTCAAAAATATACTCAGTTTTTTTCTAACAGCAATAATAAAAAAGTTGTGGCAAAAATAAAAATTTTCGATATCTCCTCGCGTTTCTATTATCCTAATACAAAGTTCCGAATTCGAAAAGATCCAATTTTGTCTACAAAATTTTCGTACCAGGATAGCAGAAACGCGACAAGGTATTTGACTTATTTTTAATTGCGAATAACTACTAAACGGCTCAAGATAGAGGCAAGCAGCAAGGGGCATTTAAAACTATCCGTCCGGCTCTACCATCACGTGAATTTATGGAATAATTCGATCATTATTGACTGAGGAATTTAGAAAAAAAAGTTAACCCTTATAGCTAGGGAGCAACTGAGTTCACCCCTTAATTGCTAATGCTTTCTTTTATATGTACCCCAATTTTCATCAAGATCAGAGAAAAAAAAAAATTTTGTCAAAAAATTTGGAAGGCTATACCCTTTCGATTTTTTTGAAAAAATAAAAACAATTTAAATTTGCATACGGATAGAAGGTCACATGTAGATCTCAAAAATATACTCAGTTTTTTTCTAACAGCAATAATAAAAAAGTTGTGGCAAAAATAAAAATGTTTGATATCTCCTCGCTCATCTATTATCCTGATACAAAGTTCCGAAATCGAAAAGATCTAATTTTGTCTACAAAATTTTCGTACCAGGATAGCAGAAACGCGACAAGGTATTTGACTTATTTTTAAATGCGAATAACTACTAAACGGCTCAAGATAGAGGCAAGCAGCAAGGGGCATTTTAAACTATCCGTCCGGCTCTACCTTTGTGTGAATTTATGGAGTAATTCGATCATTATTGACTGAGTAATTAAGAAAAAAAAGTTAAACCTTATAGCTAGGGAGCAACTGAGTTCATCCCTTAATTGCTCGTGCTTTCTTTCATATGTACCCCAAATTTCATCAAGATCGGAGACAAAAAAATTTTTTGTCAAATAATTTTGAAGGCTATACCCTTTCGATTTTTTTGAAAAAATAAAAAACAATTTAAATTTGCATACGGATAGAAGGTCACATGTAGATCTCAAAAATATACTCAGTTTTTTTCTAACAGCAATAATAAAAAAGTTGTGGCAAAAATAAAAAATTTTGATATCTCCTCGCTCATCTATTATCCTGATACAAAGTTCCGAAATCGAAAAGATCCAATTTTGTCTACAAAATTTTCGTACCAGGATAGCAGAAACGCGACAAGGTATTTGACTTATTTTTAAATGCGAATAACTACTAAACGGCTCAAGATAGAGGCAAGCAGCATAGAGAATTTTAAACTATCCGTCCGGCTCTACCTTTATGTGAATTTATTGAATAATTCGATCATTATTGACTGAGGAATTAAGAAAAAAAAGTTAACCCTTATAGCTAGGGAGCAACTGAGTTCACCCCTTAATTGCACGTGCTTTCCTTTATATGTACCCCAATTTTCATCAAGATCAGAGACAAAAAAAAATTTTGTCAAAAAATTTGGAAGGCTATACCCTTTCGATTTTTTTGAAAAAATAAAAAACAATTTAAATTTGCATACGGATAGAAGGTCACATGTAGATCTCAAAAATATACTCAGTTTTTTTCTAACAGCAATAATAAAAAAGTTGTGGCAAAAATAAAAATTTTTGATATCTCCTCGCTCATCTATTATCCTGATACAAAGTTCCGAAATCGAAAAGATCTAATTTTGTCTACAAAATTTTCGTACCAGGATAGCAGAAACGCGACAAGGTATTTGACTTATTTTTAAATGCGAATAACTACTAAACGGCTCAAGATAGAGGCAAGCAGCAAGGGGCATTTTAAACTATCCGTCCGGCTCTACCATCACGTGAATTTATGGAATAATTCGATCATTATTGACTGAGGAATTTAGAAAAAAAAAGTTAACCCTTATAGCTAGGGAGCAACTGAGTTCACCCCTTAATTGCTAATGCTTTCTTTTATATGTACCCCAATTTTCATCAAGATCAGAGAGAAAAAAAATTTTTGTCAAAAAATTTGGAAGGCTATACCCTTTCGATTTTTTTGAAAAAATAAAAAACAATTTAAATTTGCATACGGATAGAGGATCACATGTAGATCTCAAAAATACACTCAGTTTTTTTCTAACAGCAATATTAAAAAAAATGTGGCAAAAATAAAAATTTTCGATATCTCCTCGCGTTTCTATTATCCTAATACAAAGTTCCGAATTCGAAAAGATCCAATTTTGTCTACAAAATTTTCGTACCAGGATAGCAGAAACGCGACAAGGTATTTGACTTATTTTTAATTGCGAATAACTACTAAACGGCTCAAGATAGAGGCAAGCAGCAAGGGGCATTTAAAACTATCCGTCCGGCTCTACCATCACGTGAATTTATGGAATAATTCGATCATTATTGACTGAGGAATTTAGAAAAAAAAGTTAACCCTTATAGCTAGGGAGCAACTGAGTTCACCCCTTAATTGCTAATGCTTTCTTTTATATGTACCCCAATTTTCATCAAGATCAGAGAGAAAAAAATTTTTTGTCAAAAAATTTGGAAGGCTATACCCTTTCGATTTTTTTGAAAAAATAAAAACAATTTAAATTTGCATACGGATAGAAGGTCACATGTAGATCTCAAAAATATACTCAGTTTTTGTCGAACAGAAATATTAAAAAAGTTGTGGCTCATTTAGCAGAAAGTATCAAAGATAGAGAGAAGCAGGCACCCGCCAGACATTTTAAATTAAATACTGTAAATATGTGCCAAATTTCATAAAGATCGGAGCAAAAATAAAAATTTTCCATAAAAAAATATTTAATCTGTTAAAACGAATTGATAGGCAACACAGAATACACCAATGTGTAATACTGGTTGCCTATTAAGTAGAAACAGCCATCTATTGGCGGGTAGCTACAACAATACAGTTCCCTTCTTTTTTTTTAACTATTTGCAACTAGATGGCGCTCGTAACTTTGTCGGTCATTTTCTATCCACCTTTACATACCAAATGCTCATTTCAATGTAATTTTTAACAAATAAAACAAGTCGATGAGAAAGAGGTTTATTTAAGAATAAAATACATAATATTAGAAGATATAATAAAAACAAAAACGTCAAAAAATGTGTACAATTATACAAAACATGCAGAATATAGGTATAAGAAAGGCATAAAAATAGGGTTGCCAAATTGGAATATGTATAAAACGAAACGGATGGCAAAGCAATTAAAAAATCGAGACGCTATTTTTTAAGAGCAAACCGGATCTCTCGCAATGAGCCTTTTGAGTTCTTAAAGTTTAAATGGTCTTGTAATGGAGAGGCAACACAATATACAAACCCGTAATAATGGTTGCCTAGTTATAAGGCTACAACAATAATTTCTACAGTATCAATTTTGTCACCAATCTACTTACTATCCATTTTTACTAAAATACTTTTAAAAATATTACTTTCCTGTTGTAAAGGTCCCACTTTTCATTCTACAGGGTGATAAAAGTAAATATTATAAATACATAATTTTCTAAATATAATAATCTTCCCTTACTGTAAAGACTTAAAAAATATACATGTTGATTAATCATTATTATTAATTAACACACTATATTTTGATAAATCAAGATAACCCATTGGCGTAGAATCAAGGGTCTCTTAGTTGGTCTCTGTAGAACATTCCATTTCAGAGATTTTTTAATTTTAGTCCTATTCAAACATGAAATCTATGTGCAATTTTATCAAGAATCGATTTCATAATAAATATTAAACAATTAATTAACGAGATCAATATTTTATGAACTTAATGGCCCCATATAGGGTGTTCAAAAAGTTTGGATGTACTCTGTAGAAAGAAAACTGGGACGTTTACAGGAAAATTGTATTTAGCTTTTCTTAAATGTGTGCAATGATAAGGAAGCACTCTACAGAGACGTTTAAAAA